CGGTTCTTGGTTGATGTTAGCATTCCACCACCGGATCATTTGGTTTTTCCCTGCCTCCCATTTGATCCAAGTGCCACGCGCCGGGCAGCAATTGCAGAGCCAGCTAAAGCCCCTTGTGTTTCTTCAGAAAATGTCAAAAGCGTTATACCAGGATTGTTTAGGAAAATATTGCACGAACCTTGCGATCACATGGAATACCGTTGGCAAAGCGATTTGACATGTTTCAGGAAATGTTATTTTGAATTCTCAGCAACCTATATACACGGAGTCAGAAACTACATATGAGCTAGGAAGACTGATGGCATTCTCAAGCAAAACTTTTGCAAAATCGTAAGGCCCTTAGCATTAGCCAAGCTTGAGCAAAAGGACAGCTGCGACAAAATGTGACTCGTACCGCCTCCGCCCCACAGGTCAAGATATTTCGGAAGGAAGATCCCAAACCCACGCCACAACAGAGCACCCGACAGTTTAACATCACTTCGGAGCCACATCAATTCAAAAGCACTTTCATTTACACTCACACATACATACTTTAAAATGTTGCAAGACGTGGCAAATCTGTAAACACAAATTCGGAATTTGAGACTTAGTTTCTAGGTAGCAAGGACATCCGGTGAGACTCCCTCAGTGAATTCATAATATCATGACATTTAGTTTTGCGAATGAACTGTACACATGTAAGATTCAACTTCAACAGCTCTGTCACGATTGAGTCGTGCTACCCAGCTGTCAGGTGCTATCAGTCTCTGAAAGAAGTTTGCTGCAGTTCCCTAGATGGCCAAAGCCTTGAATCGCTAGTGATGATAGCTACTAGCATATGCGATTAAATTAAGCATAGAATGTGAATGATTCGATTATGCCATAATCATCTATAATCTATGACTATGATCGGATAATATATAACTACAATCTAAAACTATATGGCACATAGTGTAGATTTGTTCAATGTTCGAAACAAAAAACACCAACGGGGCCACCAATAGCGTCCTCACCAACAACTCCGCTAAGGCTTGTCCAGCTCGGTGGTTTGCATCCTGATAGTCAAACGGCTATACAATCACGGGAAAACATGGCAATGTTTGGGCCTAACAATCAACAAACAACAATCAACTAACATCAACTAACATCAACTAACATCAACTAACATCAACTAACCATCATTTACTAATTATATTCCATTTTAAGTACAAGGTCCATATCATCTGACTGTTGGGTGAGTCCTCACCAAGTCCTCACAAAAAGAGACAGCCTCTTCGTTGGGTGCCTGGAACAAGCTCAGTGCCTCCCTGGCCGATCGTTCTGAAGCCTTGGAATCCTCCTGCCGCAGATGTGCCAGGCACATCAAACTGCTCGCCTCAGCAAGCCGTTGGACCGTCATGTGGCGGTCAGGCGCTCGGACCGGACCCGGTTGGGGCAGGTCAAATACCTGGCCTTTACCCAGGCCCCAGGCTGGAACCACACCTTTTATTGTCATGCATATGCAGACTCTCTCTCTCTATATATATATAAATATATACATCTACATACATACGTAGATATATATATATAATATATATATATAATATATATATATAATATATATAATATATATAATATATATATGTATAATATATATAATATATATATATATAATATATATATATATAATATATATATATATGTATATGTATGTATGTATGTATGTATGATACGTATTATATTATATGATATTATATGCATGTGCCCTCATCATCCAGTTACCAGTCATCAAATGGTAAGCATCAACAAGATCATGGGGTAAATTTTGCCCGGCTGCCTGTCTCAGAGGTAACTGTAAGGTTGTGGTATACAGGTTAAGTGAGTTGGGACTAGTAAATTGTTTAAACCCGGAAACACTTTACTGTTTTTGTTGGGGGCTAACCATGCTACTCCATTCTATTCCCCTTGTTTTACCCGCTTTTTATTTCCAGAATACCATCAGTCCATCTCCACTTATAAAAATAGTATTGTCGGTTACGTATCCATTATATATGTCCATTTTACCAACAAACCGGGTCCTCATGGGAAAAATGGAGGGGTTCCCGGTATATTAATAATTCTCATCCACCTATTGGTTGTTGAATGGAGGGACCCCTCTGCAAATCAACGACTAGAAAAAAGGATATCCGTGGGCCGCATCAAAAAAAAAAACTCATCCGTTTTGGGGCTTAATCTATCTTAATTGTTTTATGGGGGTTACTTTGTATCCCCATTTGATCATGGTGATATAATAAAGACTGTCGGTCAGTTTTGATATCTATATCTATATCTATGTATATATATATATATATTAATATATATATATATTAATATATATATATATATTAATATATATATACATACATATATATATATTTATTTATACGAATATAAAATAGTGGTACTATTAGCATATGATGATCCTTGCAATGGTTGGTAAACAATTTTACCCATCATTTTATGGTGGGCAAATCAAGGCTCCGCAGCCGAGCGGCAAATCCCTGCCCTGCAGGGTGCCCAAAGGCGTTCATCGCTTCCTTGGCGCTCTGCAACGCCGTGGACACCGTGGTCGGCCTTGGGTGGATTTGTGCGGGAAAAATTGGGATTTGTGAAGGATTTCAGGTGCATTCAATCATTCAGATGGTTCTAGGAATATATAAAGTGTATATATATATATATTTGTTTTGAGATGTTTTAAGGGTGGATTGATATTTATGTATCTCTAAAATTCTCTAAATATATAGATTAATATAAATTAATTCGTACATGATATCATGATATATTCCCCACATTTTGGCACAGCCTGCCGAATTTTGTCAGCTGCCGAGCCGCTGAGACAGCTGCACTTTCCCCAAGGCAATCAGGGCCTTGGTCATCTTGGTCGCAGGCGCCAAGGGCTGAACCTCTGGTAAACTAACAGTTTGCTATTGAAAATGGCCCATTGAAATAGTGAATTTTCCCATGAAAAAATGGTGATTTTCCATAGTTATGTTAGTTTACCAGCGTGTAGTTCAAGAGACACCAGATATTATGTAAAGTTAATTCATAGTTACCCTCTGGTTATTTAACATAGCCATGGAAAATGGCCCATTTATAGATGGTTCACCTGGGTTTACCTATTTAAAATGGTGATTTTCCATGGCTATGTTAAATAACCAGAGGGTAACGAGACAGTTCATACGGCTTGGATATATCATTGACCTTGGGGAAACCAACCGACTAGCCTGACATCACCAGCCTGGTGAACCCCAGCGAGTTGGTGAATAACGGACTGCAAGGGGACATCATTCACAAGGAAACATGTGGGTTTACATCACATAGTTATCATGTGTACCATGATTTTCTACATTCAGAAATCATTCGAAATATCTAAATATCAATAGATTGAACTAAAAATCATCCCATCATCCCATCATCCTCCATCAACGGCTGCCCAAACATCGGCGGTAGTTAGCCGGCTTCGCCCAGGTACTAAGGCTTCGCCCAGCTTATCTCCTCGGGAACCCCGGAAGATGATCTTCCCAGATTAGCCCAGCTGAGTTTCGACAGAAACGGCTTGTTGTTACGCCATTGTTTTCCCTGGAAAAAAAACAGATGAATTACTGGAATAAATTGAATAAATGTAGTATGATAACATGATATAACATGTATCAATAAGTATATTAATAAATGTTCCAGTATTCCATTTCGTTTCTGGAATTCCATGGATTTCGCATCGCCATGGTTGATTTTTCTGGAGGCAAAAAAGATGTGAAGCCAGGCCGATTCACCGGGGGACAGACTTCATTACCAAACCTCAAACGACATGAAGGATTTTAGCACACGGACATGGATCAAGTATATAAAGTGCTCGCATATCTAAATGTTTGGCAACATGCAGCCACCCTATATCTTGAATTTCAAGAGTAATCATCCTTCAAACTACAAACCATTCTTTGTTGGTTGTACCCTCTGGTAAACTAACATAGCTATGGACAATGACCCATAGAAATAGATGATTTACCTATTAAAAATGGGTGGATGTTCTATAGCTATGTTGAATTACCAGAGGGTATCACCCATATTGTATGGCTAACCCCTGATCGTCGATCAGGGGTCGAATCTTAATTGATGGCTGTAGCGAGCACACTAATCCCGAGATCACCAAGTCCAATCACAAGTCTTTGAATCAACCAATCAATCCACCAATCAATTCATGGTTAATGATGGTTAGTGATGGTTAGTGATGGTTAGTGATGGTTAATGATGGTTCATGATGGTAAATTACGGTAAATTATGGTTAATTACTTGCTTTTCTAGTACCACATTGTCTGTCATGTTTTTACGGTCAAATTCTGAAAACATGCACATTAACAACCGAGAATCAACAATCATCATCGTCATCATCGTCATCATCATCATCATCATCGTCATCATCATCATCCTCGTAGTCATCATCATCACCATCATCATCATCCTCATCCTCATCTTCTTCATCCTCCTCATCATCATCATCAAACCGTGGTTGTTAGAGTTGTATGTTGTATCCAAAGTTCGTATGCATAAGTCAATGATGTTCCTAGCAGCTCCAGCACGCAGCACATCAATGTACCGTTGCAGCACGCAAGTTCGCAACGTAGGAGGTTTTGGTATGTCATCAATAGATGCAGATGCATTTGCATTTACTAGACCGGAACCCCCCAAAAAAAACATCCCCCGGAATTGCAGGTTACCGGAAGCCAAAAAGCAAAATGAAACTGGATGCATTTTTCCGTTGTTTTAAGGCTGCCTGCCTCTAGGTATCCATGCGGAATGTTTGATCCCCGAAACTCTTCCTTAGTTAAATTCACACTGATAATTAGTCCCACATCACCATTGGATTCTGCATGATTCATGCAATCCTTCATCGTCAAATCATGTCAACTGATCCGTTTTCCTGTGAAACAATCATATCAAATTCCACATCCTCCTCATCCATTGCATCATTCCGTTGATGGTAAAACCACCAATTTTACATGATCATGTTTCAATCAGGTCAAAAACGGTCAGCAATTCGACTACCTTATGTTTTGGTTTCCGAGGAAAAAAACTCAACAAAAAAAACATCCACGCATGCATCCATCCCTTCTTCCACCCAAATGTCACTCAAACATCCAACTAAAAAGTCAAAAAACAAATGTGAGTACATTAGTACCCCAACGACTCGGTCATCCATCCCAAGAACCACTTCTTGAAGATCATCACACCAAAGAATATCATGTAATTATTTTGTGATATATATATATAATATGATTACATAGTATTACATAAACACATATATCAAAGTTGTGTCATACACCCAAATCCATTCTTGGTGGTGAATTCTACAATAACGTTTGTGTTTTGTTCCAACCCCGTTTTTACTCGTGGAAAATTGTCCATAGTCCCAAAGAAATATCGCATCAAATGAATTGCAATGTTTACCCTTATATATAGCTTTGATATGCTTTGATCATATTTTAATACACATCTTTGTTGGTCATGTCCCCTATTCCCGTAAAGCCAGATGAAATCATACCAAAAGTTGATGTTTGGGCCCTTCAACATCACCAAATTCCCCGTGTTTATACCTGTTCCTAGAAAAACAACCAAACATCCTCTGTTTTCCACATGATCCTGGGAAAACAGCCGAAAAATAACATCATATATGGTTCATTGTTGTTCCATATTTTCTTAGCAAAAAACCATCGGAAAACCATGGACCCAAGCGTCCCAGGCTGACGAACTGCTGCTTCGCCTCCTCCGCCATCTTGGGCGCCTCTGTGGCGCCCGGGTCCGAGGCGGAGACCTGGGCCGCGGCCAGTTGGGGATGGTTCCCAGCAACGCCATGATTCCAGTGAGGTCACGACGTGAGGTTGTTATAATGTCTCATATATATTATAATATATATATATATACCATCTGGTTATTTAACATAGCCATGGAAAATCACCATTTTTAATAGGTAAACCATCTATAAATGGGCCATTTTCCATGGCTATGTTAAATAACCAGAAGGTATATATATATACGTATATAGTAAATAATACGTAGGAATATGTGGGAAGATATGGGGATATCATTTGGGAATATCATGTGGCAATGTCATTTGGGAATATCATTTTGGAATGTCATTTGGGAATGTCATTTCGGAATATCATTTGGGAATATCATTTGGTGCAACCACCTATTATTTGGATATTGTCACATTGTCCCAAAGATAACTAAAAAGTGATCATAAGCCAATGGATTTTTGGAGTGTCCAACTTCAGAAAAATACAACACATTCCACATCATTCAACGTCGAACCAATTCATCAGAAAATTCCATTTGGGGCAAACTCCATATGGTTGGTTTAACCATTTAACTGGGTAACTTATAATAATTCACTAACCTGAATTAAGGCCATTTGGGGATGATTTCCCTTACTAACCATGATTTCCAGTGAGGTCGTAGTGAGGTCGTTATAATTTACCCAGATTTAACAATTTGTTTACACAAAAAGAGTCACACAAAAAATGCCCCTACCAGTCACGCTCTTGGCTTCTCGCTTGACTTTAAATCCAATTATATAAAGTTAAGAATAGCATTGGCATTGTACATTTATGGCCCTTTACCAGTTCTAAGTCAGTGAAATAACCCCATTTCTGGAATGGTAGCCCCATGTATAACCATCAAAATCACTGGTATTTTGCGCTTTAACTGTAGTAACTGGCACTCTCCAAATCACAGCCGAGGTCACCAGCAGCAGGGCACGTGCGATGCCTTCCTTCGTTCCACGCTTGCGCTCCAGGGCCAGCAGATCGCCGGCGGCTTTCACGGCGGAGACGGGTTTACCAATGGCGAAGCTGACTTCTTGCAGGGCGCCTGGCACCCGATGGGCAGAGATCATGGAAGTCGTGAAGAAAAACATCACCGACCTTGAAGATATGGGGATGGGTCAAAACCCTGGTACCTAGTGAACCCGGTAAATGGATGTTCATCCCACTAAAAATGTATCTATAGGTATTGACCCATACCCATATCGGGACTTAACAGGACATGTCATGAAGCGCAGACCTATAGCTGGCCAATGATGTGCAGCTATAGCTACTGACGATCTTCGCAACCCAGTCATGAAAACAATGGGAATGATTGGGGTTGAGAACTGCAACAGCCAGGTAAAGATGCTAGCAATCAAGCTGAAATGGAACTTGCTGGGGTGTTCATCTACTCTTTTTTCATTGTCGCTTTGACGTGCTTTGAAAATCTGAGTCTTGCCATGGTTCACGGAGTTGATCTTTGTATCTTTGTGACATCAAGTCAAGTGGCTTGAGTGAAAGAAAAAACAAAACAGAGGACTCTTTCTGTGTATATCTTCCAAAATACCTTGCTTTGTATAAAGAGCAAGGAAATTATTAACTGTCCCCAAAGGCCTAAATAGTGGCTTTGTAACCTCAGTCGACCCGCCCCAAGATGTACGGCCGGCCAAGAAGCAGCTGTACTAGACCTTGTTTGAGATTCCACCAAAGGGTATATCAATCTTTGGCGAAATGGGGGTTTCCATTTTCTGGGGGTACCCCAAAAATGCATGATTTATGATGGACAATTCTATTAACTTTGTTAACATGATGATTTGGATGATGTTGAATTACTCCAAATTATGATGGAAAATGATTGATGATTTATTAACATGGATGATGTTGAATTAGTCCAAACTTTGAATTGTGTCAGTCGCAGTTCTCAGGTCATGAGTCTGGGCTACGTATCTCTCTGATTTTCTGTAGCAGCACTGGTTGACCATCCAGTCCCGGGCCAGTGCCTAGTAGCAAGATCTTGCCATCCGCATCGTTCAAGGACTTCAGAGATGTCTCAAGAACTTTCTCTGCAGGCCCTTGTTCCTGGTTCGTGGCTGCTCACATGTCAATTTCTTTCAGAAAGAGCGTGCGGCACAGTTACCCATGACGGATCCATGGTGCTGCTATATATGGTAACATGGATCCCATCAATATACCCCAGTCATGTTAGCATATATATACCAGCACCATGGATCCGTCATGTTTTTTTTGCATTGCTTAGATGTCCTCCAGAAATTGGTTCCAACATGGCATACCACGACAGCTCCGCACAAAAAAGTCCAAGCACTACAAAAAACAAGCGGTGTGGTGATGTGAATCACTCCCCAAAATGAGGAAATGCTATGGAAAAATAGATGGAAATACATGGACATGCTAGGTGGAAATTGGAAATCTACCATAATCTGCTTCAAAAACTCACCCCAAATTTCCAAGATCCAAGGCTCATCATTGGCCAAATGTGCCAGCGCCGTGCATCCCTCAGCCAAGGCCAGCACTGCAGGATCTTTCACGTCTTTGCACAGAAGAGCCACCTCTCGACCTTAGATCCAAAATATCTAAAGGCAAAGAATGACAGGTGACACAAAATGCCAGAAATCATCAGACATCTCCAACCGGAGGTCTGAAAAACAAACAACCGAAGGACAAGGCGTGCAAGAACAGTAAAACTTGTTTTTATACACTTTACATGCTTCTCTTCCAAAAGCCTCCAGGATTGCATGGTGAACCAATCCAAGGTGCATGCTCGCAGGGCCTCGTCTGTGTCATGTCGCAGGAAGCTCGCACTCATCAGGGTGTGAAGCAATGGAACCTGTCAGGGTTGCAGCCATGGTGTGAAAACACAATGCAACACCAGCAGTACATCCGCCAAATCCATTTGGATATGGCAAAGCTATACAGGTGAATGCTGCATGACTTGTCGTTCTCTTCCATGTCCTTGCTAAATCCCCAGTCTTTGTTGGTACCTGTTTGTAAGAACTTGTTATTTTAGATACCCCATTGTACCCCTATAATCTTTGCTTAAAATTGCAAGGTACACAATTAGACACGTACTTACAATCCAAACGCCAAATATCCAGTGTACCCGGTACCCCGAAGTGTACCTCCAAACTATCCCATGCTAAAACTTTTAAAAACCATGAGTATCCCTATTGTGGGTTATCAGAATCCCCAATAAATCACTATAAATCAGTTGGTATCACCAAAATAAAGCAATCAACAGGGGCATCCGGTGGATCCCTGCCTCCAAGATCTTCTTGCCTCCCCGCGCACGCATGGCAGATAGCCCTTGCTTCACGGAACGGAGGGCGTCCTTGCCTTGACCCATCAAGATGTACACCTTGAAGAGTCAGGCGGCGCTGGGAGCGAGTGTAACACACACAGCATAACGCATCGTTTTTAGATCCGCAAAAAAAAGGCATCAACTACCAATACTACTGTTGATGGAAGTAATCCTGCACCAGTTGATAGGTGGTTTATCCCATTATTTATAGGGTTTCAACCATCCAAGATGGTGCAGGATTTCTTCCATCAACAGTAGAACTTTCTCACGGATTATGGCACATTGGCAAACAGGCAAACAAAAACACCTTTTGAGGGCTCTATTTTGAGACAAAACCACATGAACGTTCCTTTCACTGAAGCTTAAAAATGCTAGAAAAGTCCCTCGGGTCGTCAAACCTGGTAATGGGGAACCAAGTTTGTCGGAGCATCAAGCACCTTTCCAAACCCCCGAGATCAAACCATGGTTTGTTCTTTCCTGTCCTTTAGGAGTGCCGAGTTGCCAATAGTGAAAAAGTACCAATTGTTTTGAAAACTGACCATTGTTGGGGCTTGAAAACATAATGTAATATGGTTGTTATACAAGACTTGAAACCGCATACTGACAATGGTTCTTATAGCAGAGATGCCACACCACTGAGAACACCGTTATTTCCCTCCCGCGCTGCAACCCTTCTGCTTCTGCAAGCCTGCCACAATTCATGTTTTTTGTCAGGTGAACAGGTTAAAACATGTTAAAACCATTCGTTTCACATGATTTAAATCATCTCAGAAGCAAAAAACAATACTGTACATGTTTCTGGTCCATCTACAATGTCTATGAAATGCGGAAATTTCTCCAATTCAATCTCCTATCATGTTTGATCATGTTTGCCCATCAAATACGCTGTCACATGTAAATCATCGAATTTAAGAAGTAAACCCATCATGTGTAATCACACTGTAAAAAAACATTGATTTTCCCTGGTGCCCTCCGGTCATTTCACAGTTTGCCACGAATGGCTAAATCCATTTTTCATATATGTCTTTTAAATGGCCATTCCGTACAAGGTGGTGCCCCCAAGGTAGCAAAATTGCTTTATAACTTCAAATTCACGAGGACTTCTGGTAGATATATCGAACTATATAATATTTCCGGCCTTAACCAATTTGTACCTGAGGGGCTACGGCCCCTCTACCAGTTCAAAGCAAGCCAACAAAAAATGCAAAACAAACAATTTTGGAATGACAGCCCCATTTATGGTAGAATTATAATAGAATTATGGTATGTAAATTTGTGGTAGATACATGGTAGATATATCTATAGTACCCTCTGGTAAACGTTTACGTAGCTATGGAAAATCCCCATTGTTAATAGGTAAATCAAGGAACTAAATATCTAAATGGCCATTTTCAATAGCCTCTGGTAAACTAACATAGCTATGGAAAATCACCATGTTTCATGGGAAAATCCACTATGAATGGCCATTTTCAACAGCTATTTTGACATCACCAGATTCGCCATCCCCGCCATGGCACATTCGCCAGGACGTTGCAGGCGCTCGCCTCCATGGCATCACCGGGCACCAGCGTCAGGGCCTGACGCACCAGGTCGCTGACCTCTGGCAGGGTGCCATTCGCGCAGAGTCCTGGGACTTGCAAGGGGATGGGACCTGGAGGTGACCGGTGATCTATGATATGATATGATATGATATGTATGATATGATATGTATATGTATGTATATACACTTGTTTACATATGACATATAATTTATATATATATATATAACCATTATACATGTATATTTAACATATAAATAATGTCTTAATATCATTATCTATCTATACACAAACACATACCTAGGTTAGTCCTTGTTAGTATATCAAGGACATATGTTTCTCGATTGGTGTAGATGTAGATTTTCAAATAGTATGTATCTATACGTCTACATACATTCTGTATGTCAATGTCTACAGGCGATGGAAACAAAAACAAACAATTTGAAATCAACTACATGGTGTATAATGAATCAATCTTTTGACTTGCGACATCTTTGACGACTTCCCTGTTAAATGAGCAAGTTCGAAGCATGTGGCAGTGGTACAACGAAAGTTGATTGGCATGGATTCACTGTTGCCGCAACCATTTGGAAACCAGCGCCAAGCATCGTGCTGCCGCTAGAGCCAATAGAGCCTCTGCAACTTTGCTCGAGTTGCCTGAATTTCTTGCTTCCTCGAGCGCTTTTTGTGCTGTCCTCAGTTGACGCGCTGATAAATTCATGTTTCTCTCTGTTCAATCTCTGTTCAATCCCTAGGTCCTAGGTGACCTAGATTCAAATCAGACGGCCAAACAAGTTTCAAAAATCAGTTTGTAAATTAGGGCCTGAAATTTCATTTTTCAGCCTTGCGAAACTCAAAACACATATAAATATATATAAATATAAATGAACGAACAAACTGTCCCAGCGAAACTCAGAATCAACCAGAATGCCACTGCAATATGAAGTCCCGAATGGCTTGCACCTTTGCATATATGTACATCTGTGGACTATGTTACAACTGTACACGTAATCTGGAAACTCCAGTACCCATAGGATCCATGTATGGTATATATGCTAACATTTGGGGTATATTGATGGTAAATGTTACCATGTATAGCATACATGGATCCTGTGGGGTATAAAACCTAACAGATTGTGACAATTGCATGCGTCTTCCGACATGAAAACAATAATCCCATTTAGTTTACTGGTTGGTGGTTTCAACCCCTCTGAAAAATATGAAAGTCAGTTGGGATGATGAAATTCCCAATATATGGGAAAATAAAAGCCATGTTCCATTAAACATCTTCGCCGCACAGCGTTTTTGTCCGTGGGTAAAATCTCTACCCTCTGGTAAACTAACATAGCTATTGAAAATGGCCATTTGTAGTGGATTTTCCAATTAAAAATGGTGATTTTCCATAGCTGTGTTAGTTTACCAGAGGGTAAAATCTCTAAGATCCCTACATCTTTGCCAAGCATCGCCTCATTGAGATCCACCGCTGGCAGACCAGCGCCAAGGACTTTTTCCAGGCGAGATGATAAGCAGAGCGAAAGCACTGGCAACACCTGACCCTCAGGAGCTGCAAACTTCTTCACCTGGAAGGGTGAAAAACGGGATCAACCGAACAGCCGAACAGCCGAACATCTGTATGATTATATATATATATGTAGTTGATTGTAGTCGACCCTATGGCCCAGCTATGTAGCAGGGTAGTAAAGCCATAAATTATATACATATTTATTTATAATAATATTATATATACATAATATATATATATATAATACATAGCTATGAAATATAAAGATAATGATGTGTGTGTGAGTGAGAGTATGACCATAGATACAAATAAATGTAAAATGTGAATACACAAGAAATTAAAGGCATGAACTATAATGAAATATACGGAGGCTATTTGTGTATATATGTATAGATAATAGGTAATATATATGTAACTAGGTACGTCCCATAAACCACTCGATGACCCAACCGCGTTTATTCCACCACTTTCTACCCTCTTACCTACATCAACATACAAGCATCCAGACCTTGTGCGCGTCTAGCAGCATCGACCACAATGTTACCTCAGCAGCGGACCTGCTAAGGCTTGATACAGGGAAGGACTACACTCTGAGGTAATCTAACCTGTCAAAGAGATTTTTTATCCTCAGGTAATTCATCAATCTATTCAATCTGGATTTGCACCATGTTAGATTAAATATGAGTATATTGACTGTAGTTCTTAACGTTGAAACTGGACAGGAAATCATTGAAATCCTGCAAATACTACTACTGAACTTACTGAACGCTGCAATTGCTGGTAACATCCATGTTCGCCCTTGCCCAAACCTCTCTTGGTTGTATCCCCTAGCCCAAACAAATGATCTTGGACTTCCCTGACTGGCAAGAGACCTCTGTAGGGCTTCAAAAACACTCCAATCACATACCCATAGGATCCATGTATGCTATATATGGTAACATTTACCATCAATATACCCCAAATGTTAGCATATATACCATACATGGATCCTATGGGATATGATTCAATATCAAATTATCCCATTTCCAGATGACACTCGACATGGAACCTGGGAACCTTCAGAAATGGCACCAGTTTTGTCCATTCAGGATCTGAGGCAGTATTTTCCCATTGATGGCAGAGGTTTGTCCGTGAAAAAAAGACACCATTCAATAGGGCATGTGGAACCGGGAAACACTTAGTAGCTCGTTGGCATTCCTTGGCTATATCGATGACCATAGCTTAAATCAGCTCCCTCCATCTCCCGGATAGTCTTAAAGCCAATCAAGTCCTGATGCGTTGTGATGAAATCACCATTTGTTGTTCATAAACACGGCATTTTGACATATGTTGACTGTGAATAACTGTATCCGGGTGGCTGCAGACTGTTGGAAGACATCTTCGGCATTTTCACTTTGGCCCAGCTGTGCAACCAACTCTCGCCTGCGCTCTTCACCTCAAGGCAACGACGGAGGGCGAATTTTGACACATCCGTATTTCTCATGGGTGAAATTCCGATATGGCCATGATTATGTATCAAAATCCTGGTTAATCTTATGAAGATCAAAGTAGCATGTAAATGCATGTTCATTTCCCAGAAGTGGTTGTTAAACCAATCCATGCTATTGTTGTTTCAGCCTTATTGAAGTTGATTCCCAAAGAATGGTATCACAGTTTTTGTTTATGTTTTACAACCCACAAAATTTTACAGTTTGGATTCACTGAGCCAAATCCCCAGCATGTTCATTTCCCCGCTATACCCGGCCCTCTCTGGACCTTTGCATTGCCCCAAGGTTTGAAAGACCTGAGCCGAAACACCAGCCACTGCGAACAGCGGGGGGTGGCATCATCATGCAACCACTGTGAAGTAGAAGCAAGAGGGAAGGCCAAACTCGAGCAGACTAACCTACCACTACAATTTGAAGTTGGAAAAGAATCCATTTATTCTTGGAGGGATGACAATGATAACTGTTTTAGTGGCTCAGAATTGGGATACACTATATAAAAAGAAAACAAAGTCTGGGATTTCCATGAGCGGTCACTGAACAAGGAGATACAATATACTGTGGTGGCAAAACATACCCACTCCTACAATGCAAAACACATGGGTTTGTCTGAAAATAGGTTATCACCTTGTTTATAACAACTTTCACTATTGAACTGCCATGACTTTGGGGGTTATGTCGTCCTTTTTCGGGACGGTTGAACCGGTTGTTTCGGTTGCATCCGGAAATTCGAAGCGTGCGTTTTGTTTGTCCAAATCGGGTTCACCCAAATCAACTAGTTGATTATGTTCAATTATCAGTATTCTCCATTTAAGAAATCTTAATACAATATAATACAATATGGACGTGTCTGGTGAAATGTGAGTGACTGGTTCAATGAGGAATCTGATATCAAGATATGCAACATATTTTGTTCATGTATGTCCTTGTTTATGGTTTATTGACGGCCATAAATTGGGGGTGCACCCCCATATTACCATTGTGATGCTTACAAACCCCATTTATGGTTGGTACAATGATTTCCATGAATAGAATCCCAGATGTTCAGTAAATTATATGGAACCATGCTACACTTTGTGCATTTCTTCCCGGTTACTAAATCAACTGCGTAATCATATGTACCCTCTGGTAAACTAACATAGCTATGGAAAATCACCATGTTTAATGGGAAAATCCACTATAAATGGTCATTTTCAATAGCTATGTTAGTTTACCAGAGGGTAATCATAATTTATCCATGAAACACGGCCATGTATGGCCACTTGCGGAGCTACATATGTCACATTTTTAGACACCGGTTCCGCGTCACTGACAGCCCCACCATCCCCCACCTTGCCCGCTCCAGAGGCCAACCATTGTGGAGCAGCCATGATGTTTGGCCACAAAGGGAGCAGGTTGAAAAGTGCTGCTAACCTGAACCAAATTCATGATATGATTTGATGATCTGAAGCTGATCTCAGATAAGTAGCACATGTATATATATATATATATATGTACAGTGTATGTATATATATATATATTAAAAATATATTGATGACATCAAAGTTGTTTGACCTTGTGATATCATTTGTGATAGAATTGTTTTGCCCAAGCTCTTGAAATTCATTTGCTCTTGAACCCTTGATCCGGCTGGCCGGCTCAAAAGTTTGTGTCCCAGAAGCCCACTGATTTGGAGCTTCCACATGAAAAGGGTTGTATCAATCGTATCTCAGGTATTCTTACCGGTGCTAAACGCAGGGAATTTTCGGGAATGATCCATAATCACTATCAATAATAATCCCATTCCATTCCCTACTATGCACCAGTCAGATTTTTTGTTTCGTCCCATCTCAATCTATTTTTTGGTTTGTCAAGCCGTTGGCAACTCTTGAATGGCGAGAAAAACGCAGCTGGAAAGTAAACACATCAGATCTTTTGTATCATCCCAAATATAAATATATGTATATACAACTGGGAACATTAAATGGCAAAAATGAACCCACCGAACAAGAATCGATGCGATTACATCGAGGCCATTAGACACAATGCCTGGATCAACCCTCAAAATGGATGGTTGATGATGGTCAAATACGAAGAGAGACCAATTTGGTGCCTCCATCAAAAACATTAAAATCCCTGTCCCTATCAGTGATCATCAAGCCCAGTCATGACTACGAAACATCAGCCGTTCAAACAATGAAAATACATGCAGCCAATGCTGGTTAGCAAAATACTCTATACATATATATATATATACGTATATATAAGTTTATATATATTGATACTGTATTATACGTATATTACCGTGCAACAGAGCCCTGTAAACAAGTAATTTTTGGTCTAACGCTACTTACAACATTGTGATATATTGTGATGAATCAATGAATCCATTCCCAAATTACAACTGTTTCTCAGCCACATGGTGAAGCAACTTCGGGGGCTTTGGCGAGGTTCTGCTTCTCAAATCGTCTGCCGCATCGGCACGTTTTTGTCAAGGCCATAAGTGTCACAGGTCTCCAAACACCTGGCTCTCTTTGGCCCGCGTCTCAGGTTCTGGCTTCTATCTCGGGTCCTTTCTCTTTGGTGCTCTCAATATGTCTTCACAACACTCAAATTTAAATGTGAATCCCACTGGGTAAGCTGGAACATGTTCCAGCTTCACCATCAACCAGTCTCTGAATTGTTCAACTATCCTCAACACTATCCCCTACTATCTCCAAGTTTCATCGTTTCATCGCTTATTCTTCCCCTTCTTCCGATGTCTCAAGTTGGGCGTCTTCGTCTCCGGCGACGCCGCCATGCCAGAAGCACTGGCGCCGTTCACGCTGGCGGTGCTGCTGCGGCGGCTCTCAGCGGGAGACCGCGCGGCCACCAGGGTCTCCCCGGGCGCCTCTGCCGCGGCGCTACTGGAGGCGGCGGTAGAGGCAGAGGCGGCTTCGGGCAGTGCCAGGGAGGCAGCGGGAGGCGCCTCTGCCGCGGCGCTACTGGAGGCGGCGGTAGAGGCAGAGGCGGCTTCGGGCAGTGCCAGGGAGGCAGCGGGAGGCACCGCTGACGTCTCGGCAGCTGATTCCTCGGCCACATCTGCTTGCCTCGAGACCCAGGTTGTGGTGAACTGGCTGGAAACATGGCCGGAAAATCATCAGAGATGTGGGAAAATCATTGAACAGACATTAATGGGGGAGTGTCCAATATGCATAAGCAACACCAGGTTGGAGCACCGTGCAGGGTAGTGAGATGGAAGCAATCAATGTGAAAGAGGAGTGGCAGAAACAAAAAAACACAACATGATGCCGTCTTCGGAGGGATCATACCATTGGGACACAATCTGACTGTGGAAGTAGGCCATGGGTTGGGATCTGGCAGGAAGAACAGACCGATGAGCACTCACATATACGAAAAACATCCTGAACTTTGAAAACATCTGGGAAGTATCACTGCCGACACATAGAGTAAAATGATCTGTGAATACCTAGAGATGCCAGGTTCTAGCCATTTGGCAAGCTACCAACGCCAACACTCTTGGATACGTCCTAACTACGATTCATTACGGATTCCCATGGCTACGTCAAGGTTCTGTGTCCTGCCACAGACATTGTTGACCACTTACAGTAATTAGATTTAATTACTACTGAGGGGCCTATTTGTTTTATTCCTAATATATTACTATGTTTTATATCTTAAACATCTTACAAAGCCATTTGATGATGAGTCAAAATGTACTGTACGGACTTCAGAATCAAATATTAATATTAATGATGATGAGTCAGGAGTTTTTGCTTGTGAATTACATTGAATTACTGTTTTTGTTTACCATTCAAAGTGAATTATTGATTTACCATTCAAAGATATTCCTCGCTGGATCCCACTGACCTGGAGGCCAGACTTCCAAAGGTCATCAGCAGCAGCCTCTAAATAGGGGCTGGATCTAGTGACAATCTCCACATTTTTGAACAACATATCAAAAAAAATGTAAGGAGGTAATATGATATATATATATGAATGAGATGATATAATACATGTAAATTATGTTAAATTAATGATAAACTCGACTCATGTGTTTGTTTATTCGTTGTGGATCTGTGATAAACTGGTTGCTGGGCTGATAAGAGTTTCATGGATCATCAGAGTGCCCCGTGAAATGGGTTTGAGATAAAATGAAATACAGTAAATTAAACGGCTGATATTGACAAAGTCCCTACAAATGGGATTGACATGTCCAAGAAACCACCATCTTTACGGGCTCTGGATGGTTTTGGCAAGTATTACGTATTGGTTCCTGTCGTTGATACATCTTGGGTGATGATATTCTCTTGTTGTTGACACATCCAATCTTCGCTGGTAAGGCAAATTTGTGGAAAGATCTTGCCCTATTGCAGCAAAGTGGGGACAACTGATTTGTATATGTAATATGGGGATGGGTCAAAACCTATTATTACCATATTTTGGGGAAGAACCATCCATTAACCAGCTATTATTTTAAGTGTACCTAGGGTACCAGGGTTTTGTGATCCATTCAACTCATAGATGGCATCTTTCCAGCTGGCCCAAGCGAAGCCGTAGAGAACGTGGCCCCAACAAGACCCATTCCGGAAAATCGTCGAAAGTTTCTGACACCCCACAAAGAAAAAACACATTAACTGGATGCAATTATAAGAAGAATTACATTATGATAAACCATTTCAACTCCTATTTGAGACCAACAACTCCAATTGCCCATCTCAAATTAAGGTATAACGTGGTTAAAACGATAATAAAAATGATAATAAACCATCCCCCAAATCATCATAATTTTAAATGGGTGCTATAAACCATCAAAAATGGTGTGGGTTTACCTGGTTTACCTGCCATCTGAGGGATGGTAAGTCAACCCGCCTCGCCAAGCGCAATGGGGAACACACCACCCGTGCAGCTCGTTTCATGCGCCGAGCCAGGTACAGCCTCGGTGCGGAGCGCACCGCACAAGTCCGGTTTTTTCAGGAAGTAGCCTGAAACATCTCCATAAAACCCGTCCAAATCCCAAGTCCAAAAGGAAGTCCTGTTCCCAATAAACCACAAATCCATGCAAATCCCAGAGAAAGAACACATGGCTATGGTCCTATGGGTCAAAAGGTCCATCCCCAATTGATCATCACTTCCCAACGATTTAAGTTGGTTCTACGAAGATATCCCATATCTTTAATGAACCCCCATATGTGTAAAAACACGGCTATCCTGATAAAGCCAAGAAAAAACACATGCATGTATGTGTATATATGATGTATATATATATATGTGTGTGTGATATGTAGTATATATCTGGGCAAATTATAATAATTCACAAACCTGAATTAAGACCATTTGGGATGATTCCCCTTATTAACCATGATTCCAGTGAGGTCGCAGTGAGGTCGTTAGAATTTACCCAGATATATGATATATATATATATGTATATACACGTAATTATATGATATCACTTCATCCCAAAAAACAGATCCTGGAGCCGAGGGCCACACAACACGCGCAGCAGAGGTTTCATGGCCAAGTCCAAGCCGGGCTGTACCACCTCAACGCTACAGAAATGGTGATGAGGGGGGATTTGTTTGTTGGTTTTACGAACTCAATTTGCTGATCATTGATCAATACCCATAGGATCCATGTATGGTATATATGCTAACATGACTGGGGTATATTGATGGTAAATGTTATCATATATAGCATACATGGATCCTATGGGATATATAAAGAGAGCATGGCCCCTCAAGTTCCTATTCTCTTCTGCTTTCGATGTAAAAGAGTTGTTGTGCTCTGGTGAGTTTATACAATGACAATCTTCTACCAGAAACTAAACAAGCTGATAACAGGATTACGGATTACTTTTACATCATCCATTGTGGACTGCGTGGGTTGATCGATTTAACTCATAGCTGGTGCTCATGGTGCCCATGGAGAATCCCACCCGGCCGCACCCGCTTGAGAATGGTTTCCCCCGCAGCCATCAGCAGGGCGAAAACGATAGGCGTGAACAACCTGCCGCGCATGGCTGTCCCAAAAGGCAGCATTAAATATCTTAAATCCATGGCTGTCCATGGCTGCCCCCCATCTTAAAATATCTTAAATATCTCACAAAATGCCCTTAGAAACCAAAGAAACCAAACCAATCACAAGTACTTTGGATACTTTGCATGGCTGCTTCATGGAATGATTGAGATTGTGCTTGTGCCCGTTCATAGGGTAGTAACTACATGGTGTAGTGTCTCTAAAAAGCATATAGTTTTATGCACCTATGCACCTATGCACCTAGCAAGCTAGAGAGGCTGAAGCATACGTGGAATCCAGATCTGTACAACACTCAGAGCTTGGGCACCTTTGTATCCGATGATCAAAATTCTTCGGTAGCAAAATGGGAACATGTGGGGACTCATATGACACATCCACATTGCAGGAACCAAGTGAACTCCTCATCTAAAATTGTGCGAATCAGAAAATCATCATTTCATATCATTGTCATGTGTTTTTCCCCACCTGCCAGGTGAGGGTTGTTAGATTTTATGTCAGTTGCCTCCTCCTCCTTCTCCTCCTCCGCCTCCTCCTGCCTCGTCCTCCTCTCCTCCTCCTCCTCCTCGTCCTCCTCGTCGTCCTCGTCGTCCTCGTCGTCCTCGTCGTCCTTGCTCAACTGCGACCCGCGATCCACAGTGTTCTCTGCCGGACCTCAACCACGACCATCCACGCCCAGTGTTCCCTGCCGGACCTCAACCACGACCATCCACGCCCAGTGTTCCCTGCCGGACCTCCCAATGTTCCCTGCCGGACCTCAACCACGACCATCCTCGCCCAGTGTTCCCTGCCGGACCTCAACCACGACCATCCACGCCCAGTGTTCCCTGCCGGACCTCAACCGCGAGTATCCACGCCAAGTGTTCCCTGCCGGACCTCATGTAGGAAGATATGGGACAAAGAATGTGCAGAAGAAAGTTAGAAAGAATCAGAAGATATGCCAGAGAATGCCAGATAGAATGCCAGAAGATGTCAGAATATATGCCAGAAGATATGCCAGATAGAATGCCAGATAATATGCCAGAAGATATGCCAGAGATAGAATGCCAGAAGATTTGCCAGATAGAATGCCAGAAAATATGCCAGAAGATATGCCAGATAGATATGCCAGAAGATATGCCAGAAGATATATGCCAGAAGATATGTCAGAATATATGCCAGAAGATATGCCAGATAGAATGCCAGAAGATATGTCAGATAGAGTGCCAGAAGATATGCCAGATAGAATGCCAGAAGATTTGCCAGATAGAATGCCAGAAGAATGCCATGCCAGATCATATGCCAGAAGATATGCCAGATAGAATGCCAAATAGAATGTCAGAAGATATGTCAGATAGAATGCCAGAAGATTTGCCAGTAAGAAAATGTATAAATGTCATGGTGGGGATCACACGAAGTAAAGTAATTTTTTCTCTGCCCATCAACAACCAACATGGGCGATAAACTCAATAAACCAAGGTTTGTATAACCGAGCAACAACTTTGGCTACCTTCACATCTACCCTTCGGAAATCTAACATAGCTATGCAAAATTGGTCATTAATGAATGATTCATACATACCTATATTTACCTATAAAAACATGTGTTTTCCCATACCAATGGCAGCTATTAAAAATGGATGATTTACTTACTAACAATGGATGATATAGTTATAGATTTACCTATATTTGCCTATTGACCTATTCAAAATTGTTAATTTACCACTATTTACCAATGAAATAACCATAGGCCATAGGCTATTTTACCAATTATAATGCCATTTATGGAATGATATCACTATTTATTTCAGCATATACAACTGGCAAAGGGCCTCAACCCGGCAGGTCTCCATCCCCTAGGCGCCTTAGAACGGTTCCCACCACCGGCAGCTGAGAGAGCCAGGTCCAAAGCATGGCCACGGACCAAAACGCCAACTTCCTGGTGCTGAAGTCTTTGGATGGGAAAACTGGCTGATTTTGGTGATGAATACTATTGATCCATACCCATCCAGACCCATATCAAGGGTATATATATAATTATATATATATGTAAATATATGAAATTATATGTAATTATATGTATATTTCATTTTCTTGTTTATAAATGGGATTTAAGAGGGATTTAAGAGGGATTTAATGAGATTTGATGGCGATTTAACCATCGATCGTATGTGATAGCTCTGGTGACTAGCCAAGCTGCGACGACGGAGCTGGACCCTTGGGGATGCACCTCCCTTTGCCAAAAGCCATTGGGAAATCATCTACCATCTGGTAAACTAACATAACTATTGAACATGGATAGTTGATTTACCTACTATATAACAATGGTGATTTTCCATAGTTATGTTAGTTTACTAGAGGGTATTGACTGGTTGGTGGTTGAGCCCTATCCCTCCGAAAAAATATGAGTTCGTCAGTTAGGATGGTGAAATTCCCAATATATTGAATAATAACAAAATGTTCCAAAATCTAAAATGAAACTGATAACCCAAAACAAGGTGTATAATTAAATGTACAACCTGGACATTTCATGGGAAAAAGACACATGTTGATATAAATTAATGGGAATTACACCACAATATGATGAGGTACAATATATGTGGATTTCTGAAATTGGGTACCGCGTAAAATTTGATGGCAGAAAGCCATCATTATGCCAAATCGCACCTGATTTGGGACTTGATACAGAGATGGCTGGTTGTGTTTAGTATTAAACAGTCCATTTATGGTAAGTAATCAGTATGTTTAATAACATTGTCAGCCGGTATTTATTTTAATTGTTAGATCGGATCACAATTTTGACGCATCCTCTCATGCTGCAAAGGCAGCATTAAATCCCAAGTAAGGATGCTATGGCCCACTTGAATGGGGTTTGACCCATCTCAAGAATAATTATTGTATCATGAGATCGGAGTGGGTGGATAGCCCTCAGCAAACTACAAAACGTATCAACACATCACAAACACGACAAGTCTTTATTGGGACCATTTCCCCCCCTCCACTAGCCACTAACCCTCAATTTTGAGGGGTTAGTGCGGTTGCTGTAATCTACTCAATAAGTACATAATTACCAAAATATATCCCACCAAAAGACCAGCATGTAAGGAAGTATGCCATAATTTTAGCAAGTATTGGTGTATCACTCTTCAAATCCGCCTGTCCGACTGTCAAGTCCATGATTCTTTTGGTCAAATGCAATTGATTCAATTTCTGACGGTTCAGTCCCCTCATGCTGGGAGCCTAAATTCCAATTCAGTGATTCTCAAATCCAATTTCTGATCATTAAATCCCAATGAATCCCAAATTAATCCCAATGTTTCATGGTGAAATCATGTTAAATTATCCATTCTTTGATAGTTAAATCCCATGGAAAAATCCCCAATCCCATGAAAAATCCCGAATGTTTGCTGGCGATTTAAGTTCCCCCAGTCTTGATCCCTCAGCATTCAGAAATGCCTGGCCAGCATGCTCTCGTGGCCATGCGCCAAGGTATCGGCAGAGTCGCAGGCAGCGAAGACCCAGAGCAGCATCACTAAGACACCTCGAATCTCGGGTGGAAATCGGGGATTTATAACACCCATGACGGATCCATGGTGCTGGTAGAAAAATGCTAACATGACTGGGGTATATTGATGGGATCCATGGCACACCATATATAGCAGCACCGTTAGGATCCGTCATGGGACATGATTTCACCATCGAACATTGGGAGATACAGGAGTTAGTTACAACCGGTATACAACCATATATAACCAAAAATAAAAAATATTAAAACATGATTTATTCGGATGGTACCATCCGATAATCAGCTCCATGGCTGACATGGCTTGCTGAGAATCCCAGATTTAGTTCGGGGATTGTCGCCATGTTTGATTTCTCGAGATCTTCCCAAAATGGTCAATTTGAATCAATTCGAATCAATTTGAATGGGAAGAAACAATGATAATACATGATAAACACCATGATGGTGAAATTTGAGCCACTAAATTTTCGGACAAACTTTTCCCGCCGCAAATTTGCGGATCTTCACCAGAAAAACGTTGCAGCTGAGACTGGCACATTCAAATAGCAAGCAATACCGATACAACCGAACCGAAGATTGCAGACAAAAGGACATTCAAGAGATGTTCAACCCTGCAAGACCTAACTTGTCTTTTAGGAGAAGAAACATCAATGGAAAAGGGACCCCTCTACAATCAAACATTGATTTATATCAGTGGAATCTAACCAGCGATTTTCGCATGCAGCATCGACGAGGGTCCATGGTGACATCATGGTGATGCGATGGTGACAAAACCATGTATCCATGAAGGATGTTGCAATAGTTAAACACGATTCAGAAAGAATACCCTCTGGTAAACATACAACAAACTATGGAAAATCACAATTTTTAATGGGACAATCAACTATAAATGGCCATTTTCAATAGCTATGTTAGTTTACCAGAGGGTACATCAATACCCCGGCAGGGTAGTGATGAAATAAAACACTGACAAGAAAAACACTTCTTTTTTTCCCTGGCTACAAAATTAACTGGTGCTAGTGTACAATGAAAAACATCAAAGGCTGATGATGTTGATTGATGGTGATGGTGATGGTGATGGTGATGGTGATGATGATGGTGATGATGATGATGATGGTGATGATGATGATGATGCTGATGATGCTGATGATGATTATACAAATACGGATAAAGATAAAGATGAAGATGAATATTATGACGACGACGAAGACGATGACAATGAGGATGGCGATGAAGAAGACTGAAGAAGATGATGAACAAACACCATGAAGTATAAATATGCAATCTCGTACCTACATATAGTGTTTTTTCTTGGTGGCGACAATGCTCAAGTACCCCCAATAATTAAATTGCCATAGTGGACAGGGCACGATTGGCAAAGGACACTGCGGTGTAGAAGGCAATAACCTAAGTGGATGGGCAGAAAACAAGTGTGGGAAATGATGCCCTCAAAATTAGAGTTTCCACTCTTCCCAGAATTTGTTGAGGGCAAAAAAAGGTGGGAAACCTATTTTTGGAATACCGTTTTCTGGATCGCAAGACTATATCAATCCAGTGAGCCTTTTGAACTGTCGATTCAAAAAAGATGTAGAACCCCTCACATGTTTTTTTTCCATAAATGGGGATCCCCTTAAATTGGATGGTTTATCATGGAAAATCCTATTGACATGATTTAAAATGGATGATTTGGGCATATCCCAAATTTTCAGGAACCCTCCACATGGTTGATGTACACTGGGGAACTTCCTCAACTTCTGGTGGAGAAACAACCATTTGTACACTATCTTCATGGCGAAACCATTGCTTTTCCACATCTATGTTACAGTAGTTTACCCACTCGGGTATCAAATGAAAGCAGTATCAGAACCATAAACATCCAGAAACTGAGCACTCATTGACATACAGTTGGCAGTCTCAGCTCGGTCGTAGCTGATGATGACTTTTGCCATTGAGTTTTCACTTCCAAGACTTGGCTCCCTGGACCACCCAACGATGAAACATAGTTGGTTTATGTTTTTTGTTGCAACATCACCTGTGGTTATTTTATTTCAATGAATTGGTCGGAAAATCTTAACCGGAAACCATGGTTCTCACCAGTAATGTTAGGGAATTCCTGTACATTTTCCCATCATCCAAGCCTGTGGTTGTTGAAACCCCGACCTGGGCAAGGACCAACCCCTGGGCACGCCGACCATCAATGCCAGTAGAATCGCTCCGGCCACGCCCTCGGGGTGACCAAACAAATCCCTTGCAAACTGCATGGCAACACATGTCCCATGGTCTAGTTATGTCAGGTCATTATATGGGGGTTTCCAAAATGGGGGTACCTCCCAAATCATCCAATTTATCAGGATTTCCATGGATTTCCCCCATCCTAAACCATCCAGCAAAAAAGGGGGTACCCCCCATGTCTATGGAAACCTCCATATATAATATAGATGCATTCTACCCAGACCTAAGGAGATTGAGAGGTGGTCATTAAACATAGCAAACGATTTTCATTGGGGCTTATCATGACTGGTTGGTGGTATACCTACCCCTCTGAAAAATATGAAAGTCAGTTGGGATGATTCTTCCCAATATATGGAAACATATAATCAAAATTGTTCCAAACCACCAACCAGATGATTTATAAACCCATTGTAAGGATTTCCAATATGGCATGGATGAACATAAACAATTGTACCATCTTTTGACCATGGAGCATATGGGAGTGCCAAAGGCAGAATCATCATAATCCTACGTGTTGATGCTTGATGTTTAACGTGTGTTGACTAAGAGGACAAAAAAAAACACCATAAGGGTTTGTCACACACTGTCAGACAGTGGGATGATTATCAGACACTTAATGATTAAAAATATGATGTTGATTATCACTAATCCCATCATAATCTTCATCAGAATCAGAAGGGTTTTTTTATCTTCGTTACCATTGATGTTTCATTGAAATGGGGTATCCATTGAAAACCCATTGGTTTGTCAGACACAACGGGGTACCCCATTCAATGGATTATGAAATTATATGAAATTATGATCATCCTTTCATCAGAAACCTTGCAGTCGGACAAACCCTTTTAGACCAAACATATCCAATTCTTGGGAAATCCGACCCATTGACGCTGACCGTTCGTGAAAAATTATATAATTGCGATCCCCAAATATCTATGAAATTCATTGGTGAAATTCATATGTTTGATGATGTTTGATGGTTACACCATGTTACACCCCTTTTATGGATCACATGTTCTATGATTCATTGGTTAAATTCATATGTTAGATGGTTAAAATCAAAATTTGTGTTGGTCAGATCCACACATTTTATGGATCACACTGTTTGCTGGTTACGTGCAGCAATTTCCCAGAAATCCCGCTGATTTCGGTCATTGATTTCGGCCAAAGCACCGCGGCCAGCAAGCGCCAGCGCTGTTGGAACATGGCTTGAAGCCTGGGCCAAGCACCAGCATTTCCCAGTAAGTATAGGGGCATGATGTAAATTTCCATTTGAAGTACCATATCTAGAGGATAACTCCATGATGAGTAAATTTCCATGAGGTATTTCAACCTCTATATGTAAATTTCCCAGGACTGAAAAATGTCCAGCTGGACATTTTCTCCATGTCTAGCCTATCACTGCTCCACCTTGAATAGCTGGTTCCTGTTTCCACCCATCCCAAGAGTGTTCCCCGAAACGATACCTCAAGGATTACTCTCTGAGGTTGTCTAGAATACCGAGGCAACCAAGCGACATCGAAAGGAGGTTGAAGGATGGAGTGGTCACGCCACCTGCAGTATTGCACAATGCTTGGAAGTGGAGGCAGCCGCTATTCAGAACAAAGGTGTTGTGTGATCTGTTCCAATGCCATTCTCAACCTAGAGGTAGATTAGAAACGCAACTCCGGAAATACAATGATATGTAATGTAATATGGATAAATACATAACAAATGTCTCATGTTCACAGTACCCCCCCATATGGAATGAGGGGTTACCCCCCCCCCCCCCCCCCCCCCCTCCCCCAAACCACCCGCATCCCCCACCACATCCACAGGGGGAGGGATACATAGACATATGCACAAACACATACATATACATACTGTATACATTAGCAGTAGCACATTTACACATACTACATACGTATACACACATGTGTATATATATATATACGTATATGTATAATTAGTTTACATACACATATAGGGACCATCATCATCTCGGGTGGGAGGGGGGGACCACCAGACACCGGGCCATACATATTCACTTATACAGAATGAATCATGATGCATCATATTATATATGTAATTTATATATATATATATATCAGACGATACCATGTTCTTCAACAAAAACAGCAATGCAGCACAATATCACAGGTTATATTCAAACTTCCCCTTACCCCCTGTCATCAATGTTGAAGCTGTTTGAATTGGAACTGCTAGCTTTTTTTATTAATTGAAGGGCATGCGACAGCAAATCTGGATCGCAACTTTGAAGTTAGGGGTAGGGGGAGAAGTTGGAAACCATTGCCTAGAAAGCCTAGTTGGCTGTTTTTCTTCAAGAACCCGGTGTGTAACATGACATCACATGAACAGCCAGGGACGTTGCCGGCGCCCATCAGAGATTCCCAACACATCTCCAAGGCACTTCGTAGAACCTGCAGGTAGTGCATCACTGGCAGATTTCCCATGCTGGGCCATGTGTCAGGCCTCGCACGTTACTGCGCTTTGGTGGACTGTTAGTGAGGCTGGGGATATTGCTATATATATATTATGTCTATTATGTCATATGTATCTGTATATATATAGATATATACAAGGTGGGGCCCCTGAATAGCTAAGTTGCTAAGTTGGTTCACAACTCCAAAATTATCAATAACCAACAAAACTATGGTTTATTGCAATTAACATAATTAACAACTATAGTTAATTGGGGTTATAATCAAACTTATATCCGGGGGGGGCACCAGGGCACCTTGTACACATGTTCAATGGGTTTGGGACTAAATTAGATTATCCTAAAATTGGGTGAAGCCTAAAAATCAAATTTGAGGTCTCCTGGGTCTGACACATTTGACACATTCTCATATGTGCTCATACTCTGAAGATCTGTGTTTGTGGGGTGATCATCATCCCTTAAAAGGATGGCAAGTCTTGGACTTTTAAAAACTCACAGCCATCAACCAGCACTCTGAGATTCCAGACATTCGGCCCAAAACATGACGCCTGAGAGCTGATTGGAACTGCAGAACTGGGGTATTTCTTTTGAACTCATCATGTTTTTTCAGTTACTGAGATGTATATATATATAAATAATTACATATGTATATATAATATATAATATAGAATTGTAGCCAATTAAATATTTTAAAAAACAAATTAGTTGGTTGAACTGGTAAAACCTATGGTTAAAATAGGTTTAAATACCCATAAAATGCAGGGGCTATGACCCGGCCCCGTTCAAGTGCTTGGTGGCTCGTCATCTGCAGGTCATTTCATCCGATTCATAGAATCGATGTACCTGGACCTCCAAGGACCCTGAAAAATGGGTAATTTTGTGGCTGGTTGGTGGTACCTACCCCTCTGAAAAATATGAAAGTCAGTTGGGATGATGACCTTCCCAATATATGGAAAAATAAAAGCCATGTTCCAAACCACCAAGCAGATGGTAATATAGCTACTATACCCATTGTGACTTGGGATAGTGTCGGACTCTTACCAATTTAAAGCTGGGTACTTGGAGGGTCTAAGTAGCTGTATTAATCCACACGTAGTTATTGCGTATCATGGACATTTACTGGTTAACGCAGAACAGAAAGCACATGTTCGGCATTGGATAAGGCATGAGATTTCATCTACAGAGTTCGGCCATTCGGAGACAGTTGCCCTTACAAACCGCAATTTGGAGTGACGTTGTAGTGAGGTTGCGCATCAATTTCCATGTTTTTTCAGTTCAATTATATGCATTACTGGTTGGTGGTATACCTACCCCTCTGAAAAATATGAAAGTCAGTTGGGATGATGACCTTCCCAATATGTGGAAAAATCAAACATGTTCCAAACCACCAACCAGATTATGAATTCCCCATGTAACGTACCCATAGATTCTATTAGATTGGTGATTAATTGATCCATGATGAATTTCTATTTAAGAAAATGCCATCAAGTAGATCCATTCTCAATTCCTTACAAAGCTATAAGATGTGGTTTTATGAATTGATGGCCAATTGACCCAGCTAAGCATCGACAAGGGGCAGAAGGGCCAGTTGCAAACGGCTGCCCTGCCAAAGCTGTAGCCAAATCCTTGGGAACCATTGGGGTTCTCTGAATCTTATGGGATCTTATGGGGAACAAACAAATTTCATCTGATTGGTTAATAATGGTTCATAATGGTTAATATATGGTTATTATATCGTTGATGATGGTTAATAACAATCTGGTTGGTGGTATACCTACCCCTCTGAAAAATATGACTTCGTCAGTTGGGATGATGAAATTCCCAACTGAATAGAAAAATAAAAGCCATGTTCCAAACCACCAACCAGTCATGGTCAGAAATCTTATTTTCCAAATGAACATGTTGAATTTTCAGACAAATACACTAGCCAGGATTGATGTGTTCAAGGGCCGAAGAACCTTGCAGTAGGCCTACTTGGGGATGCATCACAGTGTCGTAAGTGGGCAATAGCCCAATTATAAGTCATACAAGTATATATCTGAATAATTTATGAATGTGTGTATCTATATAAATACATATAAATACATGTATATATATATAAATGAGGGGAAATTCCCATGTATAACTGGCTTATAACATCTTATAACCCACTTAGCAACTTGGATGCAGATCCTGAAGATTCTACGCTAACATTTCTGAGGGTAGGATTGGAAAGGGTTCTGCTTTCCCAAATGATGACTCTCATGAAAATCTTCCCAGCATGCTTCCGGTCCAGACTCCGGGCAAGCATCGCTGATTGGTTTCACCCTATCCAAAATGGAGTCGAACCCCACCCTGTTTCCTGTTGATATTCTCATTTTCTGTTGCTAGACTTTGTAGTTTTGTCCGTTCAATGCCTAATTCTGAATTTTGGTATAAACTCCCGAAAACTCCCCTTGTTTCATAATGAAATCATATGAAATCACCATGTTTGGTGGTTGAATCCTAATTTGTCCTGCAGCCCCATTCTTGGCGCTTAAATTCCTATGTTTGGCCCTTAACTCCCAGCATGTTCCCCAAAACAGACGAGGGACACGAAGATCAGCAAACCACGGCGAAGATGGGCCTGGGCCACATCTACCTGACGCAGCATTGGGATATTGTGGATGGACAAGCCTGCAGTTGATATCTAATGGGAACTGTTGACTATGAAGCATCCAAGTATCAACTATTACTGTAGTTGGTATTAGTTAACTGAATAATGTTGGTCACTATGACATAATATGATCTAAGAATTATCAACCATACCATGGGATTCGAATAGGGTTTTTCTACATGGATAAACCATCAACTGGTGCAGGAACTCCGTGGGTTCTTCATCCCAAACCTGGCGCCAGGTTTTTCTGAAATTCTTCCAGCGATGTTTTATTGGGGATAGCGGCTATGCAACGGTTGGTGGTTTTTCGCCCTAGCCCTCTGAAAAATCATGGAGTGAACGTCAGTTGGGATGATTTTCCACTCCCAACTGTTCCTGGAAAGTCCTAATCCAGCCATGTTCCAAAGCACCATATGTCAGTGAATAATCAGTTGAATAATACTGACATATACTCACCATTTCTCCCATTGTTTTTTTTTGATACTCCATATCCCATAGGATCCATGTATGGTATATATGCTAACATTTGAGGTATATTGATGGTAAATGTTACCATATATAGCATACATGGATCCTATGGGTATGACATCATGGCTATTGAATGGCTCTCCAGCGATCCGGCGCTCGCCCAGAGGTGGTTGCCAAAAAACACCATCGTTAAATTGGATCGACCCAAATAAAAACCGGCCATCTTTGGAAGATCTGCATGTTGTCATTCCTTAAAAGTTCCTTAATTAAGATCAACAACTGGTGTGTGTGTGTGTGCATCTTGTTTTTTTTGCCTGACAGTGATATACGGATATCACTGGATAGGGGCGGATAGGGTCCCATAGCCAATTGATGTCGATGATAAATAACTTCAACAATGATAATGGTGCAACAAAAATGATGTCATCAACAGTAAGACAACAAAATCATCAACCATAGGAAAGGGTCCTTAAATATGGCTAGCCCAAAGTTTTCCCATTGACAAGAATGTCAACCCTGGATTAATAAACCCCTAGGCTATTTAATTGGTAAGGTACCATTTAAGTATCAAATCATGACTATTGGAGGAGTATGTACCCCCTAATTAATAAACCATGGTTTATTAATCCAGGGTTGACAATAACCATAAACAGTTGTGGATAATTCTGAGTTCCTCCATCACTGGGACCTCTGGAACGTCTAGCAGCTCCAAAAGGTAGGGCAAGCCTAGCGAAACCCAGTGCATCGAATTTAGGGAAATACACTCATCAACTAGGCTCCTCGAATCAGTTAAACGTCTATCAAATATATTTATATTATAATATATATATATATATTATATTATTATTATATATATATCAAGTTATATATATATATCCAGGGACTCAAAAAGTACGTCTTCATCAAAATGCGTAGTAAGTCGACCCAAAAAGAACATCCACACAGCTGATGTCCCTTTTGAGGTCCCGGACCTCAAAAAGAACACTGCTATAACATGTATAACATCCTTTATATAATTAGATGTATCTTTTGAGGTTTCAGGCCCCAAAAAGAACATTGCTACAAAATGCTACAAAATCACCAAGCGCGAGTAATCGTGAGTATTCATGCGCAGGACCCTAAAAAGTATGGCCCTAGGGCCCTAAAAGGTAGGTAAAGGCCTTAAACGGTACACATAGCGGCTGAAGAATTGTGAGAAATCGTGAGTGAATCGTGAGTGAATCGTGAGTAATCGAGAATGAACATTGCTATAAACCCTGGGCCGTAAAAAAATTGATCTTGCATGATCTTGCTATAAACTCTCGGCCGTAGAACCCAATGCCATTGCTATAGGCACTCGGCCGTAAACTCTCCGCATTGCCAGGGTCTCTCAGCGAGCACCCCTTTGGTGCCACTCTTCCCAAACACTCAGTCATGTACAGCCTTAGGACTTACAGGGTATGTAAATCTATTGCTGGCACAATCTTCATCAATATTCACCTTTAGGATAGGACTCTCCCCTTCTTATCATTTGTTTTGCTTCACTTTCTCGTCTGCCAAAGGATGTGCTGATTAGGGTCAGTGGTGCAAGTGGCTGAAAGGCCCTTCCGGCTTTGCTGAAAACATTTTTTTCGACGAGTGTGACACGCCGATTCACCTTCCAATCTGGCTGCTAACTTGTACACAATTCGAAATTCTAGGTGATTAAATGTGGTTGCATTGTGGTTGAGCATGAATAAATAGATATAAAATAGTTTATTTTGGCTAACCAGCTAACATATATAATATGCAAGCATTAATTCTACTTTCTCGTAATTTGGCATATGGAAAATCAATGAAAATCACCACTTTAACGGGTAAATCATAGCACTACATTGGCAATGTTCCGAAAAAATCTAGATTGGTTAGAAAACCAAAGGCCTAGTCCTGTGGTCCCTCCCCTGATCCGGCTCATTGTTACTACCACTCAAAACACCTGGGTTTGTCCAAACAACAGGGTAGAAAAAAAACCCAAAACCACCACTTAACTAAGAGAAAATCCATATATTTCCAGAATATTCCCCTCCTTCAATTTCATGCATACTACCACCACCATTTATTTTGACCTTTGTTTCTGCCCAAGAAATTCTGAGCCAAGCCTTGCTCCGCGGACACCAACAAAGGCCAAGCCGCCCAATAGGATAACCAAAACCTGGCGATTCTGGCCACTGCTTATTACCGTAGTTAACAGGTGAAGATATATGGTACCAAACTGCATGATCAATGTTCAAACTAAATATTATATATATAACCCTGTATATATATAATTGTATATACATACATAAAAAGGCATATTCTGTCGGTGCTTCTGATTCTGCAGCTTCTCTTCCACCTGGCCAGGGCGCGGCTCAAAACGACTGTCAAAAACAGATTAGCTTGATTTCAATGTGGGCTCAAGCGGCCTGGACAGATGCTGATTGAATAGTTACGGAAAACTTTCTGCTCCCCGAAAAAGTGTCTTCCAAACCAACGTGCTTGCTGGTGCCCACAGAACCCTTGAAACAATCTTTGGGGGCTACAAACCCAAGCCAGCTTCTTCCAAAGGATCTTGCAAGAACAGTTCGTCACAGAAAACTTTTCTGGGCCCCAAAAACTTTCTTCCAAACCTACGTGCTTGCTATAGGCTATATAATCCGTGATGGACAAATAGATGTTTGTTCAGTTTTGTTCAAGTGTGTTGAAGTACCAGGTTGTGGTGCGGCACATTGGCAAGAAACTCAAAATCTTGAGTCCTTCAGGGTCCTGCTGCTCGGGCACCCCGTCTGTCAGTGGATGGCAGTGATGGCAGCGACAATTCGAACTGTTCCAACATCACATAGGATTGGTCAATGCAGAGCGTCTTGCTGGAACTGATCCGGCTCGGCTGTAGTGCTTGCCGTGCTTGCCAGTAACATCCAGATCCGACATTGCTGCTGGGCTGTGGCTTGGCTTGCGCTTTATTTCGAGTTGTGCTTGCGCGCCTAAAAGCCGTGGCAAACACATTTTCAGGACCCGGTGTGAAGGAATATGGGGCAGACACCCTTGTTTCATGCCCCGAAACCTAAACCCAAAAAAACGTTTCGGTGCCTAAAAATTGCTTTTTTCCCCGCCACCTTTCTGAGACCTGATGCCATGCTAAAAGGAATATCTGGCCCTTGGCTCTGTTTAGAATGTGTGCGCCCGAAAAAAAAATGAACCCGATTTTTTTTGTTCTCCCACCTCCCGTACCTATCACCAGCCAAAAATGAACTATCAAGCCCTGACAGTGTGGTTTAACAGACCTCCACAGGTGTATTAACCTGTCGAATATAAGGTGCTAGAAGTTTTATCTTTCTCTCAGCAACCCAAACTCACAGCAAACCCGTAGACGCACAACAACCATCCCGGCCTTTAGCTTCTCCTCCTCTTCTTCGGCTCTTTGCTGCTGCAAGGCTGTCTCTGGAGGCACTATTTACACAGAATGCTAAATTGAGAAATCACTAAGAAACCGCAAACCCTCACCATATGTATGCCCCTTAAGAACAACCCCTTAAGAACTTGAGGGTACCCTCCTTCACAATTCCCAGATTTTTCCGCCAGCACTGAAGAACCCCCAATTATTTGTCACTGGGCATATGACCACGTCTGTAAACAATGCATTTGTTTCTGGGTAGATCATCTTATCCAAGGTTTACAGAGTAAAGTTGGCTGACCAGCCTGCTTTTGTTATAATTCACCATCTTACCCTCCAAAAATACGCAAACATGGCAAACAAATGTGCAATACAATGATGGGCTTTCTGTCTGGTCAACTGAAGTTCTATGAACCGGTATAGAACAGGTCTTGTTTCAACTCATCGAGTGGGGCCCTAGTACAATGTGCGATTCTGCTTCAAATCATGGCTAACCTTGGATACCCTTGAAAGAGAAAGTAGCAGAATACAGTTCTATATTTATGTATACATATATACACACAGTATACATGTGTCCATTTACAAAAGGTTACAGCAAACAGATAAGCCATTCACCCAGAAGACAGAAGGGGTTTATCCAGCAAATATTCCTTCTACATGCTCAACAATGATGGGCGTACCCAACAATAGCTGGCTTATTTTGCTCCGCTTCACTAACTAAGTTGGTTTCAAAAACTCTACTAATAATTAGAATCACCATCCCATAATTATAACAAAAAAACAACAAACGATTCGAAACCACCAACAAAATATTAAAACATGTTATACCCATTTTATACCCATCTTATACCCATGTTATACCCACTGTGTTTTCTGGTGATAGATCCACTGTTTGGTATTCACCCTCTTACCATCCCCACCCAACATAGCCCCACCTCTGCGTGCTGGCGGAGGCCTCAGGCATGGGCATTTTTACGGGCCCCAAAAAAGCTAGCCGCAGCTAGCTTTCAGAATTGGGATACAGGATACATAATTTATATGATTATAAATTATATATATATAATTATATAATATAATTATTAATAATACATTATATATTATAATATATAATTAATAAGAATCATATATTATATATAATCAACCTATGATGGGGTTTAATGGGGTTTAATAAACATATTTAATGAGATTCAACGATATGTTTCATGGTCACGTCATCCCAATATAATTGGAGACCTGACAAACATGGGGACACTTTATGAGATTTAAAATTTGTCGTAAAACCAACTTAGGATGATTTGGGTCTGTCTGAAAATTGGCTATACCTCCAAATTTATGGAGATTTTAATGGGGAAAATGAGACGTCTAAAACATCAATTTTTAAGGTACCCTATTTTCAGATAAAGCCAACTCATCTCAATTAACTCGTTCAACAAATCGTTTCGAGGCGAAACCGCTCTCTGAAAAGCACTGAAAGGGGCACATATGAGGATTGTGGACTGGGATGGACTGGGTTTGGTTGTCCTGTTTGAGCCACCGATGCTTTATGCTAGCCAACCACCGATGCTTTATGCTAGCCAACTGTGCAGTCATGGCCCGACCCATTCATCATTGCTGAGCTATGAGCAACTAGAAATAGTGACAAAACACCCCTGAAAAAAGGAACACTACGAATTGCCGAAACAAAGTGGTGAGTACCACATCTGAACCTCTGACACTTTTGACACAATCCGACCGAGTAGACGGCCTTTCTGTGTCTCCCCAAGTCTAAGTGGTTCTATCCCCCCTTTGTTGCCTACTCATATCCATATGCTGATGAATGCCCACCATTTTTGGTTCAATAGTGACCTATGGCACCCTATTTTTGAAGGATGGCTTTTAACAGATCCCATCCTATCCCAAGCGGAACCTGAAACTCCATGGGTTCTTCGGAAGCCGCCGGCCTCGGACCGGGTGCATTTTTTGTGGCAGGCTTTGTGGGATATTGGGAAACGCACCATACCCTCCATCTGGGGTCTATATGCGACATAATGTTTAAAATTACATATATATATAGTGTCAAAAAAAAAGTATACATCACTATATATATATAGATCTATTAAATTATCGTACAATATTATACGATATTTAGTATCTACCAGTCATATATCTCTGGTATTCTCTGGTACTTTGGTGCTTTCGAGCCATGTCAACGTCAACCAGCAACCAGGACTTAGGTGCACGAAATCACTGTATTACTTGTATTTGTTCTCAAATTTCTAGGGTGTAGAATGTTTATTGCTTGTTCAAATGTTGGTTCTATCAAATTCACAAAGCTCATCTTGATTCGGTGATTTGCAGTTGAAACAAAAAAGGTAGCCATTCCTTCGTTTGCGGCACAAACGTGTCACTAGTCAAACATTATGTTCCTATCTTGACCTACAAATGGATGTTCAGATTTAGTCTTAAACCATACCTAAGGAAAACACGTCTAATTTACACTAGTTTTTTTTACAAATCATGAACCAGAACCAAGGTGTTGTAACCATATTAACATATTCATATTCTTGAACATGTTCCCTCCAACCCCCCACATTCGCCCATGCCAAAAGAACACACCCAACCAGATATAATATATACAATATTATATATACATATATATATACAATAGTCACCAGAGGATAAACAAAAACACTGCCTATACGCAGCAAATTACGACTCTAAGGTCTTCAGGATTTTTAGGGTTTTACCCTCTGGTAAACGTTGGCATAACTATATAGTTTGAACATCACTAGAAATGAGTAGGTAAATCAACTACAAATAGGTATGATTATATATCAATACATATATATATATATCATAATATCACTAGAAATGCTTTTCTGAAAATCACTAGAAATCATATCAAAATCATATCATAAATCAACTACAAATGGCTTATTTTCGAATAGGATCCTGAGACCCTGAGATGCCCCGACCGGCCGGACCGGCCGCTGGCAGAAGCACGCCGGCGTCCGGGGCTTGCCTTCCGAAGGCTGGCAGGTTTCACTGTTTTTTTCAACAGTTTAACTGGTCATCAAAGGTACAATGTGGGGCCCCCCAGTTATAAGTTGGTTTAGATTCGCCCCAGTAACTATAGTTATAAGTACCATAAACGATAGTTATTGGAGTTGTAAACCAACTTAGCTATCTTGGGGGCCTCACATTGTAGAAATATGGGAAATGCCCATTTCAAAAGGATTGTCTAACGAGTCTAACGGGACACACAACCTCTAAAGACGTGGATTCTCCAGCAAGCCACGTTTGATGATCGGAGGGTATGTACCGTAAAAAAAATCAGCAAAAGCAATCTGTGGGTTCAACCCACCATAACACCTTAGGCTCAAGCCACATGATTCTATTTTGGAGCACCGCACCGTGCAAATATGTGGCCCATGCCATGGGAATTCAAACAGAATGGCTATATAGGCTATAACATATATATATAGTAATACATAGTATTATATAATTATGTATACATATATTTATCACAATATATATATATTCCCAATAATATGACCATCCGCTTTTATGGAAGAATAAAACAAACTTGACCATGGTACTTGAAATAGAGTCAATTGGGATTATCCTAGGCTCCCAGGAATACTGCACTGTAGTGTGAAAAATGAAAACCATATATGACACCACCACTCTGTCAGCACAAGGTTTATTTAATTGTATAAAACCATATATGACCATATATGATATAATTTCCGCCAATCATTTTTAATATTTATAATATCCACAATCACCAATCCAAACAGTGTTATGATTAAACCATGACCATGGGCTCCTGTTGAAAGTTTCACTTCAACCCAATCAATCCGATTCCACGACCTCGCCTGAGCGCCGTTGCGTGAAGGCAGGGCCAAGTGCTGCGCCGGCGCCTGAGTTCTGGTAATCAGATGACGGGGAAAAATGACTGGGAAAATGATGATCAACCAATGGATTGAGGATACGATCATCATATAATCATTGGTTGATTATGGATTGATTATATATGATTGGTTGATCATCATTTAATGGTTGATAATCATGATCATCCGCATCAAAAATCATTTCTTATCATTTGACCTCCCAAAAAATGGGGGCTTTTTTATGTGTACAATGAAGCTTGGCGTTTTGCGTGCTAAGGGAAAGGGATAGTCTGCATTATTCCATTACCGGTCAGGTTGATACCCCAGGATGGCTGCCCTTCGAATCCGGCACAGCACATGTTATCTATCGGAACATTTTTTCCACGACGCACATGAGCAATTAAAGACTTCAAAACATATACGGTATCTTCACCTAATTTGTAAACCATGACCATACAGTTTGAACATAGTTTGAACTTGATTTTGAGTCTATACGAGGGTATCCTAAAGTAGGGGTACCCAATCATCAAAGGTCAGACTACTTTAGTATTGAAACCCATGGTTTTGGGCTACCCAGATTTTAGGAAAACAGTCAAAATACAAATGTATATTATATAATATATACCCTCTGGTAATTTAACATAGCTATTGAAAATGACCATTTATAGTGGATTTTCCCATTGAAAATTGTGATTTTCCATAGTTATGTTAGTTTACCAGAGGGTATATATATATATATATATATATTCAAAACCAGGGCCTCCCTTTGTTCATCCAGCCGGCTGGTTCGCACCTCCAAGGCCAGCAGTTCGGCGAACTTGGGCGCTGGACGCCATCCCAGGGCATACAAACTGCCCAACGTGGGCACCTCTGGCGCCGGAGTTTAAAAGGCAGAATGTTTTTTTTCAGTTGGTTGGAAAAAACAATACATCCTATATCATTCTATATCATCCTATATCATCCTATATCATCCTATATCATCCTCAAGTGATGTTAATTTCAAACCAACTTTGCTTTGAAGGTTGCATTTTGTCATATTTGTTGTTTGCTTGGAAGGCACCGAGAGCTGCATGCGAAAAACATATTGTTTTATATAGAGCGCAGTCAAACAAAGACTTCCATGCTCCAGAAAGAAAGAACTTAGAACTATCTGGCACTATGTTGTAAGATTTTGTTGATGGATCATTGGATCACGTTTTTTTCTATCGTCCTTGTAGGATAATGACCAATACAGCTGACGGCCTTGGTGCTTTTGTTCTCCCCCGGTTGGATTTTCAAATTTTCAAAGGGACGGTTGGTACTTCAGGACTTGAAATGTGTTCTAACACAACTCCTGGTCCAAAGAACAGGCGTTTCAACCAAAATCTGCACAGGTGATCCCAGTGAGTTGGGCTGCCCGGACAGTGGTCAAGAAATTCCTCAAGCAGAGGTGTTGCCAGTTGGGGGACAGGAAACCTGCCAGCTGAGCAATGGAGGTCATTTTTTGGCACAAGAGAAACCCTGGTGGATGATTGACATCGTCAAACAAACCAGGCTGAATACGTACCCTCTGGTAAACTAACTGTAACATAGCTATACATCATACTTATATATATCTATATATATATACATATTAGGTAAAACAACTATAAATGATCATTTTCAATAGCTATGAGCTACGGTAGATGGAAGAAATCCTGCACCAGTTGATAGGTGGTTTATCCCACTATTTACAGGGTTTCAACCATCCAAGATGGTGGAGGATTTCTTCCATCCACAGTATTTATCTCTACCAGAGGGTATCTATTGAATATTGTGCAAGGACTCCTCTCGACAAAGGCTGTGATGTAGGGATATAGATATAATCCTTGGGATTGTTTGGGTATAACCGCGTGGGCTATGTGAAATATGATGAAATATGGACCTTACTGGAAGCTCCACAGTGAACAAATCTCTTCCACATCACTGAAGACAAATGTTGCATCGTGCTGGCAGCGGATCCTGCGTTACACAAGACATAAAGACCCGTGCAGGGCTACAGTTGCCCACACATCAACAATCCATTGGAAGCAATGTTGACGGATATATCCTCAATCCACAACACTTCGGATTGTGTTGGTTCATTCCGCCAAAACTCACGGCCACATACCAAATGTTGACGACATTGCCCGTAGGGACATGTTGTTTCCAATCCATTCCAATCCTTTATATAGAGTGTCTTAGTCACAAAAAAAAGGAACAAAAACATCCGGGCATTTTTTTTCCTTCATGGCTTCACATAATCCGATCTTCCACCTTGTCTCCACCAGTTTTGGATGGTAAAAATCAGGACACAATTAGCCTAGAAAAAAACGATTAAAAAAAGACAGGTCAACACCGGTTGCACATCCACTGCCAACCTGAGAAGTACCAGAGAACAGGGCATGCCAGCAAGAAGGACCCATGGAACAACACTGCCCTGAGCTGTGGCAGGCGCTATGGCCACATTGACTGATCGGGGGTTTCAATTGATCCAACATATATTGGTCAATTTGGATCATCGCAAATGGGGTGGCAAATTAGAGTTGTCTGAAACCAGCAACCAAAGTGATCAGTGCTTTATGTCATTTTATGTCTAAGTATGAAACCATCTCCAAACGCGGGTCAATAATTTTAAACCATACCCACATACTGAGCATCTTATTAAGTTGCTGAGTAGTACTACGTAGCTGATAGCCCTGGTCATAATCGTAATGGAAATCGGATAGCCTCAGTTCTGGACTTCTGAATCATAGATTCAAAATTAATCAAAATTATGTATACGTTTCAAATTGGATCATCCCATGTTTCTTCGCAATCATGTGTTTCATTGTGTTTCTCCCTGCTGGTAAGTTACCCAGTTTCAACGGACTGATTTACTGTTAGTAGTCTGTAAGGTTTTTTGTGGAACACCATAATACCATTGTCTTAGATACTGTAATCTGTAAGGTTTTTTGTGGAACACCATAAGTATATTGATAGTAAATGTTACCATATATAGCATACATGGATCCTATGGGTAATACCATTGTCTTCTAGTTCAATGTCCAGTGTTTTCAACATTCTCAATGTTCCGTTCAACCACTTCAATTAGACTTTCCATGGCCGCGCCCATGGCTGGGCATCCAAGGCACAGCATGATGCGCTTCATGGCGCTGCGGCGACGATGAAAGGCATCCAGCAGCCTGGTGTTGGCGAAGTTCGGCAGAACAGCGGAGGTGATGTGGAACGCCTGTGTTTGGTGCTTACCCTCTGGTAATTTAACATAGCTATGGAACATCACCATCAAAAATAGTTTACCAGAGGGTAACAAAACCACAATTCTTTTGATTTTTGGTGGAATCAGGCGGTGGGAAAAATGCATAAAAATGCCATGTTCATTGGCTCTTATCCCATCTAAAAACCTGAGTTGTTGGTGGTTATATCCACTTCTGTTTGGTGCCCACATGGGAATAAAATGGAATAAGTCCAACAGTTTGGGGACGCCAGTAGAGTTGAAACTACTAAGTGCCATTGGTTTGATCTTCCCCACACAAACGATGCTTCACTCCGCTTCTCCACCAAATATAGCTATAAAAAAAACGGTAGCCAGTTTGCCATCTGCCATACAAGCTATATCAATGACTAGCAATGACATGACTTCGGATGTGGGGAAGTCTCCATTTTTCCATCCAAATCATCCCAAAATCGCCCAGGATCCAGGATGGAACGATGCCTCTTCACTGCTAGGCCCAACAAATAGAGGCCCACAGGTCCAGCAACTAGGACCTGACGTCTGCAGAGAAGATGGCAAAATTTCGGGAGCTTCATGACGACTACAGTTGCGGCTCTTTACCAGTTATAAGTCAATAAGAGCCAGTTATAACACCAGTTATAACACCATTTATGGAATGATAACCCCATTTAGACAAATGTTTAGACCACGTCTAACCGGTTTTTAGGGCTTTAACAGTGAGGAATTCTTGGGCGTACTTGACGTTGCTTGGAGTGGTACATCTCCGGTATCCTTTTTCATTGCTATCCATCACCGGTGATCTCAAGCATCCCTTGGAATTCATCAGGTCTCTGAAAATGGGAGATCCCCAAGTCACCGTCACCAGAGGTTTCAATATCTAAATATAAAATATGGTTAAAATAACACTGGAAATCATATGAAATCATGGAATTTTCGATGATTCATGATCTGGGAACCCCCCATTTTAGGAAATTTTAGGAACCCTGAATTTTATCACATCTGGTTGGTCCTGTCAAGCCAACGAAAACACAAATCTTCATTGAGGATCATTCTTTATACTTATATAATACGATATATATATATATATTATATAAATATATATATATAAATATATTATATATATATATGTGTATTATTGTGTATTAATTCTACTCACCCAATTTCTCAGCTATTTCATTCTATCCCCATGATCTCCCCAAGTATAGGATGGTTCCCCATTGTTCCCACCGGGGCTCAGCACCACTTTGGTCCGAAAACTCAGCACGTGCCAAATCGCTCGGCTCTTCCTGGAAGTTGCTGGATTTAGAACCGCAACTGTTTGGGTTACAGAACTGTTGGGTTTATCATGGTTTATCTACAGATAAATGATGATAGATGGATATAAATGGGGGTTTTACTTAAACCAACTCATAACTGGGGAGCAGCACCTTGTGTGGATTGTTCCGGCTCAACAAAAGAACTGGACTAGATTTCTCCAGTGTGGACGGAAGTTCAGGGACAACTTTCTAGGTCCCACCTCCACATGTCAGAGACAAAGGGCAGGAAGACCACAATCCACGCCTGCGGTTCATCGCCCGCTGGAGCTGTTGTAAACCATGTGGCTACAGGCCAAAAGCCAATACCCCCGATGAACATCACTATATACAGTAACGGGTAACTGCAGGAAGATTCCTTTAAAATCTGATAGCCATAGCTATCCATAGCTATATTGATCCATAGCCAAGTGGAAACCCAAGCAAAAGGATACTGAACATACTGAACCATCCTGAGATAAAGAAAAGGTCCTTCTTGAAGAAAATGAACAACCCAAGGCCCCAACTGGCCTGAGTATCTGCAACACACGCGGGTCACTGTTGCTAGGTACGAACACTATTCAGAACACAATACCTTCCAGAATTTGAGTACGATTTCTGATTTCATCCCAAAACATCAACAACGGCAGGTTCCAAGGAAAAAAAATAGCACATGTGAAATCCAAACGTGGCCCTCAAAGATGCACAACGGAAGTCCACCTCCACCGCCACCACGGATTTCTGCACCACCTCACGTGTGGCCTCGCGGGCTTGGAGGTTTCCGTAGGGGTGCCCCAAATCATCAATCATGACCATTTTAGTATACCATTCTTGGAAACCTCCATAGATATCCATCTAATCATTTATTTAGGTTAAATTTTGGGATACTTTTGGGTGGGATGAATTCAATGAATATATCTATTCATTTTGGGCACAAGGGTGATACCAGGGTGAACGTTCGACCCAGTTCGCCATTTGTCTGACGGACCACATTTGAAAGTCCAAAAATGGAGCTCCGGTTGTTTCTGATCAACATTGTCAACATGCTGCTGTTACAGGATCTGATCTAACAGATAAGTAGTTTTGTGCCAAAGTCCCTAGACTCCTCGAAGTTGCAGATAGTCCGTGCGACAGAATAAAATACGATTCCTAAGCCTCGAATATCGCCAAGGCCCGAAGAAAAACGACAGTCATCGACAGTCAGTTTTTTTTGGCAGTCCCTCCTTTCATCAATCACGACCACCCACAAGCTGACAATAATCATCCCCAACAACCTGGCTGGAAGATTTTTTAGTCGTCAGAATTGGGTCTGAGAGTCCAATGAAGAATTGGACTTGTGCCCAAGTTTGACTGGTTTGAATGCAAGTCCATCTTTGTTGGATATCCACATATATTTTGCCGTAGCCTCTGATTGTAGGTGGGTGGATTTTTAGATATTCAGCAATACCCAATATATTGCCACCCATCCAAGACATTCCAAGACTTGATCATAGAAAGCTCCGAATGTTTTGGTCCTTGAATCCCCAATTTTTCCATGTCAAACGTTCTCTTTTGTCGGCACGACACCTGCATGGCAGTGAGGCCCCGCTGATGCGTCTGTTCCACCACAACGCGGCCTTTGGTTAGAACCTGGACGTCACTGAAACGCTCCGAATCTCTATGAACTGTTGGGAAGATTGTGGGAAAGTGGCTGTGGGGTAATCAACAAAACTCATGGAAAAAACATGGAAAAAAGATGTCGAAAAGAAAACCATATGGAGGTTTCCAATCCATGGGGGTATCCCCAAATCCTCCAGTTGTTAAGATTTCCATGGGATTTCCATTAGATTTCCAACTTGTGGGGTACCATGATTTCAGAACCCCCCACAAGCATCCCAGGCGTTGGGGCTAAAGCGGATCCGCACCTGCAAAATCTAGAAAACACATACTTAAGAAGTACAATACTCATTGACTCGTGATGAGACGCTGTAGATGCTTAGATCATTTCGAAGTCCATATATTTCATGATATTGCATTCGACTGGACCCAGAGACAAAAACGGCTACGCCAACGATGATTTGCGGAGACAATCAGTCAAACGCTGTAGTTCCCTGGTCTTGGAATACTCGGAGCCATCTCTTTGTGTTGGGAACATCTCAAATTTGTTTGATAGCTAGCCATTATTCACGCCATCTGTTGGTAGTTTCATGATTCAATATCCTTTACTTGGGTTTAGTTGCGCATGTTGTAAAGCAACCTAATCCCAACCGAAACTTCAAAGCAAAGTGTGTGAACACCATCCATAGGCTGAGAAGAATAACACTCGCATTTGTTTAGAGGGTAAATCAGACATGTTCAATACATTTCATTCATCATATTCTGGTTGAAACCCGTTTGCTTGATGCTTAAATCCTCTTTTGTTCATGGATCTGGGTTAACTGGGTTGCGCCATCCTCCTATTTCACAACGACCTGAAACTTGTGGCCATTTGGGGATTCCCTGAATCCAACTCCCATTTTTTTTTCCAATCTCAGCAAGGTTAATGTTGGGCCTGCAGCGCCAACCAGCTGGACCACAAGGAGACCATGGCTGCGCAAAGCCGCGGCCTGCAGTGATTTGGAAGAAAGGAACCAGTTGGAAGTTGGGGGTGGGAGGATTTAAATGGAATTCCATCAGAATTTTAAGTCCCATAGGATCCATGTATGCTATATACGGTAACATTTGGGGTATATGGATGGTAAATGTTACCATATATAGCATACACGGATCCTATGGGTAAGTGGATTGATAAGATCAAATGAGGATCTGGTGGGATTTCAGAAGGGAACTTCCAAAAGTTCCCATTGCTTTTTCCGAAGCATTTTTTTCGTTGAGGCTTGGGAGGCTTGATCTTGAGAAATGTATAAACATGTGTGTTTTCCTCAAATTAGATGTCATTTTGCTTAAGACAGGTTCAGACCATATCATTTTATATCATTTTATATGTGACAACTACTGATGATTCTGTAATCTCCTGTTCTCTTTTGATTTGATTCCTTGGTTTCTATGACTTCTTATAGTAGATATGCCGTGCCATGAGCATCATGAGTTATGCTCCGAATCTCAAGATCACCAATTTACCACCCGAAAAGTGGCTATGATTTACTTTTAGATCCAGTAGGTCGGAGCAACCCTGCAGAAGGCTTCCGAGCTTCAGTCATTGCCGCGTCCAAGATTTGAGTGGTTTCATCTAGGAGCCCATTAAGTATTGCTTGATAGGGTGGACCACCAATGCGTTTATTTTTCTAGTTTCTTCGAAATATTCATCATGAATATTTGAGATGTTCTCAAACATTGACCAGGACTTGAAAGCTAGGATGAGCGGGATTTTAGCCACATGATACAACTAAGTACCACTCATTGGAGATGTACCACCATTATCCTCGCCGAAGTAGAGCGGACTTTTAGCAAACGCATCCCTGGTGCCACTTTTTGCAAAATGGTAGTGACACATTCACAACCAGTTCATCATGGTTACATTTATGCAGTCGTATCGAAGTGCATAGGTGATAAGCCAGGATTGATCCGAACTGGTTTACGCAAACTTGAAGCCCTTCATTCATGGATTTATCATGATTCATTGGCCAGTAATATCCAGTAACACCCAATATCTAATATAAGTTATAAACCCGGCAGTACCCCAAATATCTCCAGATATACAGTATGCAGCATTCCCCAAACACACGCCGAAAAGCTGGAGCTATGAGTGGCGGACAAAAAAACACTTACGGGCGACATGACCAAACTGGCTGATCACCGGTGAAGGTTTTCACGGCAAATTTGATCCCAAGTCCACTCCCTACTAAATCTACTAATTAAACGCTGGTAATTTAACATAGCCATTGAAAATGGCCATTTAGTTCGTGGATTTACCCATTGAAAATGGTGATTTTCCATAGCTATGTTAAATTACCAGAGGGTACTTGAATGTTTTTAATTGTTTCTAGCTCATTTTTGTGAGGAAAACATCAACACCATCCCGGTGGCACAGGACATTGCACAGCCTGCCCGCGCACCTCCTTACAACCAAGCGCAACAAGTAGAACGGGCCTGCAGCCACCACGATCCTGGGACGACTGGACGACTGTGACTTGTTGATTTACGCAACAAGATCTTTTTTAATGGTTTTCCATGATTTTCCATGGTATTTTCCATGTTGATTTATAGCTCAGTTGGTAAACACAACTCCAATATACTCCAATCACCGCATAATCTATGGATGTGAATGGCTGTGTAATTGCTATCATATTCAGGGTACGGTTCACCCAGATATTACATTCCACCACGGTTGGGACGAACTATTTGACTATATCTTAGTCTTACAGTACCAATTGAATTCAATAGCCCAAATGGTATCAAGATGCTGAACAAAATCCACATAGATGGGAGTAGAAGTACCCAAGCAAATCCCCATTGATTGTGTTTTTTTAAAAAATATTTTAAACACTGCTCAATATGAATAGGCCAGGCACCATGCGATCGCCTCTGGCCAGTCCTGGCAGTGGTTCACATGTCAGAAAGGATGGAAGAGTCGTTCACCATCCAACGACTACGAAGTCCGGAGGAAAGCGCTTGTCTATCTTTTTTGGAAGTCCTATAGTCAATTGAACGCCTGAACAGTGCGCTGTCATGACAGAAGAATGGGATTTAGCTACACCACCAATAAAAGATGATACATTCACTAAAACACTTCAGCTAGCATTTTAGCCGTGCAGATGTTCATGGCGGCGATCCACACTTCTTCAAACATACATACATCAAAACTCATTTTTTATATATATTTTTTTCCATCTCCCTGGTCTTAACTTTGGCATCCCTACAACCCCCCCAAAAGAAACGTCACAAGAAAAAGAAACACACCTGGCATATCTCACACGCCATATCATCCTCCCCGGTCCTCCTCAAGCCATTGTGCGACCTGCGCGCCCGAGGCTGCCCAGTCGCCCGCCTGTCGCAGCAAACTCAGGCTGCGTTGGCTTCCCGCCGCGCGAAGCTCTGCGAGGAACGTCCACAGCTTCGACGCAGCCATGGGCAGCCACGTGCCGGGGCTCCATGGTGGGGCCGGATCAAGGTGATGCCCAAAACAGCGATGGCTAGGGATGGGATTGGGAGCTGCTGAATGTTGCATGGATGGTGGATGATTTGGATGATTTTGGATGATTTTGGATGTTTTTGGATGATTGAGGTTGCTTAGCTTCACATCCGCAAATCAAATGCACATGAAGCTGCCAGCTCTGCAACGAGCCTTACCTACCGAGATGTCTGGTTTTTCCGTTCGGGGTGAACTTCGGGGACAAGGCCCCAGTAGTTACGCGATGCACCTCCAGGGGTCCTGGACGTCACCGAAAAACCCGCCTGTCTGTCTGCTTAAATTGATCAGTGCAGGCCGAACAGTCATTCAAAACCTCTTCAGCAAAAAACAACTTTGGGTGACTGTTAAACAGTGGACACTGTGTGTGTTTTAGCCATCACAAAGTGAAGCCTATCTTTGGCCGATGCCATTTTTATCTAAATCCAGCTTGGGCCGTAGGGATGCGGGAGACCAACTGGTGGATGGGTCATTAAACTCATGGTAGATAGGCCTCATGCTCCTTGAGATTTATTTGAAAGAAACTAATGGTAGAAGTGGCCGTTCATGACTGGTTTGACCACAAAAAGGGAGGATCACATCTGGTTAGTGTCTCAAACTAATATAAGAATAGGGATCCTTTTTTCCATGTGTGCTCTGCTCAAGGATACCTGATCGAGCCGCAGTTGAAGATTCTTTATGTTGCTTGCACACCATTGGCTTAGACACCCTTGGCTTAGACACCCTTGAAGGTCAGCCTGACTCCTCATCAATCAAACTGCCATGTATCTCTGGTAATTTCACCTGGCAATTCAGCTGTGGAAACTCGATGATTCATAGGAATTCAAAGGTCATTACTACAGCAAGATATTACAAGGAGATGATCTTATAGAGACCATCAACCGGTCGATCTGTCCTCAATTTCCAACTTCCTCCTGGCAGACAACACTTTTGCTCTACTCTGCATACATCGGATTGCCATGTTCGTGGTCAGGAAACATTTTCCTGAGCGGCGGCTGGTTCCGCGGGGCTATCGTAAATTTCCTCTCCGGAATGGTTCATTGGAAGCCAGTTGCCACTACACCAAAAACCATAGCTAAGCAACAAAAAATAGGCTGGCTTCAGGATCGTCAACAAATACTTTGACCACTCTGGTCCAGGCGTTGGTTAAGATCGTCCATACACTGACCACTCTTCACCGTGCGGACCGTGATTTCTTCTGATCGTCCAACATCCTTCGGCTTAGTCAAAATCGGCCATGTTTCAGAAGAACGGAAGGGTAGCCTTCTTTCAGCATCACGATCGACTGTTGAAAACATCATCCCTTCCTCCATTGACCTTACTCAAATGAATCAAATGAAATAAACTTAGCAGGAAGTTGGAGATCCAAGGTTGCCTTCGGCAATATCTCTGGTTTATCTCTTGAGTTGATTGTATTCGGTAATACATTCGTTGTTAATGCTAAAAAGCCCACCTGTTGTTGGTTTATATATTTTGTTTTTACCTCAATGGTAACCCTTAGTAGAGATCAACAAAGAAAAGGAGTATCTTCATCATCCCGCATCAAACAGAAAACAAACATTGAAGAAACATGAAAGAACATCAACATACATAAATTGTATCATGCTGCGGGGGTATACCCTTTTCATCCGTTCTAACTTGTGTGTCCTCAAAAATATATATATAATTATATATTATATATAAAAATTATATCTGTTTTCTCCCCGGCCAGGCCATCTTATAAGAGGGAACATCATGGTGAACCCCAGCAGATAAAAACAGCTTTTCCCATTGAGCCGATGCCAATCAATGCCCTTGGAGACCACCCAGATGGCTTGCGAAGGGTCAGAGGAATGTCCCTGGCCAATGGCACTCCGATCCAGTTTCTTCGGGTATGCTCCTGGCGGGACAAAAAAAAAACACAGCTTTTTAAAGTGGGGTGCCATTGGACCCAAGATAGTGGCCATTCTTAACATCATTACTATATGACTATGACTGTAAACTAAACTATGCACGACTTCGCAATCTAATTCTTATTGGATGTTGAGCCATTGCCAATCACATCGGGGTTGGCTCTAATTGAATCATCTCGAAGCGCAATCTATCATTTGGAAGTCCTGATCCAAACACCAGGTAATGTTGGATATTTACTTCTAAAGGTTTTTCAGTACTGAGTACTGCAGTCAAATGTCCAACATCCAATTTGATTCCCAGAAATGGTGGTTTTGATGCACCAACTTCATGCCGGAAGCTGCTTGGAGGGATCAAAAAAGAGGCCATGGGATGGCCATGGGATTTTTCTTGGGGATAGTTCCGGCTACTCAATGCAATCTTTTTCATCTTCATCATCTTCATCATCTTCACCACTAGTTAGATCGCATATCATGCATATCCCATTATATTCTCACGATAGTTCCATTGTATCTAACCAAAACAACGATCATTTGGTATATGTCCCATGAAACGCTGCATCATTCCGCCGTGCGCCATGTCCGCCGCGTCCTTGCCATGCTTCAAGCGCAGATGCAGCGGCAGCCGCACGTCGTCTTCGCGCCCAGGCGGCTCCGGTTTCTCCCCGAAGACCTAGGGATGGGGCAGTGGCCCCTTTTCTGCAAGGGACTTCACCTGCCAAGTTCTTGGTGTTTCATGGGATTTTCATGGGATTTACCTATTGAACATATTTGAACATGTGGATTCAATACTATTGAATGGCATTCAACCAACCAAACAGGGTGGTTGAATGTGATTTAACATGATTTAACTATATACCCAAAAGTGGTGATATAGCGGTGATATAGTGGTGATATAGTGGCGATTTAGTTGCATTTTGCCAATCAAAAGATGATGATACCTCTGGTAATTTGTTGCATCACTATGGAAAAATACCATTTTCAAGACGTGGATCCTCCAACCGATGGGTCATTTTCCATGGCTATGTTTGGCTATGTTCAATTACCCGTATCTGGATCCATCCAATTCCATGTGCAAACCATGGATTCTGTGAAGCCCACAGCCTGGGAACCTGGGAGATCGAGCATCCTGGGCAAAAACTTCCTGGGCAAAAACCCCAAAATTGAGTTTAAATAAACAGCTTTATAAACTATTCTGGTGAAGCTTTGACAAATGAAGTGACTTAATTTCCACTGGTTGGATCCCTGGACAGACGAAATGATGAAATCGATAAGCCGTAATGACATACGAATCTCCTGGCAAATACTCAGAGATGAATATTATGTACATCCCCACTTGATGCAAACAGTGAAACTTAAACTTTTTTTGATAAGATTTAATAAGGTTTTTCCTAAGGTTTTTATAGGAAAACCCATGGTTTTTCATGGTTTTTCAACATTTCGACATCTTTTAAGTCATCTTTACCCCGCTTCAGCGGAGCCATGGCACCACGTGCCACAGGAACTCGAAGCCATAGCATTGGGTGCTGCGCTTTGTTCCCTCCATGCCACAGAGATCCACATTGCTGGAGCCGTCTACCAAACTGAGCATATGCAAATAGAAGTCCTGGGGCTAAGTAAATGGGTGACAAAAAAAACAGGTCTGGAATTAATTTTACATTAATGGAATACTATATAACTATTATAACTATATATATATAACTATAATTAATGTAAATTTGAACTATTATATACTATATAATTTACATGAATGGAATCTCCTCTATATATGGGATGAAATATGGGTATGCATGGGTATGCACTGTATGGGTGGTATGCACATCCAAGTGAATGGGTTTGTCTGATTTTTTTCCGGTGTGCCATCAATAGTTGTTTTAATAGGGGAACATGATTAAGCAATGGGTTTAAGGGTACTCTATGTTCAAACAAACCCGCACGATGATGGGCAGGGGAAGTTGCTAACTACTGCAGTTGGGTAACTAGTTCGTACAAGTGGTTGATAGATGATCCTTTCTGCTTGAAAATCAATATCATGGATATGGTTGATTTTAGATGCTATCTGAATCAAACAGAGCATATGGAAACAGAAATCCTCAAACACGAATAATTACTGTATTTGGTGTGTCTCAACAAGCACGAACCATTAAAACCAAAGGCCCCTCAGGCTGTTGAAACATGTGAAAACTCCCACCAAAACAGGAACTAAAATATTAATATCTTATCATATCCAGCGGAAATACCGACAAGAGAAGTTACATGTTCTCCAGGTTGTTTGAGTGATGAAGCGTCATTGTTCTTGGAAATTCACTATTTGGAGGGTCGTATGTGGAATCTCTCTGTGCGGAACACAAAAACATGTGGAAACTCTTGAAAATGTTGCTGTACGCAATTGCGACTTCAGAAAAGCTACAGTAATACCATGTAATAGCGATATTGAAATGCCTTTTTTTTGCATCTGGGCAAATTACATCAAACGACTATAAGTCCTAAATCTGAACAGAACCACCTTGGAGATGATTCTCATCACCATATTTATGGTGAGGTCGTTGTGAAGCGGCTACTTTTTTTGCGCAAATACATGGTATCATTATATCTGCTTGGTGGTTTTAACCATCTTGAAGAATCTGAAAGTCAATGGGAAGGAGTATCCCATGTATCCCATATTCTGGAACATAAAACATGTTCCAAACCACCAACCAGATATGGTATCTATACTTCTTGATGCATGATTTTTTCCATATTTGATGATTCATCACACCTTTCCCTATTAAGCTGGCCATTTGGGATACTTTCTTTTTGGGCCGAGCTGCTTAAGCAGCACTTGGATTGCCATGCTGCATCACCCCGTGGTCTCCCATTCTATATTCCCCACTTTTGGGACCAACCCAACCAATCTGTACGAGCAGGTAGCCTGTTTGCTCACATGCAAACACATATATGGAAACATATTGGTTTGTCTTGGAACATGATTTACAAATGCTCGGTTGCGCATCTATGTTAGTTTATAGCCCATAGGAGCCATGTATGGTATATATGCTAACATTTGGGGTATATTGATGGTAAATGTTACCATATATATATATAGCATACATGGATCCTATGGGTAGTGGGGTATCAAGTTTTATGTGATCCAAACGCTGTGTTGAGCCTGGTCCACTGTCCTTGTCATGTCTTCGGATAGCGTCTCGCGACACTGCGAACTGCGCACAGCAGTAAGGGCCTCTATCGAAATCGGTGACCAACAAAATTATATATATATAATTATATATATATAATTATATATATATATATTATATGTGTGTCTGAAAATGGGGTATGCCCCCATATGCCCCCCAAAGCTGCGAGCTGAAGAAAGAACATGGGTATCATACCGCATTCACGCTATTTTCAGAGAAATTGGGATGTTCAATGGACGAGCTGGTTATTTTAAGACTTACAACCGTCCCTTTGCTTAACTCGCCGTTTGGAATCATGCCTCGCTCAACTTGAAGAGAATATTATCATGTGCATGTCGTTCCTGAACTTGGGGATAATTTGGGATAGTACTATAAGCGCCCACCATGCACACTGTGACGATAAAAAGGAGATAACATGACATGACATGACATGACATGCGATGCGATGCTGTGCGATACTATGTTATGCTAGGTGTTATGTTATGCTATGCTATGATATGATATGGTATGACATGATATGGTATGATATGAAATCATATGATATGATACAGAGGAGATTAGATTAGGTGAGACGAGATGAGATAACATGAAAATATGAAATGAAATGAAACTGCAATTCCGGTGATATATATATATATATACTATATATATATACACTATATATATACTATATATATACTATATATATACTGTATATATACTGTATATATATATACTATATATAGTAATTGCTTCACAAACACTAGTTCAACCACGAGCCACCAGAACATCTGTCCGATTTCGGAAACCTCTATTTTTGGGTCGACGAGACTAACAGACTTCCTGGTTCGTCAGCAGCAACAAAATGGCCCCTGGATATCCTGGATGACCAATCACAATCAACTTAAGCTTCATTGTTGGTCTTGGCTGCGATCGCACCTAAAAGTTCGGAGATATTTTCTTTGAAGATCTCCTGCAAAGGATTGAGAGATACCTGGGTCTGGCCTTTTTCGGCGAAAATCAGAGAGTGCCGAGATGCCAAAGAAATGGGCCCCCGAGATGTACTGCTTGGTTTTTCTAGGGATTCTGATAGTGGTAATCCCACTTAATTCATCAATCCGTATAATCCTACTACCGACTATATACTGACCATCAACCCGCGTGGTGGTCTTGGGGATTGTTGCTCTATGCAACATTTATGCTTGCTACCACAGCTGGTCCTCGTGAACGGCTTGCAAGCATGGTGTCAGCGTGCGCACGTGACGCGGGCCATTCAGTGGCAGGAAGGGGGTAGTGTAGGTGCCTGCAGCAATGCTCCTGTGCCCATACTGGTGTAGGAGTATGGGCTATCCGGCTATCCCAAGCCATCTCAAGGATTCCAGTTCCGATCTGAATTCCCACCAGCAAGGGTTCATCTCAAAAGATGGAGGATACTGCCAACTTCTGGCCAATTCTGATGGCAAAAAAAAAATACATATATATATACAATGTGGGGCCCCCCAGTTATAAGTTGGTTTATAAGCCCCAGTAATAAGTACCATAAAAAATAGTTATTGGAGTTATAAACCAACTTAGCTATCTTGGGGGCCTCACATTGTATATATATATATAACATGATGCTGAACCACTGAACTGAATAACCACTGAAGCACTGGATCAACCTGTTTTCTAGTCCCGAGTCCTGAGAACCAGGTCTAAGAAATCGAAATGGAGATGATCCATGGGATCGCTCTGCAGAAAGATGGTGAAATCCGCCAAGTTCTCGTAGCTTCCCAAGATGTGCGTCAGGTACGCCGAGCACTCGTCGCCCCGCGCGGCACCTCTTTCAGGGGAACATCTGAAGTTCTAGTGGGCTTTGGGTTCATCGCAGGGGCATTGTGTCAGATACGAAGTTGGGGAAAAAATTAGAAATTGTGATTTACAAATGGTATCAAATAGTATTAAGCACTTAAGAAACTTGGGATTTATACGAAGCAGTTCTGGATTTCACATCATTGACTGAGCCGCAGCCGATGTGTTTTTTTCGCAAGAAATCAGAGGGGATGGAACTCAAATCACTACAAGAACGGAAAATATGGGAGGACTCAAACACATATGGCAGTGTGTCAAAACCTTGTACCCCTGGTGAACATCAAAATAGCTGGTAAATGGATGTTCATCCCACTAAAAATGGTATTAATAGGTATTGATCCATAGCCATATGACAAGATCAGAAATGTAGATATGATTGCTAGTATGACGTTTTTTGAATCTGGATGACGATTGCCTGATGGATTGCTTCTAGTGTTTGGTAGGAATAACTTACATCAGTAGCAATAAATCACATAAAATACAGGAAAGCCTTACATAACTTCTGACCACCAAGCCAGAAAGGTCAACAGGGCACTACTCTTGGGCCCCTGGGTTCCGAGCCAGTTCCTCCCTGGATGGATGTTTACAAATTCTTTTTCGGCAGCTGGATCATGATAAATTCAACAACCACTTCATGATCTTCATGGGAAATCAACCGATGCATGGTTAAAACATGTTACTGTAAAACTATGTAAAACTTCTCACTTTGCTGAACATGTGCTTTGAAGAAACCAGCGAAAAACCCAATCAAAACACCCACCAACCACCGAACTCTGGAACTCACTCAGCAAGTTCTGGCTCCGGATACACGATTTAGGTATGGGTCAAAACCTTAGTACCCTAGGTTCCCTAAAATAGCCGGTTACTGGAAGATTTTTCCCCTAAATATGGTAATAGTAGGTTTTCACCAAATCTCCATTTGCCTGCCCCAAACTGGATGTTAGATCGGCACACCTATGTCAGCTCGATCTATTTGCCACACGGCCATGAAATGTTCCGTTGGCAACTGCGCAGCCAAGACATCTGGAGCCAATGGCGCGCCACATTTTTCGTAGATCAAGAGCCTTGCGGCTGCGCAAGGCTTCGGCGCTGGGAAGACGTTGGGGGGGAAAGACGACACGCTTCACCAAGAGACGTGCACCTTTCAAAAACTGAGATTCTGGGATCAAGTTTTGCTTCAGTGTAGGGTTCCACCTCGGCTGAAAAGTTATTTTGCTTTTGGCAGTTGAGATATGAAGGTTAAAAATATGCCGCACACCACTCTCTATACACGCAGTTGTCTCATCTGCCCACGTCGTGGCCCGGCCTCATGCTTGGTGTGTCAGAAAAAATACCAAAGAAACAAATGGTATATATGATTGCATTATATTTTCAATGCCAATGCCACTCCAGGTATTTCTTTCCACCTTCAACAGGATTCCCCATTCTCACTACCTTGAATCAAGATATGTATTGGTTAAAAATGCAAAACTATATGGCAAAAACATGTAAAATCTCCATATTCTCAGGGCAAATTCAAGCAATTGAGGTTCAAACCTTAACTAATTGGTGGTTTCAACCCCCCTGAAAAATATAAAAGTCAGGTCAGATTGGATCATCATCCCAACTATTGGGGAAAATAAAAAATGTTCCAAACCACCAACCAGTTAATGATTCTCACTAGCTGCCGGAAAATCCTTTGTTTTTATCATCCCAGTCACCCATGCGCCTGGCTCCCAGGGGAACCCGCTGCAGCTGCTTGGTCAACCAGCCTTGGATGTTTGGACCGCCCAGTTGCAGGTGGTGGGGAGAGTACATGTATATCTACATGTCTATGAATATTGTCTATGATATACATATGTATACATGATACTTACATATAAACGTATATCATGTAGGTTTAGCTTGTAGATATGTTTCGTGTGCATATGCATGTAGAATCATCTAGATACAAACCCCGCAAATGTTCCAGAAAGAAACGCGGAGTAAGGAAGTATTCATGGAGAACGAAATGACGATAATCATAACCAAAACCAAAAGAAAACAACTCATCATACAGCAAAACAAGTTGAGACCAAACAGATACTTGAAATACAAAAACAGACATGAATGTCCAAGTGATCCACCGAAATGTTGTCCATCAATGTTGAAATTCCATGACGTTCCATTGTCCCAGGTGTTTCCAAAAAAATCCCCATTATGTACTCCCCTTCTGATCACTATTATAGAGGATCAACATTTTGATGGTTATGTCATACGTCATTGTTGCTTTGTTGTTTAATCAATCAAACAGCGAATACCATTAATCGAAACGAACCAATGGGATTCATAGAGTATATAACCATTCATGATAAAGACATGGTATTCGCAATTGTTATACTCCATATCATATCCTTATTCAGTTATTACCCCATAGTTTTATCCCATCACTTTCCCAATCATGTTCCCATCACTTTACCATATTTGCCATCATTTTGCCATTTCAAAGGTCTGCACCAAAGCCATCCCCCCCAGCAAGGCGCTCAAGTCCTCCCGGCAATGAGCCACCACAAAGTCCACCCTGCGCTGTTGTGCAGTCGTGCGTTGTTATTGGAGAGGAACTATGTTGTTGTGGTAACCTTGCAAAAAGATAGATGTTGGTAGAATCCAAACCAAAGAATGATGAATTATGGATTAGTAGTCTATCAACATCTAGTATTGATTCTACAACTATAGACTATAGAATGAATTATGAATAGACTATTATGATGAAATCCTGAATTACTACATCTAGTAGTTTACTTTTACCTGGTCGATAGCTTTTGGACTGACCATCACCGGACAGGGACCTGACATCAACAGCCTGCTTTGGGTACGTCCAAATATTTCACTGGGTTGATGGAAGGCAAAAGTTACAGGAACCTCCCATATTTCAAAGGAAAGTTCATGGTTTCCGGTAGATTTTCCCTTAAACTAATCCATCGAGAGATTCTGCTGATGAAACCAAAGGACTCAACAAAACTTGACTCGGTACAATCGTTGAATCGAGACCCAGGACTAGGAAAATTTCACAGTTTTAATGATAGGCATCAAACCATCAGTTGGATTTCCAATTCACATCCCTTCCCACTAACACTTACTATCACCACCCTACAAACCCATCTCGGCTCCCTTCTTTGAGGTATGCAATATGATCGGGGGGTAGCATTCAGAAGTTCTTAGTTCATCCCTTAAATATATAAATATGACATGAACATTGGGATACTTCATGACAAAGCCCTTATTTACAGTTTTCCATATAGTTCCCAATAATTACAAAAAATTGGTGCAGACACACTCGCAATCATCCACAGTATGAGGACTTCATGATCTTCCAGAAGATCTCCACCTGGCTACGGCATGCTGCACCTGGCTACGGTGTCCATTCCAAAACACTTCGTGCTGAAGGAGGTGGTGCTGGATTTCCCTGCGCAGTGGCAACAATCTGTGTTGGTGGCAAAATATTGTAAGATATGTGGTTGCTGGTTAATAGTTAACGCATGTTAATAATGCTTACTATACAGTGGTCCGTTGTTCAATTTCAGTAATGATTAGTTAATGTATATATATATATCAAAATATATTGGTAATTTAATGATGGTTCAAAATGTCTAGTACATTCTAATCATAATTTCAACCCTTTAAAAGGGGTGTGTCTGAAAATGGGTTTTTTCCATGTCCCCCCGAATCGCAACGGATGATCATCATTTTTTACCTACTAAATTGGCTATTTGTCCAGACAAACCATCCAGTAAAGTAAGATAGTTATGGAATTCAAATGGTTTCCCTAGGAAATAATCTTAACATGGTGGATTTTCCATCCAAGTATGTCTACAGGTACATACATCTGCAAAGATCTCGTTGCGGAACAATTTTACGTTTCCATATATTCATAAGATCCCCTTTATACATTTAAGAGTTGGAAAAGTACAATCATATAATCATATCCCTCATACGGCATCGGCATCTATATAGACATACCATCATACCCCTATATCATATCTCATGATAACAATATGTTGAGCCATGGTCAGTCGAGTCAGCAGTTTGATTGTATACCAATGTTGGTGGATGGTCGTCAATCAATTCACTGGGATTCAGAAAAACCCACTATGTTAGAATTCCCACTCACCTCTATGTTTCCATATATATATATATGTTCAGCCACGCTCATAGAATCATGGTTGTTTATATGTATATATATATATCATTAAGTCCCATTCGAATCCCATTCTAATCCCATTAAGTCCCATTATAATCCCATTCTAAGTCCCATGACAGGGGTTGGTAACTGTCCCATTTTGGGAATATTGGACATCACCTGAAAAAGTAGCCATGGCATTGACCATATACCCTGCATGGTTGGGTGATGTTCAATGGGGACATTTAATTATCATCCCATTCTAAGTCCCATGACAAATTCTACCCTCTGGTTATTTAACATAGCCATGGTATAGATGGCCCATTTACAGATGGTTTACCTATTAAAAATGGTGATTTTCCATGGCTATGTTAGTCATAACCAGATGGTAATCCCATTAAGTCCCATTATAATTCCATTCTAAGTCCCATTAAGTCCCATTATAATCCCATTCTAAGTCCCATTAAGTCCCATTATAATCCCATGCTAAGTCCCATGACAAATTCTAGGACAAAAACCCATGGAAATCCAAAAATCCACGGTGAGCCTTGGATCTCCGTGGCGCATGGCACCGGTCGTCCCACAATGCCCAGGGCCACCCCGACGGCGTCGCCCACGGCGTCCTGTGCGACCTGCGCGGGATAAGGGACGGTGAGGGCGGATAGATTGGGGATATCATAGGATTTTAATGCGATTTTAATGGGAATTTAGTGGGAATTTAATGGGATCTAATGGGATTTAGTGGGATTATTTAGTGGGATTTAGTGGGATTTCGGATTTCGTAAGGGACTTCATGGGATTTTTCATGGGTTTTTTTCGAAGGGATGGGATTTTTGCTGGGGATGATACTGTTTTTTTTTTTTTTTCGAAAAAGGGGATTCACGGGATTTCATAAAAATTCAGAGGATTATAAGGGCATTGAATAGGGATTTCATGGGATTCAGTCGGGATTTCATGGGGAATTCCTTGGATTTCTTGGCATAGTTCTAGGGATTGCGATTTAATGAGATATGTGTTGTTCATTCAAACGGAAAATTAATGATGATAGCAAAGACAATGTTAATAATACAACAATATGCAACAATGTAATACTATATAGTCATCATGGAGTAAATAGACTATGGCATGTCAAAACTTCCTCACTAAAAAAGGAATATGCTTGGAACATTTCATAATCTATCTTTAGTAATCCCATCACCCTAAGATGAAATAAGTAGATTGGATACCAAGTAGTATGTTTTCGCCTATCCCCCTATTGGGTGTATTTACAGTAATGATAGATTACTATGTAATAGATCCAGGAATCCAAATTTTAGATGGTATCTTTTGGGGCCCCAATAGCTGAATAGATCCAATACTCTATACCATGTGTTTTTTTTTTCACACTTCGTATACTTAGATACTATCATCATCCTCAAGTAGATACAATATGCTAAGACAAAATGCTAAAATGGGGAATAAGTTTGAAAATTCAATTGCTATTTAAGCCAGCATGATTGTAGTATCTAAGTATACTAAGTAGAAACACATGGGATATCACATATCGTGATATATGTTTGTCATAAACCATCTATACAGATATACATTTTACGGTATTTAACATCCCATATGTGTATTGGCTGTGGGTATGTCCGTGAAATGAGAAAACTACGTTGTTTGGGTTTGTCTGAAAATATTGTGCCCCCAAAGCCAATGGATCAACACATCATTTTCCCTATTGAATTGGACATTTTGGGGGCATATTCAATGTTCAGACACCTCCACGTAATGTGTGTATATATATATATATACAATGTAGATTCATAGGGTATATATGTATATAGATATAGACATATAGATATAGAATTGTAATGACATGTCATTGGATCTGTCACTGTCGATCATGTCTCAAGTTGGATTACAACTTCGAGATCCTGATGCAATTCCTTTTGCCTTCCATAAAAAATACGACCGTGGAAGGCAACTAATCTTAAAAATACGAACAACGTTGTGCAAGCCCTTGGCTGAGAAGGTGCAAAATCATAAGGCTTCAAATCCACATCCTTTCAACTTTCAACACTCCCGTAGAGAGTAGGCAAGCACAGTTCCGTGCCCTTGCACAACCAACTTGTTGTAGATGTTTACAATGGGACAAGTGACAGTCAACTATAACCCCCAACGGGGCAAGCATGCGGGATGTATCACAATTCAACTTCGAAAAACCCAAGACAAAAACATAAGCGTTTGGTCATGTTTGGTACTTCACCAACCCTTTTTTTTTCAGGCAAAGTTTCACCCATCCCTCTTTACCATCACTTCAAGTTTCATCCTCCTATATATCTACACCCCAGTGCCCCGGAATATTATCATAATTAAAGCTCCCCTACATTCCCATAAATGGTTTGTGACATTCACAAATTTGTCCGAACAAAATGCGGTTCTGCCCATTTCCCCCATATTTTCCCATGAAAGTTCGCACTTTTCCGGTGCCGCTTTGGATCCTTAAAACAGGATCCAACCATGGTGTGGTGTGGTAAACCTGCCTGAATGCGTTTGATGGCGCGTTGCAAAGGCCAAGCTGCAGGTTTTGAGGCCATCAAGTGCCTCACCAGTTGAGGATATGGTCATTCTGCAAAAAATACAAGATGGGGCCCCCAAGATAGCTAAGTTGGTTTATAACTCCAATAACTATGGTTTATGGTACTTATAACTATAGTTAATGGGGTTTATAAACCAACTTATAAGTGGGGGGGCCCACCTTGTATGATTCCCATGATGCTGGATGGGTGAAAAAACCATCGTATGACAGTCGTGAAACTGTCAACTTATGAAATGTAACCAGCTATAATTGGAATTTTTAGATGTAAATATGAAATGAATGATTTATATACAGTAGATCCTCAGCCTTTTCAACCGTAGACTCTTAAAGCCTGAAACCATTTCAAGGAAGAGTTTAGGTTTGGGTTGACGATTGTATGGGTGGCTCAGAAAGGAATACGATGGAGCAACAGTTTTAGTCAAGTATTAGACAATCCACTGGGAGGTCAATATTTTTTAGCCAGAGCCATATATATATATAATATATGCATACATATATATATAATATGCAAATATATATATATATATGTATATATATATGTATATATATATATGTAAATGTATATATATATATATATGTATATATATATATGTATATATATATGTGTATATATATATATATATTCATCATCTGTTAAGAATGGGAGTCCCACTTCGTGGATATATACTGTAGCACAACCTCCAAACTAATCATTAATCAGGGGTCTTGAACACTGTTCAAGAAAAAATGTTAGATTTGGATATATTGCAAGTGCAATGTATATATATATAATGCTGTATATGGAGGTTTCCCAAAATTAGGGTACCCCTAAATCATCAAGTAAAATAGGATTGTCCATTCTAACCCATCCATTTTGCGGTAGCCCCATTTATAGAACCTCCAAATCTATCAAAATATTATGGAAACTAACCCCCCAAATATTTATATGTTCTGATATCATGGAGATATCATAATCACACCCTGACATTGTCACGCCAAGGGCACTGCTGGAAAGGCGACGCCTCCCGCGCAAGCTTCATGGCTTCATCGTAGAGCTGCCTTCCTGGCGGCTGCCACGAAGGAACAACCGTGAAATTAGCTGCTAGATTAAGGGATTATGTATATTTTTACAGAAAGTGTGTATAATAAAAAAACTGGGGCAAAGAATGGGTTAAACATGGTATTATCAGAAATAAAAGTAAATGTGTATAGATGCTAGGCACATCTATTTTTGTTTAAACAGATGATTTGAAGCATCAGGATATATGATGATGTATTTCTGACATATACCAATCTATTATATATGATAATTAAATAATGGCAAATGTAAATATACATCTATTATATACATCTATTATATATATGGTATATACATCTACATATACATAATTCTATACATCTACGATATACGCCCATCTAGCCTGACGTCGAGATGGCCATCACGAAGTCATTGGCCAAGTCAGGAGAGATGAAGCTACCAGCCTTCTTCACCAAGGAAAAGCCGCGATCCAAGTCCTGAGTTTCTGGGATGAAAATAGTGAAGTTTTCATCAAATATGAAATGATAGATCCAATATATATATATATATGTATAATATGATAGTAGTATATATGTATATATTATAAAAATAAATGTATCTATATATATAATATGTATATATATAATATGTATATATATAATATGTATATATATATATATGAAATTCAAATGTAATCATATGTAATAAATATGTCAACCCCGGATTAAGAAACCATGGTTTGCCATGGTTTAAAGATTAGGGGAGTAGTCCCCAAATAGTGACAATCTAATACTTAAATGGTACCCCCGACAACTAAACAGCCTAGGGGTTTACTAATCCTGGGGTTATATACATTGTATGAAATGGGACGATAAAATATAATGCAAGTATTAGCAATATGAGTGTGATTGTAAACAATATATAGTATGTTATATGTAATTGATATCAGTTGATACTAGCATTGATATTGATGTTCACACTCATGATAGGATGTGAATATGAATATTTAATGATATAATAGTGTAATAGTAGTGGTATTGTTGGATTAATTGATAATAACTGATTTTCACTGATATGAATTGATATTAGTATAGTAATATCATTTTACTGTTCTACCTTTTTGGTGGTTGATTTTCATATTGATATTGGTGCTGATATGGATACAATTCCTGAACTTGGGACTTGGATATTGATGGTAATTTGGGTCTAATTGCTGGTAATAATTGAATAGAATTATGGTACTGCCCACTCTTACCCCTTCTTATCATTTCTTATCTATAGTTGGTGAAATTATGGCTGATACGTCCATTCCCCTAATGTTAAACACACTTTCAATGTGTTCCAATATGTGTAAATCCAGTACTAAACCATGGTTTCCGATGGTTTCTGAGTGGTGCTTAATATTAGAGGAACGAGATTCATGGCTAGCTGACCATCAATATATGTTCTTTGTTTGCGGGAAAAACAGGTAATATGAATGGATACAATACGTGGGATTTAACACGCTGGGTGGTGCCCCAGGTTGTTAGACTAGCTAAGTTGGTTGAAAAAAACGCCAGTGACTGTTGGGTTTTTGGTAGATACAGTATGCCGACCTAGTGAACCACCAGGCTATCAACCAACTTGTAACTGTCGGGGCACACACTTGTGAAATCTTGCACAGGCTTGGTTTATGTGGAAAAAATGCAAGAGAGCCAAAGATTTGCCAGAAATTCGAGGGGTCCAAAAATGTGTTTTCTCTATCCAAGTTCTGAGAGTGGCTGAAATGTTTGGCATTGGCATTGCGTTTCCGATTGGCGCTCCCAGAATCCCAGGTGACATTTCACCCGACACATACTGAGCGGTTTTCACATCAACAATTCTGATCAATGAACCCCTTCAACATATGTTTTGTATTGTTTTGTCTGTTTTGATCCATGGCTACATGATTGCCTACATGTCCCTGTTTATACTAGGATCTGGTTGAAGGTTTTACCATCTTCATTGCTACCCTTGGAGTTTCATTTGGATCAAAAATGATAAGGGAACCGCTTCAAAAATGATAAGGAAAACATGATCAACTGCTGGTGCTCGAAGATCTGGTTTAGGAGGAGGTACCTTCATACTTATGTAGTAATATCTATTTGGGGGTGGGTCAACAACACCATTCAAAGACTCAAAACCCAACATCAACAAAGATCTGGTGAATGGATGTTCGTCCCCCGAAACAAATGCTACAGGTATAACTCTCATGTGGTTGGGGCCCACATTTTTTTTCGTAGCTCCAACTGGCTCCCCATACAGCCAGGTCGAGGGTCAATCCAAGATGGGGCCAAGAGTTGGAACTCGGCCAGCAAACTCAGTCACCAAAGACGTGGCTACCCTCCAGGAAGCAAGCATGGCTAGCTCGGAAATGCCTTATAAACAAGTGTCTCAATGGGAACATAGTCTATAAATTGAAAATTATCCACATGTTTAATTACCGGAGGTATGTGTTGCAATTTCAGGGCCGTCCAGTTAAGTTTTACTATTAACATGAGGTACCCAGATTTTGACCTGAAGATTTTGGGCACATGTTGATGGTTACCTATGGTTACCTTGTGAACTCAATCGATCCTGCGGCAGTGACGTCAGAACTGCATCTTTGGCAAGCGTAGCCCCTACTCAAGCGCTAACGCAAAGATCTTCAATCCAATCTTTGGGCAAAACATCATCATCATCATCATCACCAGCATGATCATCAGCACCAGCACCATCATCATCATCATCGTCAGCATGATCATCAGCATCAGCACCAACATCATCATCATCATCATCATCATCACGAGCAGCATAAGCATCAGCATCATTATCATCAACATCAACATCATCATCAGCATCATCATCAGCAGCAGCATCATCATCAGCATCACCATCATCATCCCAGCAGCATCATCGTCATCATCAGCAGCATCACCATCATCACCAGCATCATCATCATCATCGTCATCATCATCATCATCGGCATCATCATCATCAGCATCACCATCATCATCATCGGCAGCACCACCATCATCATCATCATCATCTGCATCATCATCATCAAAAGCAGCAGCATCATCAGCATCATCAACATCACCGTCATCATCATCAACATCATCATCATCATGACCATCAGCAGCACAACCATCATCATCAGCAGCATCATCATCATCATCGCCATCATTATCATCATCATCATCATCATGAGCAGCGGCAGCATCATCAGCATCATCAGCATCATCAGCATCATCATCATCATCATCAGCGTCATCATCATCAGCATCATCATCATCATCATCCTCATCATCATCATCGTCGTCATGTATGTATGAATCTATGTATCTATGTAACGTTGTATGTCTGTATCTATGTATCTATGTATCTATGTGTGTATATATGCATATCTGTATGTATCTATGTATGTTTCTATGTATGTATCTATGTATGAACGTGTGTATGTATATATCTATGTATCTATGTATCTATGTATGTATCTATGTGTCTTGCTATGTATGTATGTTTCTATATATGTCTATGTATATATGCATTTATGTCTATATGTGTCTATGCATCTATGTAGGTATGTATCTATGTATGTATGCATGCATGCAAGAATGTATGTGTGTATGTATGTATGATGTGTGTATGTATGTATGTATGCATGTATGCATGTATGCATGTATGCATGTATGCATGTATGCATGTATGCATGTATGTATGCATGTATGCATGTATGCATGTATGCATGAAGTATGTCAGTATGTCAGTATGTCAGTATGTCAGTATGTCAGTATGTCAGTATGTAAGTATGTAAGTATGTATGTATGTGTATGTGTATGTGTATATGTATATGTACATGTATATGTGTATGTGTATGTGTATGTATACATGTGTATGTGTATGTATGTATGTATGTATGTTTGTTTGTTTGTTTGCAATGTAATGTAATGTAATGTAATATAATATATATATATATAATATAATGTAATATAATGTAATGTAATGTAGTGTAATGTAATGTAATGTACTGTAATGTAATGTAATGTAATTAATTATGTATGTATGTATGTACGTACGTACGTACGTACGTATGTATGTACCTATGGATGGATGGATGGATGGATGGGTGGATGGATGGATGGACGGACGGACGGATGGATGGATGGTTGGATGGATGGATGGATGGATGTATATGTTAATTATTTGTGTACATATATATATACATACATACATACATAATACATACATACATACATACATACATACATACAAAATATGGCTATAAAGATAGTTCCGTTCATATCTAATTGTACTTCTATTTATCTATATTTACAGCCTGTGGGCATGCCCGGCATTCCCTCAACCCGCAGCAAGTCGTTGCAAGCGGCATGGCAGCCATGATCAAAGGGTTGGGGCAGTCAGCATCCACCAAACTCTGCTTGTAGTCATCATGCAGCCGCTGAATGAAAAAGGCCTTGCCAAAGCGCTCATGCAGTGCAGTGATCTTCAGAAGGAGCAGATCTGAAACCCAAATGGATCAAATATACTATAACTATAACTATGGCTTTACGGCTATAACTGGCTATAACTATAAATATGACTAAAACTCCCCCACGTGGACCCTTTGTAGTTCAGGGTCTAAGAGTTTGGCCCAGAGGCCTACGTTAAACAAAGAGATCCTAAGACATGCGAAAACCGTTTGGTACTAAGGAACGAGTACTAAAAAGGGCCGGTTCATACGAACACCATGCCTGTTAAACTCAGCCAAAATTGGGGCCGCCAGTTTTTGAATCATGCCTTTGATTGAAAATTGGGTGCCCGAAAAAACCACCCCCGAAATCCCGTAGTTGATAATCATGTTTCGTATTGTTTGATGGCCATAAATTGGAATAGACCATGAAAACCCGTGGACAACCCCAAATCATAAGTTGGATGTGCATCCGACTGTTGATGGTTGTACTTGGTTGGTCATATCCTGTGGCCGACATATTGGATTAAATCCCATGATGCATCGATGCCTACTCTCCGGGAGTCAAACATGGCCGGAAAATTCCCTGTTAAAGTTCGATGATCTTCCTAGCGAACAAAGCCTCCATTTATAGTGGGCTTCCCAGCCATGCTTGATGATCATGCCGGGCATACCACCCATTTTCAGAGAAATCTCCCCATCATTTTCATGTCCCAGCTTGATACTACCAACCTCCATCAGCGGTGGCCTCTGATCAAAGACCTTCGCACCAGAAGGTGTGAGGCAGTGAGGTTCACAATGACTAGTTTGGACGACAAGAAACAAAACATCGGCGTACCCTCTGGCAATTTAACATAGTTTAACATAGCTATGGAAACTCACCATGTCAAATATATTCAAATGTATACGGGTAAATTCACATGAAATCATTTGCAAATGAGACATTCTACGTAGACTCCTTAGCCATGTTAAATTGCCAGATGGTACTTAATCAACAAAAAATGGGTAAACTATGGTAAACTCATGTTTTTTTTTATGAACAACATAGACACGTTGGTCCTCCGAGACAAGTCGTGGTCTTCATGATCACCACGAAGAGGATATATGCTGTAATTATCCTTGATGCAGTTTCAAATGATAAACCATTGAAGTCCAGAGTATCCTATTTTCAGCATTTTTCAGACACATGAAACCGAGCGACGTAGTGAGAATCCAGCTTTCTTTGAAAGCTTGCGATTGAAAAGACATAGTCCTCAGGTCAGCAGGCACTCAGCTCATGCCACACAGCCGTCTGTCAACTTCATTCACTTCTGCAGAAACGTGACTGGCTTTGAAGAGTGGAACAACATCAAAAATTGTAAGGAAGTGATACAAGTACCAGTCAATGCGTCAAAAATGCCTCTAATCTTTGCCTCAACCACTTCACCATTCCCTAATTTCTGTTCTACTTCGATGTGCTTAGATATGTCAAGTACAATTGATAGTGGTGATGCCCAAAATCAGGACACCACCCCAAATCACTGATTTCACCAAGGGCACCCACCTGTTTAGGGCCATTCTACTGTATCAGCTGTTCTGTTGATGTAGGACCATGATAGGAAACATTATATATTAGTAATCTCCAGCAAACTCAAATGTTATATTTCACAGAAATGGAACATACCTGGTTTTTCTAGGACATTTATCTTCACATGTTTTTTTGTCCATATCAAGTTCTTTGGATGGTATATCACCTACAAACGAGGCCTGTCAAATGGTTCAAATGAAATGTTTGACTACCAAAGATGGCTTCATGGCTTTGTTTGAACATCGGGTACCTATTTTAATCCTCTGGTGAGTCATCATATGGGGATGGGTCAAAACCCTGGTACCTAGTGAACCCCAAAATAGCTGGTAAATGGATGTTCATCCCACTAAAAATGTATCTATAGGTATTGACCCATACCCATATTCCTCTCAAATGGCAAGAAATTCGTGCGGAAAAAAACCCTAAATTCCTGCACTGGGATTCCCAGGGGTCCCTGGTGTCGCAATCACCCAGGGGCGATCACCCAAAGATGCTACCATTTGAGATGGTAAGTCGTGATTCAACCATCTACAATGGATACATATACCGGTATAGTAGTATAGTTATAATGGGTATATATATATAACCAATGATTTATTGGGATGGTACCCTTCTGGTAATCAAACATGTTTTGCTATAGAAAATCCTCATTCAGTTCAAGGAATTTCAACGGCTCCATAACCACTGGATCATGGCTCCATCATCTCAATGAACTCCTTGAAGCCCACAAGATTAGGGCCCCCAAACGCTATGTTAGTTGGTTTATAACTCCCATTAACATGCATTAACTAGACTATATACATATACATATAGAGTTATATCATGTTATATCTTCCATGAAGCCTCTTGGAGATATGTGCACCAACTTAGCTACACGTATCTTGGGGGGCACCATGTTGGATGCTTCTGTTGAAGCCAATACAGTTCTTTTCCCTCTGCCTTGGACGCGATCCCCCCGGATGCCCCTGGCTTCGAAGCTTCAAACTATCGACCGAGCTCAAGAAATGCGAGCTGGAAATCCATTTTTCGCCGGGTTTGGTTGGTGAAAACTGAATGGAAAAGCCCCCGAATATTCCTATGGTTGATCATGGGTTGTTTCATGGCAATGACTAGAGAAAAGGGAGTGAACACCACCATTTTTGGACGTAGCCATGTATCTAAACTTCATGGGCTGTCTGACATACACAGTGTAACATTCCAGTTGTATTGGGAGCAGTGTATCCCAGCGTGGCAAGTGGAATGGCAAACAACGAGTAAGTATGTGGGTGTAATAGATATATATATATATATGTGTGTGTGTGTGATGGGAAGGTAGAGCAATGGGGTTTCGGGGGTATGGCTTTTGCTCTCTGGTCATTTCGAATGGGAATGAACAAGTTATGTTTGTTTATCAACCCCTGCCAAAAACTATGCCAACAAAACTATACCACAAATTTCAAACAAACATGTGTCAACCTACTGTTCATTTGAGCCTTATAGTTTATGCTTACAACTCGTGTCGAAATTGTCCTGCACATGACTGCACATGTGTCAAACAATAACTTTCCTTCGGGTGATCCCCATTAACTGACATAGATATTCTGACATCTTATATGACATAAACTCTGTCAGTCTATCTAGTATCCCGTTTGACATTTTATCTGACGTATTGTTGACGCTGGGACTGACATAAAATCCGACACTCTACCCGACATATTTGCGACATGTTATCTGACTATTTTAATCTGACACGTAATACGGGTATATTATTCGGACCTGACATTTTGTCTGGCAGCCTACCCGACACATGTTCTGGAATTATGTGGAGATTCCATCTGACAAAGATTTTAATATTCTATATGACTTATATTTTGACGTTCGAACTGGCATGTATTCCGACATTCTATCCAAATGTATTGTAACATTTTACATCATATTACAGTACATTCAGTCTGACATATCTTCCGAAGTTACAACCTGACAACATACATTCATACATTCGGACATTCTGTCTGATATCTTATCTTGCATAGTGCTCGGGTCCGGCAACGCCCAGAGGAGGAACAAGTTCCTGACAAGGGAAAAACAGCTGACAGTCTTGACGAGGTAAACACGGCGGGTAAATATACCCATCCAGAAGCCAGGCCCCGGGTGTGCATACAGCACATAATAACAGTGCCAAAGAAACAATAATTTGTTTACAGAGAATCTTCGTTCATAAAATGACATCAAACAAGCACTCAGTATACGCAACTGTTCGCCAGGGTTTACCCTTAGCAATGTGGCATGTCGCCACACGCTCACTCAAGTCACTCGGTCGATCAACAAAATGCAAGAACTTTCTGCTTCAAAGGTCGATGCTCAGCTACCCCCAAAGAGACTTAGGAGGCGGTGAAAAACGCTGATATAAGCTGACAATGTCTCACCATTGGGCTATCAGTTCGGCTTCGACATGCACAACCAACAAAAATGGGCTATGAACCAACCAGGCGTTGTCTCAGAATGAATGCCTGAAATTATAATGCCAAGACCGCATTAATCAACCCCTTATGCTGTCAATTGGGGGGGATGAATGAAGTAGCAGTCTATATCAACCGGGGTTACTGGGTTGACATTTAATACACAGTAACTTTTCCGTACTTTTCCAAACACTTTTCTCAGATGTGCTCAGCACCAACTGACCAAACTGTTCCCAAAGGTGGTTGTCTGTCTATCACATCGTTGTGATTTGTTTCGGTGAAACCTGTGACAACAGGTCAAGAGGTATGCTGGGTATTGAAATCTAAGCAATCTGGGATCAAATTTAAGGATATTTCAGGTATCATCCAACTTACAACGAGATTATCGAGATTGTTTGGTCCACAAGCTGAGTTTCCATATCTTTTTAGTTCCCTAACTCACAAATCAAAAAGAACCGTGGCACAGCTGCACCACTGACTTGAGAAGTGACTCCCGAGATAGAATCAAGCGCGGAGTGGAGGAGTGCAAATGCGATGTATATGTCAATATAATAGCTATATATTATATATCATGTATCGTATATCTATTTATTTATTTATTTATTTATCTGTGTATATGTTATTTTATGTATATATATATGATATATTATTATTATGATGTTGGGATGTTGCTATTTCTATTCGTTCTATAAATATTTATTTTTTGGAAAAAATAAGAAACTAGACGACGGATGGCCCGAGAGCGTAGAGGAGCAGGGTCTTCTCTTGTTAGTATGGAGACGCAATATTAGAAACGATATATGAAAGCTGTGTTATAGGCAGTCGAGAAGAGGAGTATCAAGACAAAATAGTGAGAAGTGCAAGACAATAGTTTGCATCGCAAACACTTTTACACACAGACGCTTTTACACACAGACGCTTTTACACACAAAGCTTTTACCCACAGAAGCTTTTACCCACAGAAGCTTTTACACACAGAAGCTTTTACATACAGAAGCTTTTACACACAGAAGCTTTTACATACAGAAGCTTTTACACACAGACGCTTCTACACAGACACTTTTACACACAGAAGCCTTTACACACAGACACTTTTACACACAGACCCTTTTACACACAGGAGCTGCTTTTACACACAAACGGTACACACAGAAGCTTTTACACACAATCACGTTTAAACAGATGCAATTTTACATACAATCATTTTTACACACAAACTTCTTTACACAGAAACACTCGTACACACAAACCCGTTTACACACAAAGACTTTTACACACAGAAGGTTTTACACACAACACTTTTACACAGATGCACTTGTACACACAAACACTTTTACACACAAACATCTTTACACAGAAACGCTCGTACACACAAACCCCTTTTCGTTGCTCCGGCACAAGTAAAATCGCAATTTTCCCGCAGTTTTTGACGATCGACCTTCATTTCGTGCGAAAAGGTTGCTCCGGCACAAGTAAAATCGCAATTTTACCTCAGTTTTTGCCGATCGACCCTCATTTCGTGCGAAAGGGTTGCTCGGGGGCAAGTCAAATCGCAATTTTACCTCAGTTTTTGCCGATCGACCCTCATTTCGTGCGAAAGTTGCTCCGGCACAAGTAAAATCGCAATTTTACCTCAGTTTTTGCCGATCGGCCCTCATTTCGTGCGAAAGGGTTGCTCCAGGACAAGTCAAATCGCAATTTTACCTCAGTTTTTGCCGATCGACCCTCATTTCGTGCGAAAGGGTTGACGTTTCGTGACTCGCCGCCGGCACCACCCTCGGCCTTAAGAGAGAAAGATAAAAAGAAGGCGTGAGAGAGAAGGTGAGCAGGTGTGAAGATAAGAAAATGTGAAGATGAGCAGATGTGAAGATGAGCAGATGTGAAGATGAGCAGATGTGAAGATGAGCAGATGTGAAAATGAGCAGATGTGAAAATGAGCAGATGTGAAGATGAGCAGATGTGAAGATGAGCAGATGTGAAAATGAGCAGATGTGAAGATGAGCAGATGTGAAGATGAGCAGATGTGAAGATGAGCAGATGTGAAGATGAGCAGATGTGAAGATGAGAAGATGTGAAGATGGGAAGGTGTGAAGATGAGCAGATGTGAAGATGGGAAGGTGTGAAGATGAGCAGATGCGAAGATGAGAGGATGTGAAGATGAGAGGATGTAAAGATGAAAAGATGTGAAGATGAGAGGATGTGAAGATGAGATGTGAAGATGAGAGGATGTGAAGATGAGAGGATGTGAAGATGAGAGGATGTGAAGATGAGAGGATGTGAAGATGAGAGGATGTGAAGATGAAAAAATGTGAAGATGAAAAGATGTGAAGATGATGAGAAGATGTGAAGATGAGATGTGAAGATGAGAAGATGTTTTACAGACCCCCACTATTGGAAGAACCCTGCGCTCAGACGCTCTCGGGAAAAATAGGATTCAGAAATAGGAAAAAAATATGGTTCCAGAACTCAAATAGGAAAAAAAAGGACTGCCAAACCAAGATGAACCACAGCTTCACATTTGGGAACAACACCAACACAAAACACAAGCAGAGCCTTCCACATTTTATGAGGAATGTCACTGTGGATATATGTGGGTCCACTGCCAACCTGCGTGGTGTTACATCTATACATGTAAATGTTTGGATATGTCCCATGCGTGTATGTAAGTAATTGCAATTGCTGCTGCTGCGTTCGCAATTGGAAAAGGAAAGGAACCGAAAGCAGACATTGAATCTTGAAGGCACCATCTGCTTGGGGGAGCTGGCTAAACGATTGAAATAATGAGCCAATAACTTGTGAACTGCGTGACGTTCGGCGCGTCCCAAATTCAGCAATAAGCGTGGCGCTCCCACACCCCTTTCCTCCTCGCCCCGCTTCCTCCCCCTCCTCTCCCCCACCCCTATTTTTGAATCCTATTTTTTTCCTATTTTTGAATTCTATGGTTTTCCTATTTTTTTCCTATGTTTTTCTTAATTTTCTAAAAATGGGCTGCTAGCTATTTCCTATTTTTTCCTATTTTTTCCTAGTTTTTCCTATTTTTGTCATATTTGTTCCTATTTTTTTCTTATTTTTTCCTATTGCTTTCCTATTTTCTCCTATTTTTTTCGAGGTTTTTTACGTTTTTTGACGGTTTTGGGACCCGAATTCAAAAGAAGGAAAAAATAGGAAAAAAATAGGAAAAAAAAAGGTATGGTGCTGGAAGCAGATGTTCAGAAATAGGAAAAAATAGGAAACAAATAGGAAAAACATAGGATTCAAAAATAAGAAAAAAATAGGGAAAAAATAGGGCCCAAAAATGCAAATAGGAAAAAAATAGGAAAAATAGGAAAACAAAAAAACTGGGAAGTGCTTTGTAGTCCTGTGCTGCTAGCTATTTCCTATTTTTTTCCCTATTTTTCCATTTTTTTCCTATGTTTTCCCTATTTTTCCTATTTTTCCGAAGTTTTTTACATTTTTTGACGGTTTTGGGAGCCGAATTTAAAAGAAGGAAAAAATAGGAAAAACATAGGAAAAATAGGGAAAAATAGGAAGAAAAAAGGTATGGTGCTGGAAGCAGATGTTCAGAAATAGGAAAAATAGGAAAAATTAGGAAATAGGATTCAAAAATAAGAAAAAATAGGGCCCAAAAATGCAAATAGGAAAAACATAGGAAAAAATAGGAAACTAAATATATTGGGAACTGCTTTGTAGTCCTGTGTCAAGTGTGTTTTTGCGTCCTACTTCTTTCCTATTTTTGATTCCTATTTTCCCATTTTTCCTAAAATAGATATTTTCAACTTTTATAGAAATAGCAGAAAACTATATATATTATATATATTATACAATTATTATAATATATATATATACATATATATATATATATATTAAATAATATAATATATTATATGATATTACATAATATTACATAATATTACACAATATTATGTAATATAATATAAGATTATATTATATTCTATTATATTATATTAAATTAAATTATATTATATTATATATTATTAAATATATGATATGATACAACATAATATAGTATAATATAATATAATATAGTATCATATAATATAATATAAATAATAATAATAATATATAATATAATATAATATAATACGTTAATATAATATAATATAATATATGTGATACCTAACCTTAGATGCAAAACCATGATTGATGGTCTCCCTCCCTAATAAAGCAACATTTATAGCTAGATCTTGTGATGTCTCTATAGAATAAACCAGAACTGATGTCTATATGTCATAAGCGAGAATAATCAATCCAAAGCGACTATGTGTTTACATAAGGTCGCTGTGACATCGGTGCGCTGGGCTTCAAACTCCGGCGCTGCCAGATCAGACTAGACAACTATATATATATAATAGACGACGATATGGTATTCGTATCTGGTTGGTATTTTCAACCCCTCTTTAAAATATTAGTTAGTTGGGGTTATTATTCCCAATATATGAAAAAAATGTTCCAAACCACCAACCAGCTGTATGTATGCTTTGGCGCTAAGAGACCTGTTGGGATGTAGGATACCCAAACCAGCCTCGGATGAGGCCCCATGTCTTAAGCAACAGCTACACATCTGTAATACCCAGGCTAGCAGGCTCAACAGCGAGACAAAAAACCGGCTCTGTACTGACAATTCGAAGCACGTGCTCCGCCCATCACTTTGTGAGGCCAAAAAAATCTGTGCCCCAGTAGCTGTTTCTGGTCGGACGGTTCAACCCCCGTGGGAAGAAAACAACAAACAACAAAACAAGTGGAACCATCCAAAGATATGAAAACTACAAGAATGACGAAATTACCCTCTGGTAATTTAACGTAGCTATTGAAAATTGCCATTTATAGTGAGTTTTCCCATTAAAAATGGTTATTTTCCATAGCTACATTAAATTACCAGAGGGTACATGAAACATCATGAAACTATACCAAGCAGGTCCAGTTCGAGAAGCAAAACATGACCTGTTGATGCGCCAACAACCGGGGTCGACGGGCAAGCCTGAACACCAGAACAAACTGGGATCAAAATCAGATCCAGAGCCTGGAAATCCGACTTCGCCAGCCCTCAAATATGCAGGGTTCCTTGAGATTCAGTGTCACTTTCTTTTTCAGCTGAATCCATGCTCTTGTGGCTCACACCACCTCATGAGCTCAGAGCTCCGAACGAGGATGAAATATGATGGAAGCGGTTCGAAGCGTTTCGTACCGTTTCTTCATGGCCATAAATGCCAGGTAGGTACCATTCGTTTTTCACGATAGCGCGTTTTCAGTGGACTGATTTAGGCTCAAAGGATCTATATAAAAGGATCTAAAATCGCATGAGGTGAACCATGCAACAGTCGTTTATACCAAGGTTTGCTACTCTTGAGGGTGCTATGTACCTCCTGTAGGGATGAATCCTCAAGTTAGGAAAACATTGTTTGCTTCGTTTCATTCAGAAACTTACAATGATGGCCGCTGCTGGTTCCACCGAATTATCCCGAAGTATAGTTCTGACCCAAATTTCACAATATTCTATGATATTCTACAGGCGACCCTTATAGATACCGGACCAAAGATGTTCTTCTCAAGCAGAACATACCACATGCGGCGAGGCCATCAGTGGGAACCAGTCACCAAACTTCACAAAATTCTGTGTCTGAAACTGGGCTACAGTATATACACCGCAAATGACACTAATCTGACATCTGACATCATTCAGCAAGACTAAGAGGTGGTGCAGGTTGCAGTAGGTTAGTTTCAACATGGTTTGGTTGGTCCAAAAATTAAAAAACATTTAAATTCATTAAACAAAAACAATAAAAACATGAATAAAATAAAAAGAAATAGAGAATAAATGTATATATATATAATAAACAAAATAACAAGAAATACATATACAAAAAATGCATAGATAGAACTCAAATGATTTTATTTCATTCATTCTACAGTATTTATATAATCTGTTCAGGCTGTGGCCTATCAAAACTGATTTTGTTTTAACAACGCTGGCCGCGGGCAAACAATCTCAGTCAGATTTTCCCACACCACATCACACCAGGAACACCCTTGCAGCAAGTTTGTTTTTTTTCAAGAAAACACATGTGTTTCTCTATTGTTTGCATTGGTTTGTCAAAAAAAATAGGAAAAAACAACTCAAGAAACATTGTCTCAAGTAAAAAATGCAAAAAAAAACAAACGCAGGTTTTCCCACTGTCGCGAAACCCAAGAGATAAAACACAAAACACCACAACAACAACAACAACAAACAACAAACAACAAACAACAAACAACCAACAACAAACAACCAAGAACCAAGAACCAAGAACCAAGAACCAAGAACCAACAACCAACAACCACAACAACAACAACAACAACAACAACAAACAAAATGCATTTGTTCGATTCGTTTTTTATTTATTTATTATTCATGTCTTTTCATTGTTTGTTCACTTTTTTCGGCCATTTAATTTCTTTGTTTTGTTTTTTTCATTTTTGTTTTTTAATGACCATTTCCTGCATTATTTTGTCATTGAAATTACTTTACTTCGAGTGATCCCCACCCTGGCATTTCAAGTCATATATTCGGACATATATTTTGACATTTTACCTGTAACATTCTATCTGACATCTATTCTGATATTCTATCTGGCATATCTTCCAGCATTTTATCTGGTATATATTTTGGCGTTCTATCTGGCATATATTCTGGCATTCTATGTGGCATTCTTTCTCGCATATATTTTGGCATTCTATGTGGCACTCTATGTAGCATATATTCTGGCAGTCTTTCTGGCATATATTCTGGCATTCCATCTGGCCGCTGAGGTCCAGCGGTGCCCACTGAGCTCGGAAGGTCCCAGGTTGAGGTCCAGCGGTGCCCACTGGGTTGAGGTCCAGCGGTGCCCACTGCGCTCAGAACCTTGCGGTTGAGGTCCAGCCGTGCCCACTCAGATCGGAAGCCGGCAGTTGAGGTCCAGCAGTGCCCACTGCGCGCGGAAGTTGGCAAAGAGATTGGCGAAGAGTTGGCAAGGCGGAAGTGGACGTGGAAGTGGAGGCAAAGGTGGAGGAGAAGGAGGAGGACGAGGAGGAGGTGGAGGAGAAGGAGGAGGAGGAGGAGGAGCCGGAACAGCTGTGATAAAATCTAACAACCCTCACCTGGCAGGTGGGGAAAAACCAGTGCCAATCTAGACCACTGGCATGTTGACCCACTACTTAGTTTTGCTGAATCATGGAGAAATTCATGGCAAAAGCGCCATGCGAATCTTCGGGCTTTTCCCTTCATGTTCGGAAAAAATGATCCCTCCCAACCACAAATGGTCGATTTATTCCATGCGGCAGCCTTCTTCTTAATGGGACTCACATGTTCTTATAGAATCTCGACATACTGGTAATCTTTCTTGGCGGTTGAAATCTTCATCACTCACGAGACTTGAAATTAATTGTGAAAAATATGAGGGGAGTGACACTTTCACCTGTAATTAGCAACTGGCAACAATCTTTGCAAATCCTGCTTTCGTCTCTGCAGCCTGGCAGTGCTTTTTCTACTCTAGAGCGTTCTTTGATTGTGTTCTTTGCAATGTCTCTCTTGGCCAAAATGGCCTGTCTGGGGGAAGAGTGTTCAGCCTTTGCCTTCTGATTCTTTTTTTTTTCGCCTTTACCTATACGTTTGCAAAACAAGGAAAGCAATTTGGGCATATGGTCACCTCTGACGGCTTTTGGATGTCGTTCAGATTTCGTTCAGATGTCGTTTCGGACGTCGTTCAGATCACCTGGGATTTCCAAGAGACCTTTAGAGAAAGGCGGCTGAACAACTTTCTTTTCAGCAATCTTGTTTTGCTTATTGCTGTCTCAAACACATGATGTTTTTGGCATGTTTTGGCAATCCTTGTGGTGGCTGCGGAGTCAGCTCACGCACCAACGCTAGCTCCCAACACCTCTACCTGAGCCTTTTGCAGGTAGTTTCCGCTTTCAAACTTCATACGTACATATGATTTGAATGTCATTTCAGATGTCGTTCCGGATGTCGTTCTCCACCTAAGTGGAATACCCTCAAAACAGTGAAGCCCAGAATTAGGTGCGGCGGTGTGGCGAATTATGAACCAAGGATCACCCAATACATAGCTGAGAATTACGTTTTATTCACCTCAAATGATTAAATCATGTTAAATCACAACATTGCATGGGTAAGTTACCAGGTTTCGCCCAGAAACGGTCCCAGCCATAGGCATCCAACTGCTTGGCAAACTCCTTCTCCTTCACCTCCCCACGTTCCCTGGCGCCACGCATGCCACTAGTGGCTGCCCGCGTGCGCGCGTCTACGCCTACTGACCAGGTAGTCATCCACCATAAGATCAACGACAAAGCCAAGGAGAAAGCGAAGGGGATCCTCGCAAAAATAAAGGATCTTTCGTGGCGCGGCCAGCTTGTTGGGCTAGGTTGGAATCATGATAAGCAATGATTAATAGTGGTTAAGAATGATTTGTAATGAATAATATAATGGTTGATAGATGCTGATAGTGGTTGATAGTGGTTGATAGTGGTTGATAGTGGTTCATTTCATGCTTATAACAATTGTGAGTCAATCCACTTTTTCAGACACCAAATCAGCGACAAACACCACTGATTCTGGCTAACGGCCTTGGGTACAACATGCGAGCATTTTGGTGGAGCTATGACCCTACACCGATGGAACATGCGAGCCAAACTTCCATTTTCTCAAACTGGTCCTTTGCTTTATCAAATACCTCCCAAGTACAGTAACACCCTTAGGCCCTAAGCTGTGGAGTGGAGGATCCATCATGTTCTAACAGTGCATCTCTGATGAATCAGCTCCGAGCATCACAGGGATCAAACTCGTGTCGTCAGTGATGCGCATGAAGAATTCCACTGGCATCTTGAAGAGAAATTCCACAATCAGCAGTGGAACCTAAGACGATCTTGGGCTCCGATCTTGACAGCTGATGAGAAATCGGCTGTATCACATGGGTTCCTACCTCAAAACCAGGAATGATTCATCCGTGTCTGAAAAAAAAAGGTATGGATTCTCAAGAGGCACACAACCCCAAAACCAAAAAAAATGCGTCGAACAATGCCCATAACTTTCACCCCAGCAGAACTCACCCACGATGCTCCGCAAATTTACCAAAGGAACGAGGAGAATCAGGGCTGCTGCCATTCTGGAACAACCATAGGTGAGTATGACCTTAGAGGGAAAAATCCAATTCGGGTAGTACATCCCATCCCCAAGGCTCAAAAAATCATAAAAATCGGGTGTACCTGGTACCACATTAAGATTTTTGGGAGGTGCAACATGGACGGGTTAGATTGCAGGTGATGTGGAAAACTTCCATTCACACATGGATCCGAAACGAATATATATATATATATATATGTCCTGTCAAACATTCCATCATTGGGTCTGTTGTTTCAGAAAGAACACGGGGTGGGATCAGTTGGGTGAATGGCCGAATGACCCCTTCACATTCGATAGACCCTCTCCTGAAACCAAATCCCATCCGTGGATAGAGGATGGGAGTGGATTCTGGGTCTAGAACTAATTCTCAAACAAAAAGCCATAACAATTAATATACAGTTGCATCAGATTGCATGAACTCTTTCAGAATCCGATTAGAGAAAAGCCTGCGGGGAAGAAGGTCTCCTATAGATATTCACCGAAACCAGCCCCACTGCTCAGGTGTTCTGTTTTCTAGCTAGAAAAGGTCATGCCTGCCCCGTTGGCTGAATGAGTCACATCACAAGCAAACGTCTATCATCATGCAATATTGTGTGTATTTTATACTGTGCATACATGCCTCGATCTTCCAGGTATAAAATACATATTTTTACTAGGCAGAAAAATGTCTGCTCAAAATTCTCAGAATCGCCTGTCTTCAAAATGGCCTTTTGGGCAATCAATAAACCAAAACTGCGCTAACTAAATTTCTCCAGTAGACCTGTCTTGATTTACCCAAATTACCTTAGTACTCAATACATGTTCATATATTTCTGACGGTTTGCCAAAACTAACCCACCACATTTCTTGGTTCAACCAAACATAACCAGACTATCCCAACAAGTTTCTTTGTTTGTACAAACTACCCCACTGCATTTCTTGGTTGACCCAAACTATCCGACCCGATCCCAAAAGAGTTTTTTCTTTTACCTATATAAACTATGTCAGGGTCTTATCAGCTGTCACACACTGGTTTGTTACAATTGAAAAAGTTTGTTCTGGCATGTAGTTTGTTCTGCCTTGGATGGGTTTCAACTGGAATATGCTCCTGCCCTAGTGGGAAATCATTCAGCAAAAAAACGTCTGGTTTTTGGTCGGGTGAAGTCACCCGTGGATCGGGTAAAGTCGCGCGTTCCTTTTTTTTTGAGGGTTACACTAACGGTTATACATGTCCAGAAAAAGACATTGGAAATACCAGCAAAACCCAATTCAAGGGCATTCCAACTAGTTTTCCCATTCTTGCGGCAGAGATCCAAATCACCATGCCTGGGAACGCCCTGCATTGGCAACAGCCTAAAATCCTAGATGTAGGAAACTAAGGTTATATACGTTCCATGTAAAGAAAGGGTGGGCTGTGCTACGGCCTTGATGTTGTTGTCAAACGGTTGCTTTGCGGTTTGGCGAGGTCTTTTGAACAGTTAAACCCAGTTTCACCCATAGATCTGAGGGAATTTGGTGAAAAGATTTAAAAGATTGCCTTGTCTTTGGATTAGCATATTTAGAGATTTCTGCCACCATCAAAAAAGTGGCCCTAATTACTTGAAATCACAAAAGTCGCCCTCGGTCGGGTAAAGTCGCCTTTTAACCACAAAAGGCAGCAGAAACTTCCTTAAACAGCAGAAACTTCTCACATTGGGGATATGTAACTGGTATCATAATGGGATTGATTGGGGATATATGTATATATATATAATCATGGTATCATAACTGGTATCCCATATATAGAAAGATGTAGCTGTAATAATGCACCATGGTATGGGGATTTCACCAACCCCAAAGGTTACCCCCCCCGGATACCAAGACACACCCGCTTTGCACATGGCCATGTACAACCACAACGTTAAAACCTGTCAGGGGTGAGGCTGCGGAACATTGGCGTTTCGTTGGCATAACCCCAGGTCTTCCTTGGAATATATAGTAGAATATTATATATATAATTATATTATATAATATATTATAGATAGATCACATGTATACATATTTATATAAATCTGACTCAAATAATTAGCATCAATCTTGAAATGTATATTATATATGCTATTATTAGCACGATAGTTTCTGAAAAAAAAATCAGAACAAGAGAGGAAACTAGTATTGGAAGGGGATTAACGTTGGAGATCTCGCTACAGATGGACCATGACCGCGAAATGTTCAACATGTCAAATATGTCAAATCTGCGAAGCACAACAGAAATGATGAGCAAACAGGACATGCGGACACATCTCGTTGTTTCAATATAAAACTATTCGGGCAATTTAAGTTTAGTGGTTACGCTTTCATATCTCATACCCTCTGGTAAATGTTAACATAACTATGGAAAACCACCACTTTTAACGGGTAAATCAACGATTTCTATGGGCCATTTATACCATTGCTATGTTACAAATGACCAGACTATCCTCAAGTGGTATTAGGGGCAATGCCAACCCTATTCAGGTGGTATCTAAGCAAACAATTGGTTGAAGATGTTGGTTTGCAAAAAGTTGCGGACCAAGAGCTATCCAGAACAAGCTCCGATGGTCTGCACAAAAGTTTTGTTTTTTCTTTGGAGGAGTCTCGGGAAAGAAACCAACTTGTAACATTGGTAGATTTGTAGATGTCATGTCTGTAGACAATCCTATCATTGCCTTTTGCATTCCCAAATAATTGCGAGCTTCCCAAGAGAAAGGCTAACCCTACGGTAATTTGACATAACTATAGAAAATCACCGGTCTTTAAATACTTGGATACGCTTAAACACCCAAACATAAGACATATTCCCTTTCCCCAAGTAATGCATTTCCAAATGGAACAAAACAAAAAAAACTTTAGCAAATCCATGCATATGTTAGTTCACCCAAGGCTATAACATAATCGTCCATCGTTTCTACCTTGCAATCTCCACCTGGCAAATCACCATGAAATGCGCCAGATTTATGGCGACATTCTTGCAGGGTATGACATATCTTAGTCGACTAGACTTATTTTATCAAAACAATTTGGACAACTTTGACACACTTTGAAACCATCACTTGAGTTTGTCTGAAAAAATAGGGTCCTTCAAACGTTGATGGCTAATCACGATTTTCTCTAGGCATAAACCTGCCAATTACAGTAAATTATGTGTACACCCTATTTTCAGACAAACCATGAAAAAACCATTTTCTTCGAACCGAACCGTTTACCTCCCGGCAATCCAACCATTCACGATCTACTTTCGATTCACGCCTTGCCAGCTTAGATTGCGCAATAATTCCCCGCATGCCAAACATTCCCACCGAAAAACACTGATGAATCCAGATAAATCCAGGTTAAATCCATCTTACTCCTCTTTTTCATCTGCTGGTTGGTGGTTGAGCCACCCCTCGAAAGTCAGTTGGGATGATGACATTCCCAATATAAATGGAACAAAAACATGTTCCAAACCAGAAACCACCAACCAGTCTGTAAATTCCCGGTTTTTTTCTTGGTTGAAGCTCCCACATCGGCGTCGCATCGTCGCTCCACCATCCCAGGCACTGCGAGAACTGGCTGATGCGCCAAGCGGATCGAGCAGCGGATCACCCAGCGGAGCTGCTCCTAGTGGAGAAGTAACCCTCATGAAGCACATGCAAAAACTGGCTGGTGGTTTCAACCCCTCTGAAAAAATATTATATATTGCCAATATATAGAAAAACAACAAATGCTCCAAACCACCAACCAGAAAATGTACAAGTAGGAGTTTCCATTCATGGGGATACCCCATAGCCATGGTTAACGGAACATCCTATAGAGATGGATGATTTAGGGGTACCCCCATGACTTTGGAAACCACCCAATATCATCAAAAATCAAATGGAGATGTACACGGTAACGGTACACGTACTGTGTATATATATAATTTAAATATGTGTGTCTAGAATTATGTGCATACAGTACTATTCATAATATTCTGGGTTTTGTAAAGCAACAAACCATGGGGAGTTTTCCATATCTTGAAATGATTTACCAGCAAAATGAGAGCATCTAAGGGATCTTGTTCAGTGGAAACTATCAAGTAATGGCAAGGTTTCTATTTCGTGGTTCATATTGGTATGTAAAGAAATGCACAGCAACAACAACCAGCTTAGCATGTTATTTACGTTTACCCTCTGGTAAACTAACATAACTATGGAAAATCGCAATTTTCAATGGGTAAATACTATGGAAAATCGGAATTTTCAATGGGTAAATCCACTATAAATCACCATTTTCAATAGCTTTTTGTATGTTTACCAGAGGGTATAACCTACAATGTGAGGCCCCCCAGTTATAAGTTGGTTTATAAGCCCCAGTAACTATAGTTATAAGTACCATAAACCATAGTTATTGAAGTTATAAACCAACTTAGCTATCTTAGGGGCCTCACATTGTATATCTATATGACAATATGAGATGCGGTCCAGGAACCAAATTGGTCAGCTCCTAGATGATCGTGAACGAGTAACGTACGTAGGCTCGTGACACATGACACGTGGTTGTTTAAAATTACACGGCCTCTAAAAAATCATTGTTAATATCTAAACATAACAAATTAAGACTAAACATTAGACTTAATATTGTTATTTTTAATGTTTAGTCTTAATTAAGACTAAACATAAAACATTAACAGAACCTGACCTCTGGGTTCGGGCCTCAAACTTTGACCTACCTAATAATGTGTGACTGTCAACAGAGCTTGTACAACGCAGGAAATGACACCCCAGTTACCCACTTCAAAGGGAAATCACTTGATCCATGTGTGTAACTAGCCAAGACCTGGAAATTAAATCTTGAGTTCATATATTCATCTTCAATATTTTCTTTGTATTTTCCCCAAAAAAAACTCAGATCTTCCCAATGATGGGTCAAGATCAAGGCTTATTTTTCCGTTGATCATCTCCAAATGATGGCTCCTCCCCCTCCAACTGCACGTCGCCGCCGCTGGGCCCTGCAAAGGCTTCGTTGATCCATAGACTGTTCAACGGCATCAGGGCAGCGTAGATCAGTGTCCTGGAGCTGGGATGGAGCTGGGATCAACCTGAAGGGGCTCATGGAAAAGTAAAACGTATGCGTATACAATGGTTTTTCCATATGGGGGTTTACATAAATGGGGGTACCCAATATGGTTTATCATGGACAATTCCATCTACAAATGGATGATAAAATGGGGTAGCCCTATTTTAGGAAACTTCCATATTTATGTATAGAACTCTCAATGTATGCAACATGTTTCGTATCATGAACATTACACCAGAGAGGTTATGTGCAGTCCAAAAAACAAGGCAGTATGCCAACTATTCCCATTACCATCCCAGTACCACAGGAGGCCGAGTGGTGTAAAGGGTGTAGGGTCAAACATTAAAGATGAATTAGACATTATATTGATATTGACATATTGGTATCGATATTATTGATACTAATATCAACATCATATAATAGTAACATGATGCGATGTGATAGGATATCTATACTGGATATCTCATGATTTCATGGAATGTTTTGGGTAGGGACTCGAGGATGTTGAAGGTTTTGCCCCAAACCTTTCACACAAACCCGTGTGGCAGAGCGGCAACTGGGTGAGCAATCTGTGGTGCCATCAATCACGAGTACATCATATTCAGTTCCGGGCGTCACGGCTAGGATTCTTGTTTCGCATGCCAAAAACCTATTCAACCGCCAAAAGATGGTCACGCAAGTATAGAGCCATCACTGATTTACTTCATTCAAGAATCAAGGCAACCAAAAAGGGAACCGAGACTGGTCAACGCTTTGAGTCCAGAAAGTATATGGATCATTTCAATTTCAATCATATATTTTTATAGTATAGGTAGGGTATGTTATGGTGTGGTATGGTGATGTATGATTTATTTATTTGTATATATATATAAAAAAACAATTATACACATATATAAATGTGACAACAGTTTCAGCTACTATAAAATGGAAACCCATGACGTTGGAAAATAACGGTTTTCCAGAGTGTATATATATATATATAGATAGAGTCTCTATAGAATATTATAGAATGGGAACCCATGACGTTGACGTTGGACATGGCTGTCACCCAGCAGGTGAACATCACTATAAAATGCTGATCTGACCACCCAAAAAATATATGTATAACATGGGGGACTCACTCGAGCCCTAAAACTTAGAGAAAATGTGTATTTTAAAAAATTTTATCCAGGGGATGTCCCACCCATTCTATAGAGGAAATTCCTAAGGGGTACATATATATATATATACTATTATATACTGTATTTTATAGTCATACCAGTAGTACCGCACAAGGCGGTGGCGGATGTTTCAAAAATAGGAAACCTATAGGAGAGGTTGGTTGTTGTGAATCACGGATGGCAGAGCGAATCCTCTCATGGACCGACAGGTGGTTGGAGCCGTGTTTTTTGGAATGGTTGCAGTGGTTGCAGTGGTCACCTCACCACAACTGCTGGATGTAGCGTGGTGTAGCGCAGTTGTAGTTGTAGTTGTAACTGTAGCTGTAGTGTAGTGGAGCGGAGTTGTAGTTGTAATGTAGTGTAATTGGTGTAGTTGCAAGTGCATTTGCAGTTGTAGTCGTGGTGTGGTGTAATTAGTGTATTGTAGTGCAGTGTAATGTCGTGGAGTGTAGTGTAGTGTAGTGTGGTATAGTGTAGTGTAGTCTAGTGTAGTGTAAGGTAGTGTAGTTGTAGTTGTAGTGTGCTGCAGTGTGATTAGTGTAGTGTAGTGTAGTTGTCATTGTAGTTGTGGTAGTAGTTGCTGTAGTTGTAGTTGTAGTGTAATTGGTGTAGTGTAGTGTAATTAGATGTAATTAGCGTAGTGTAGTGTAGTGTAATTAGTGTAGCGCAATGTAGCGTAATATAATTGTATTTGATTGCATTTGTAGTTGTAGCAGTCATGTAGCGTAGTCGTAGTTGCAGTTGTAATTGTCTATCTATCTATCTATCTGTCTGTCTGTCTATCTGTAAGCTTGAAAATGCAGCAATTCTGCGAAACTTCCTCAATTCTTGAACTTGACAACATCCAAAATGAAGCAATCCTGCGAGACTTTTTCAATTTTTGAACTTGACAACATCAAAAACGAAGCAATTCGGCGAGACTTCCTTCAAAAATGGAAAGTTGACTGCAGAGCTGATGGCCTCATACCAATGCGTTTTGCGATTTCCCACTCCACCTGTCTAAAGTACTGCGCCTGCCAGGAAAAATTGATTAACACAGGTCATACGAAGTGCTGCACCTGTCACGCAAAAACATCTTAGCAAACCTGAAGATCTGATGCTCCAAAATGCAACCCTTCTCAGGAAATCAGCGCCCTAACCTCCTAACATCTCTGATGAACATGTCTCTTGTACAGCGCCTGCCACGGAAAATGCATCTTTGCAGATCTTCTTCAAATGTTACACGCCTGCCATCGTTTTTGGGAATGCGACAAACCCTCACGTTTTGCTCACTTTTGACAAGGTGCATAATCCCTTGCGCCTGCCACGCAAAACGGCGCTTCAACGTCCAAAAGTGGCGCGAACATGTGGTGTTTTGTACATGTTGACTTCGAAATGTGCTTCGCGCAACAACGGCGTACACTTTTTGAACATCTCAACTTCCAAAAGTGCTCCGAGACTGAGGTGTTTTGTACATGTTGACTTCGAAATGTGCTTCGCGCACAAACGGCGTGCACTTTTTCGACATCTCAACTTCCAAAAGTGCTCCAAACGTGAAGAAGTGGTTTTAACTTTTTCACTTGTAAATGTGCTTCGCGCCACAACGGCGTGCACTTTTTCGACATCGCAACTTCTAAAAGTGCTCCGAGGCTGAGGTGTTTTGTACATTTTGACATCGAAATGTGCTTCGTGCGACAATGGCGCGAACTTTTTCGACATCACAACTTCAAAAAGTGGTCCGAACTTCGTGTGCTTTGTGCATTTTGACATCGAAATGTGCTTCGCGCCAAAACAGAATGCAATTGTTCATCTCTCATCTGGCCAGCTGGCTCCGCACCCGCCGCTTTAGCGAGTCTACTTTTCGACCCTCCGGAGCCACAAATCACTGGAAAAAAACACAGTGTTTTGCGACTTTCTTACCTTTTCGCGCACCTGGATCTTCTCTCTTCTGAGACTTTCTCTTCTTTGATCTTCTTTCTTCTTCTCTTCTCTTCTCTGACCCTTCCCATCTCTGCTTTTCATCTGTCCATATTGTCGGATGTCCATATTGTCGGAAGTTTCACTTCTAAACTTCCTTCGATCAGCCATCCAAATGGGGTGGATCAAAACTTTAAACACCAGGGCCGAGCCGCATCGAGTAGGTCACGTACCAGCCGCCCCCAATGGAGCGCATGACACTGGAAGCCAAGTCGTCGCGAACGTGATGATCAAAACTGTCCAGGGCAGCAGTTTTGCTGCTTTTCCCATCCTCACACCGCTGAGGCCAGAGCCCCGGCAGTTAAAAAACAGGAGCCACGGATGCTGAAAAACCAGGGCTCAATCCATGATTTCACACGGCGGATTGAAAAAATGGGGCCAACCATGATATACGGACAATGAATAGTAAATCATTCAAAAGGTAGTTTTAATGTTTGGATGTCTTGTCAGCTTCTGCCTTCGAGTGGGAATGGGTTTGAGCACCACAAATGAGATCAAGCCAGCAAACATGAAGGGTAAACTAAACAATGGAACTGCAGCAAAAATTGAGGATGGATGGATTTACAGTAAGCCGGCCAAAAGGGCACTCCAAGGTAACTGGGGGTGTACCCGGCAAAAGTAGGATTCCAGTAAATCAGGAAATCTGAGGATTGAACCAGCAGGTAAAACCAACGAAATGGGGATAGTGCAGCAAACATAGGCCGGTTGAGCGAACAAAAGGAATGGGCGAAGGTCAATTGAATTCATATGAAGGCATCTGAAAAAGGGACACTTCCTCAATCCCAAAAAAGGACTACTGTATACAAATGCTTGGTTCAATGATGACCTCTTTACAGGGTGCGGACATACCAATCAACAGCGGGTGCCAGAGTGCCAGTAACATATAAAGATTGAGACCGCGCAATTTTGGTTCTACTTGCTAGGGAAGACGACTGTGATAGATTATATTTGATTATTATAATGATTTTTCAAACCATCCAACAAGTGTTCAAACAAGAAAATATTAGATCTTGCCGTCACTTCAGCAGTTTGTCCCAGCCTGCTGAGCCCAAGTGGCTTCGCTATACCAATCCCGAAGTTGCTTGTAGACCGCGCGGCGATCACAGGGCAAAGTCGCTCCAGACTTTGGATGCTGGTGCTTACCTCAGGCACGTGTGTCTGGCCCCGCCACGAAGCTGAAATTTCATATAGATGCCATGGGCTGTCACTGAGCTATCAAATTTAAATACTGGTTGGTGGTTTTTAACCCCTCTGAAAAAATAGTAGTCAATGGGAAGGATTATCCCATATAATATGGAAAGTAAAACATGTTTGAAACCATCAACCAGTAAATAGAGTGCCCAATTGTTTTTGACATATCCAGTGCATCATCGGATCGTCACCCAGAACATCATAATGTATCATAATGTATGTTATTTTTTCCAACATTTGGGGTGTGCCGGTTCCATCCGGTGCCACTATCCACACCTGGAATGCAGCCAACCATATTTTGAAACTACTGAATCCTGTGACCAACAAAAACACAGAATGGTACTATGATCTTTTATTTCTATGCACCAGCTGCACACTCATGCAGTGAGTTAGTTGCAAGGCAGCAAACATAGATGCACGATGATGCACGATTTGGTTTGGGTGTCACTTGGAAAGTAAATCACAAAATCGAAGCACCTCAACCCCAATATCACAGCTACCTCTTATGTGCGTGGGTGTGTTTAAAACAATTCTGGAAGGAATCAAATAGTTGGGCACATCCTTCCAGAACTTATATTATTAAACTTGTTCCACGTGTTTTCTTTTTACCAATGTCGGTGTTCTCCTGAACTGCCGGGGAAGGCACTGGTGCAACAGAAACATTTGGTTTTTCGTACCTGGAAGGTTTGGAGCTGCTCCGGCAATTCATCCACCTGGAACGACTTCATGTCACTGTCACCAGGGTTAGCTGGAGCTTAGGACTTTTGATCTTTTGACTCCTGTCGTATCTATCCGATCTATCGTGTCTATCCTATCTATCCTATCATGTCCTGTTTATCCTATCCTATTCTAGATCTCCTATCAATTCTATACAATCCTATCCTAGCTAGGCTAGGCTATCCTATCCTACCCTGTCGTATCATAGCCTATCATATATCCTATCCATCCATCTTGTTCTTTCCTTCCCTTCCTCATTTGTTCGTTCGTTTTGTTTCACCTATCCAAACGTCTATTGTTTGGACCTGCTATCCTCTCCTATCCATCTGGCTATCTAAACATCTACACGGAATGTAGCTCCAATAGAAATTGGATTCGTTCAACCTTTTCAACCATGGAAACGTTCGTTGATTTTGGGCTCGCTAAATCGCTTGTTATTGCGCAAACCAATCTGTGGCTGGAAAGTCAGCTACTCATCTAGCGAAAAGCAAGGTTGAACTCGGCTACTCTGACCGGCAAAGTTACGTCACTACATATATGGGTTTGTCAAACAATGAGTTTCTAAAGACAAATGTAGAATAATTCATATAGACAAAATTTGCCAAACCATGTTTCGTACAGTAATACTTAAATTTGACAACCATGATGCTATGATATGGACGTGAAAAATACCATGTCATTCTTTTGACATAGCATTATGACGTTTTTGGCCATACCATAAGCATATCATTTCTCCATTCCAATGGTTCCCCTATTGGACCGGCCATCCCCATGGCCTCCTTCATGAGGCCAATACCGATGTAGAGAATCAACGGCAACATCCTCGGGCTGCGGTTAGGGCCTCTTTTTTGGGGCTCCTCCGGAAGACGACTGAAGTCTGACGACCACCGAAAATGAGTGTGCCACAAAAAGGAAATCACCATGAAGTGCCACATGTCAAAAACTGTTTCATGTGGGTAAAACAATGCCATTTTTACTAGCCATGACTGGGAATGCCATGACTGGGAATGCTAACCATAACACCTATAAAAATGCTACTGGCGCATGGTTTATGACATTGTTTTACCCACATTAATACCTTCCACGTTAACTGTTGAATTTTAAAGATGCAAAGATGCAAGTCTGACGAGGTTTGACTCACCAAATGGCGCATCCATCTTTGTCAGTGAAATTCAAAGGGAACCATGTGCTTCAATAGTCGAAAGCAAGGTGTCCTTTTCTGCAAACTGCCCCTGGAATTCATAACCTCCCCGTCTCCCCTGGTACTTGTTGGTCGTATACTGTAATTACTGGTTGTAGATGCAACACCACCAAAATTTACCAAGGTGAGCCAGTTGTGCGAGGTTGGAACATCATCACCTTTTGTACTTCGAAAGTGGCTGATCGAAGACTACAGTAGGTGATGTTTGCTGAGGAAATACAAATGAATCATCAAAAGATAGGCACCATCTTTAGTTTGCAAAACTGCAAAAGCCCACGAATTCGATGGCCTGACTAGTTGAGCCATAAACAAATCACCGTCGCTTTTACTTCGCCAAGGATCAAAAGGCTCTCCAGAAAGATTATCAGCAGGTTATCAAAGAAACCTGGCCTGTAGGCTTTCATTTGTGCATTTCCAACTCCTGGAGTACCCAGAGGAATATCTGAGTGGCTATGGTGGGCGTTTCTACCTTGAATTCACCAAAACCAGTCGGATTGAACATACCCCTAAAACAAAGGTTCAAGAAAACCATCCGATACGGCGACCAAACATGGCTGGAAAATCACGCATTTAGTTCAATGATTTTCCCTGCTATCAACCTCCATGGCCAGTTTGGGGATTTTCCGGCTGGCCGCGTTTGATTACAGGAGCCAGCTCATGACGAGGATCCCCAGAAAAGCCGTTCTGAAGTGCACAACGCACCGATTTCGATGTGGAACCCCATGGTCAATGACATCATGACTAGGTACCAAAAACATCCAAAAACGTCATTGTCAAATGAAGGGAATGCCACATACAAGGCCATGTTTTGGGGTAAAAAAACAACTTGTGGGCATGACATAGACCAATGACCAGAAATGAGATAATGCCAACACCGGATTAATAAACCCCCCCCTATAGGTCATGGTAGACCTTGCAAAGTCTTTCCTAGTTTTCCCCGTAAATAAACGCCCCCTTGGAAGGTGTTGATTAATAAGGAGAACCCTCTGATTGTTTTTAATGGGGCACATGGGCTCATGGGGGGTACCCTCTGGGAGCTATCGAAACTGCTGATTTTTATAAAGAATTTAATTAGAAATCGATCATTTGGGGAATAGTTTTTTTCAAATTTTCAATGATCAGCAGCGATGGATTCTGGTGTTCATGAGGTTTCAACTTAAGTATTGAATAAGGAAACCATTTGAAAATAAAGAGAGTTGGAAAATAAAACAAAATGGGATTTCAACACTGGTGGTTGATTAATCATGTCCGGCAAAAACGGTTTATTAATCCTGGGGGACCACCTGTTTTTAAATTGCAAAAAACATGGGAGGAGGTTGGTTAATAACGGGATGTTGATTAATCCTGACTTGACATTACATCATCATACATCTGTACCCATCCATGGCCCTCCCATATCACCTAGTGGCTGGACTCTGCTACCTCAAATTGCTGAATGTGCAAAGACCAGTGAATACCTCGAAACGAGGCTTGAAGCACAGTGGTGAGCTGCAAGTGTTCACACAAAGGTGAGAGGTGACTAGATATATCACTGGAACATGCTGGAAACTCGTAGTTTACACCTGTTCTTGACGGTTGGCCTGACCCTCCATTTTGTGCAATTCCAAGGTTTAACACAAGCGTCGTTTGGCTGCAAGGTAGATATGCTTTGCTCATCTCGAAAAGGACCCCGGATCAACCAGGGCTTCACTATTCACAGACCATGTCGTCATGTTTGGGTGTCTGCATGAGGAATTATGTCAAAACCCTTCAGTTCCGGCCGATATCCCTGAAAGCACAAGTAGAACGTCCACGTGACCATTAACAATTTCTATTTTTTTCGGCTTTCTGGGAGATTGACCGGGATTCTATGGGCAACAATCGTCGGTGCAGGAATCCCGCAACCAAATGAACCTAGCAATACCAAGCAATGCATCTGCTGTGACATAGTGAAACTACACCCTAGTCATGTATTGATCGTGCGAGCAACCCTTGACCTACAAAGTTTGCGTACAAAATCACACACACAATGAACCTATTGAACTATTGTAATACGAACGGAGCAGTGATAGCCCAGCGGCTCATGGCTTGGAACTTCATGTGCAGAGCCAGTAAGATCAGCAAGAGAGACATGCCCACCGGAATGATATCCTAGTCGCTCCAGCGGAAAGCGAAGGCTCTAAAAATTGAACGGAAAAAATGGTCCGACCATGTTTAGATCCTGGAAGGGGACATAGGTTGAGTCCGGTTGAGCTTAAAGGGACCTTTGGGGCATCTTGTTGTCAACACCCATCATCAGATCTCGCCATACTTGGCGGTTCCTGGGAAAACAATCAAGTGGATAGTGACCCTGTAGTGATCCTGTAGACCAACTCATTCAGAACCAGTCGCATGAAATATGAAATATGCATATAAGGTACCCCGAACCTGATGGCTGTTCATCATTTCCCTAGGAAAACATATTGAGGCTACAACCAAAGAAAAAACAAGTACCCTAGGGTAAACTAACGTAGATGTGGAAAACCTATAGTTTTCCTAGGACAAGTACCAAAAATGCTGGGAAAATTCCACTTCTATGTTAGTTTACAGGAGGCTAACCGATGCTCCGCAGATCAAGAACAACGGGAAAAACGGGACCAGCCACCGGTGGTCGTATCAGAGCCCCTTGAATGTCCAACAAAGAACGGGTCCAAGAATAGCATTCTAAGAGTCAAAGCTTTGGCCATCATGGATAAACATGTATATATATATATTAACATTATATAATATGTACTGCCATGTATTGACATATATTGACACAATACATGGACATGTATTGACATGCTGCATGTATGGACACTGTATTGGTATGCTGCATGTATTGACATGTTCACACCAACAATTGCCGAGGTGCGCAAATAAACATACAGCAACACACACACACACACCGTCCTGAATCTGAAATGATTCCTATGGTACCTCCCTCAAACGTTAAAATTGTATTGGATGCACTTACATCTGCGGGTATCAAATGCGCCATCAAGCTACACAACTGCACAGTAGGTAGGATAGTGAAAAACAGAATGTTGGACATATCAACATGAAATGCATGTATCTAGAATATGATGATAGCACTGCACGGTTTGCATTTTATGTAAGTATAAAGAAAACGTTTTGGACATATCAACATGAAAAAAATGTAAGTATACATGCACAAGAACATGTATAGTGTGTGTATATACATATGTGACTACAGTAGTTATATGCACTAGTTTCATGGCAATGGTGTCATTTCAGTTTTCCTCCACCTAAAGACCCACGCGACCCATTGTGGCAGCCTTAAAAACGGCAAGTATCAATATTCTTCGTTTGTCCCTGGTTCAAGAAGGTTGCAACTTCGAAGGTACACCACCTCAATGGGACCATGGTTGTCAACCTGATATTAAGGAAATTATGTGTATATACATACTATATCTGTATTTACACTATATGTAATATCTATATTACATCAAATATACACTATCTCCATATTCTAAATACACTATATATATATACTCTCTAAAGTGTAAATATAAAAATATATAAATACATATATATATATATATTATACACTATTTATACACTACATGCATATACTATATTTATACTATATATACACTTTGAATACATACTATGTATCGACACTATTTATCTGCACTATATATAAATATGTATATGTATGATATCTATATATATAATATAAAAAAAATGCAATAGATATATATATATATAAATAAAAACATTATATATATATATATGCAATATATATATATATACAAGAAATTGAGGGGCTCGGATCCAATGCGGGCTACATATGTTCAGCTATACCAAGGACATAGTACTTTAAGAATTTGAGGGACCTTGGGATAGGACTGCCAAATTCTTAAATATGTATATATATATATATATGCTATATGTGTAAATATATATATACTATATACACTATATATATATACTATACATATATATATATAATATACACTGTATATATATATATATAGAGACTATATATATATATACATATATATGTATATGTACACTATATATATAAATATATACATACATCATACAGCATATATATATATACACACACCTGTGTTTGGCTGCTGAGATTCTCGTGCCAGATCCATGCCCCGTGAAACCAGAGGTCAAACGGGATATATATATATATATCATACATATCTTACTATACATGAAGAGAAAGACCTACTTTCTTTAGTCCATGGCTCCCCCAGAGCCTTCTTCCAGGCCTCCCAAGAAGTTCGAATCCGCCAGGTGACAATCGAGCGAAGTATTGTGGGGACCAGAGAATCGTCAAGCGCTTGGAACACTTTAAGAAGGCTGCAATTCCCAAAATGCCCGCTTCCTACGGTCGGATTTTGATGATAAATGCCCCATGTTTTTTTTGTTTCGCACATTCAAGTGCAGCTAAGAATAGCTCTTGTGTTTATGGTAGATATATAGATTCTGAAAATAGGGCATACCGGGCATACCCTCCAGTTGGCTCATTATTGCTCATTTTCAAAGGGAAATTGATGATTAGCCATCAAAATCATCAAATGTTGGGGTGTCCTATTCTTAGATAACCCCATATCGAACTAGCTGCCGGACGTTTAAACAACACACAGCCAGCACTTTTCAGCGCCTCCGGGCCGGGCTTGAAAAAGATGCGGTGAAGCTGGTGGGAAAAAGGGGTCAAACAAAAAGGGCTGATATGGGTACAATGTGGGCCCCCCCAGTTATAAGTTGGTTTATAAGCCCCAGTAACTATAGTTCTAAGTACCATAAACCATAGTTATTGGAGTTATAAACCAACTTAGCTATCTTGGGGGCCTCACATTGTAGGCTTTCACCCATACCTGCTTTATGACAGGAATCTTGATCAAAAGCTGGAGCAATATATACATATATATATATACACATGATATCCTCTAACATAGCTATGGAAAACCACACTTTCTCGCTCGGTATATAAATCATCTGTCAATGGGCAGTTTTCCATGCCTGTCTTGTCCCGGAGTGTAAAATTACTTCAAAGCATATATTTCTCAGCATAAGGCTGCTTCCAAGTTGAGTTATATACTTGACTGTCATCAACATGGAGCGAAATCGATGGAACACCAATCTTCCTAATAATATTTACCTTATTCAACCCTGGTTTACCTGAACAAGAGTCCCAAAAGTTGTTTTTTTGGTGCCTGATTTGTTGAGCTACGGTCTAGCCGCCCAACAAAGGCAAATTCAGGCTCCTTCAAACGTTCGTCGTGCTGGGCAATACACAATTTGTCCATAAAGACCATGACGGGACGGCGCAGGATGCAGCGCCGGAGCCGTTGCCAAAAACCTGTGGCTGTTTTTAGGAAACAGGTACTTTATTGAAAATGGGGGATCTACAAAATGAGCAGTGATTCTTTGGGTGATAGATTTTTTGGATGGTATCAACAAAATGAGCAGTGATATCAAAATATGGGGATGGACTATTGGTGGAATGATTTAAGGGACAATCTACCGGAGGTATCGTCGTCTTTAGTCCCAAATAAACTGGTTTCCTGAGCAATTTCCCTTCAGCCAATTCTGGGAACACCACTGCGTCGTGGTTTTTAAGCTTCAAAAAATCCAAAGTATGAAAGTCACCCCAGACTGAAAGTAAGACATGATTACTAGAAGCCACAAACTCACATGAATAACTTGTCTTGCTTGCAGGGGGTACCCAAGGCTCAAGGCCACCTGGCGTGTCTACTCACCAAATCATGAAGTACATACCCGTATTTACATATACCCACACATGTTTCTACATATCAAATGTATGTATATATATATACACTGTATTTAAAAAAATGTGTATGTAACTGCGTATATATAATTATAATTACTATATTGTACAAATATGTGCATGTGGCCTGTGTAAATACATACACACAACTATGATTTCTGATTTCATCTAATTTCCAAATATCATAAATAAATGTATATATATATATACACAAACATACGGAGTCATAGAAGGAATAGTCTTTCGGTTGAGGTGGCAGAAGGACTTGCCAATTTCTACATGTATGTGACACTGTATGCGTCTGTGTCTCTGTAGGTGTGTATGTTTTCTATGTGGACAGCAATGCAATGTACGTCTTTTTGCAGACATGATGTTGTCATATATTGTGATGCTATACTATACCATACCATACGATACGAAACGACAATATAATGTGCTATCCAATCCGATACTATACTATACTAAACTATACTATACTATACTATACTATACACTATATTATACTATACTATACTATACTAGATACTACACTATATACTATACTATATACTATACTATATACTATACTATATACTATACTATACTATACACTATACTATACTAAACTATACTAGATACTACACTATATACTATACTATATACTATACTATATACTATACTATATACTATACTATATACTATACTAGATACTATACTATACTATATACTATACTATACACTATACTATACTATACTATATAATATATACTATATACTATACTATATACTATATACTATATACTAGATACTATATACTATACTATATACTATACTATATACTTACTATATACTATATACTATATAATATATACTGTATATACTATATACTATACTATATACTCGATACTATACTATATACTATACTGTACTCTACTATGCTATGCTATGCTATGCTATACTATACTATACTATACTATACTATACTACCATGCTATGCTATGCTTTGCTATGCTATGCTATGCTATACTATAGATACCATACTATAATGCTGCTATTATATTTCATGCCATAGTATTTTATGAGATTAGATTGTATCACATTAGGTTATATGATATCACGCCAAATCATAATATAACATACATTACATACATATGAATATTTTTTCTGTGTGTCTAAGATATACAAACAAACGCGTGTGTCCAGAGTCATGCCGAGCTGCAAAATATGATGAAGAATGCCAGATCCTTAGAGTAATGGGGTTTCTATGGTTTCCTAGCCATGTTGATGACTGTGGGGGGATGGGAGAACAGAACAGAAAAATAATAATGACAATAATAATAAAAATATGCTCAGAGGAAACCAATATAGCTACCTGGACCATTGTCATTTTGAATTCGAGCTATTTTTCACAGAGTCAGTACATTAGTTCCACTATGCAGGATATGGTTAGATGATCCCTGAATCTAGGATCCATGGTGGTCCAACTACCTCCCAAATCCTCTGGGAATTGTTTTCTTAGGCTCAATAGGGGATGAAGATGGCTTATCTTTGAGCCAGACCATATACTGGTGCGGTCACACCTAAATATTCGCAGTAGATATGGACAAGAGTAAGATGATCAGTTAAAACTAGCATTTATTATTGTAAAATTGCTATTATTACACTTGTTTTAGTTATTATCAGATTAATGATATTGTAAACATAAAAAATCAATGCCAAGGTGGGATTTTTTCTGGCAGTACCAACAAAGGAGCTCGAGCCAACAAAGCTGCACCCCGTGGAGGTAGGGGTTGTCTGTTGGCTGAATGCCTTGAATTTGGAGCTGTACCCATGCCAGGCCCATATTTATACGCCTGGCCGCTTTCATGAATCTATAAAATACCCCTTCAAGAGGGGGGGAATCTGTTATTGGACTAGGACATAGTCCATATCATGAAAGCGGGTAAAAGTTCTACCATCATACAAAACTACTTTTTACAGAGGTTTACAATACTTTCATGTTTAAACATAAATCCTCTTGTTGTCGATGCTGTTTCAAGGTATGCCCAGTGAGCAGGTCATTCGAGTCATTTGGGTACGGTTCCCTTACTTAACAACACCATTTACAGTGAGGTCGCACTCACTGAGGTCCGGCAAAAAAATGGGAACAAATTCTAATTCCTGAGTTCATGTTCAACCCCAAAGCTAAGATTGACATCTTTAAAAAGTAACTAAACGGCTCACCAAAGCGAATGAGAATGAATTTTCCCACACATGGATCCAGATAATCAACTTTATATCCCATCAAATGCAGGGTTGAACAACCATTTGTGTTAGATGAAACCCACCATTTTGGTTGCTCCCTGTGAGCCTTCACCGACCCGACGTCGTCGTTTTTCCTGTACCAAGCATCTGCAAAGAGTGTTAGTTGGATCCCACCCCGCAAGCCAAGCACACTATAGACAACTCCCACGCTGACGCTCACCTGGGTGCGGAGGATTCGGCTGAGGATTCAAAAAAAACATGAAAATTCAGGGAAAATAGGTGATATCAGTCTGCCAGGCATGGAGGTGGGAAACTAGGAAACATGGATAAATCAACCTACAAGGTCAAAGTTGACGGAAATGCAATTTTAATGGGCATGGGACCGACAAACATGTGGTCTACAAAACCAAATAAGGTAATAGAACCAATATAGTGACTGGGATGACAGTTTAGCAACTTCACAATCCATGTCCGCACTGTCAACCCACTGAAATTTGACGGAAAAACATACACTACATATTATCATCATCATCATCATCATCATGAGTAACAATAATCATCAACATTGCCATTTGCATCATCATGTTTTTGAATGTAGAACCAATGATAATCAACATCGCCATTTTCATCAGTATCAAAAAACAACATTATCATAAAACATGTTTAAGTCATCACCATGAAACATCGCCACCGTCGTCATCATCGATAATGACAATAATAAATGTTTTTATCATACTGATTGTTCTCCTCATCATTATGAAGCATCACCAAAAACATCATGAATCATCACCACCCTCACTTTTGCCATCATCATTACCATAATAATATATTCATCATGATCATCATGAATTACTATGATTAAACACAATTAATCAACATCATCAACATCATCAACATCATTTGCATCATGCATCATGCATCATCCTCCTCATCATCATCATCATCAAATCATGCAACACCACCATGATCATAATCATCAACAACATCATCATCACCATCATCATCATAATCATACTGAGCGTCACGAATCATCACCCCCGTCGCCATCATCTTAACACTTATCAGTTGTTCATGTTTGAGGAAAACTTGTGATCTCTCATGTGCGAGTAAGCATGCCAATGTTGTTTAATGACTCCCCGGAACAAAATTTGACTGCAACCGAAAGCACTGTATTGTAACAAAACTTTTACATGTGTCTGGATATGTATGCGCTCGGTCAAGAATCCCGGACCGTGGGTCATGAGGGAATTGTGGCAAGTTCAATGCTTAATCACCCAAGTTTTTGGGTACCCAACTTTGACCGTCCAGATGAGCTGCCAACCTCTGGCTTGGCGCTTTTTGGCTGGTGGGGGTTCACCAGAATTCACCCATATTTCCCATTAACCGGTGCTGAAATCCTCTCTGCGCTGCTTAATTCATGTTAAAAATCCCACCCTTTGCTGATGAAATCCGTTAAAAGTGACCCTCAAAGCCAATTTTGGCTGCAAAACTACCCACTTTCAACATCTACCATATATAAATACGTCTGATCCTATACTTTTCGTATGGCATAGGCCACAAATCAACGTCACCATGGCACCACGAATGTGGCAATGGCTGCCGGTCGAGAGTTGAAGAGCACCAATAAAGCGAGGTATTTCAACCAGCCTTGAGCAGTTTGGTGAATTTTACCAAACTTTATCATGGAATTTGAGGGTTAAATCATGTTAAATCCCATGAAACGGTTGGGTAAACCAGCCTGGAGAAACTATGGAGGTTTGACCAACTAGTTCAAGGGGATCTAACTTACCTATATAACCATCAAACATAGCGATTAAACCACTGAAGAATAGAATTTGGTCATAAACCAATCATGATGTGGCCACACTATAGTGGGGATACCGCCAGAAACCATGGTGGATGTAGCAAATAGGGCTCATCAAACTGCGTGCGCTTGTAAAACTAATCCGTAAATCTGCTAATGCGAAAAAAGGGTTCAATCCGAATAATCCGTAAACCGTTCTAATCCGTAATCTGCTCACAGCCCCTGAAACCTTACCCTGTGAACCTGGTCGTTTGCGCTTCTTTTTTGCGTAGCACACGGGTTCCCATAACCCCCGAAGAGGTAAATGTGTGGAATTTCCAGCTTTTGGGGGTTGTGGTTTGGCGAGCTATGAGGCAGGCTGTAGAAGTCTGTTTTCTGCTTTACCCAAGGCCAGACGTGGCAGCACGGTCAGCAAAAGGAAGTGCATCATCTGAGAGGAAGCAGCTGTTCGTCTGAAGCACCTGCAGGTGCCTCCTGTCCAGCCCTTGTAATTTCCACTTGGGACCTTGTAACCTACATCCTAAAAAAATAACATAATGATATAAAATGCCGAGAAGTCAGGCACACGGGCTCCCACAGCCCCCGAATAGCCAAATCTCGGAAATTTGCAACTTTTTGGGGTTGTGGTTGGCAATGGTTGGCAGCTGTGGTTAGGGGGCACACTGGGTTCCTCATTCACCTGCTTCTAGATGTATTTATCTCATTTGCGTCAAGAAGACCGGTAGACAGGTTCCCACAAGCCCCGAAGAGCTAAATCTCGGAAATTCGCAACTTTTGGGGTTGTGGTTGGCAAAGGGTAGAAGGTTCCCACAACCCCCGAAGAGCTAAATCTCGGGAATTTGCAACCAGATACACTCAGTTGTTCTTTGACCCAGGCCGCAAAGGTGGCTACGTTGTTGCAACCCAGACTTGCAAGGCATCGCACTCAAGAAAGAGAGGGAAAACCAAAACACGGAGAACCAAACACCACACTCAGAAACGAAACCCAAGGAAAACTTCCTCAGCGCATTATGCCGGTCATCATCCTTTACAGGGGTTGTGGCTTTCAATCCGTAATCCGTCCAAACCACATAATCCGAAAATTTGGTAATCCGTAATCTGGCTAAGGATTAAGGATTACGTTTGCTGAGGCCAGGGCAAATACAATGATAAAGACACATTTGGGACCATTTATGGGATGCTTTTATACTGTATAAAGGGGGGGATTCGACATCAACGGTGAAATTCTGGGGATACCGCACCATAGGGCTGGGATGGAATAGGAGGCTTCCAGCATTTTGAGACAAGCATGGACTTTCCCCACATCTATTAAAGTATCATGAATATGGAGATGAGTCATGATACCTACAAAAGATGCTTCATTTTGGGGATGACCGTCCATCTGCCAGCTATTTGAGTGTTCATCCTACCGGGCCGTCTGATCTATATGTCAGTAGATACCTCTTGTTCCAAGTAGTTGTGGCACCATGACTTGTTTTTACAATAATGCTGCTGTTCTTGTCTGATTTGAGCAAAGGAAACATCCAAGAACCGCTCTCGTCTCCAGATGTACCCAGTCAATAAACGATACATCCTTGGGATGAAAAATCGATGCCCACCGTGTTCTTATCAACCATACAAAACAGAACATCCATGGTCGTGTCATCCGAATGGGTGAATAGTGACATCCCAACATGCTGTGGAACTTCTACGGGTCAGCAGCAACTTCCCCCAGAACAGAAAGAACGTGACCATTCTGGGCGTTTTATCTTTGGATTTCAATGGTATATCCCCTGGCTTAAATTGTGGATCAAAGATCATGGACATAGTTTGAATCTTAATCTTAACCATTCGAAATTGCACCAATAGGTTGACAAATATTCCCAAACTTTGGTGACCATAGCTTGACCAATGTCTTATGGCTCTCCGATATCTTGTGCAAAGTGCTGCATTGGTGTCGTCAGCTAGGATCTTCACCATACTGAGACCCGCCAACAGTTGTGGTTGTATACAGTGTATGTGTATAAATAAATAAATATATATATATATACACCATAAATATGTATATTTAATGCGTACTGAAGTAATATATGTATACCATGTTGGTGGGTTAAAGCCGTATTTTGTTTTCAAGCCGCGAAAGCAAAATCTGCCCATTTTTTATCCCTGGATCAGCCAAGTCGACGTGAAGTTTGCCAATCGTGGCTCAAGAAATGGTCCAGCTGGTCCACGGGCCTCAGCTCGATGACAATCAGTGGCTGTTATGTCACGAATGTTTGTTCACGAATAGTAAACCTCCCTCTCTATGTAGATATGTATAATATGTATATATGATATTATATGATTATGAAACTCCTATGTTTTTAGACATCTCAATGTGTAGTTGACATAGAACGTTGTTTATGCGATTGTATGCTAAAAGTCTGAAAGATGGTGAGTCTTTGCCATCTATGACCCAGACTTGAACACTGAGGATAGAAAAAACATGTCCTAAGCCCTAGCAGTTACAGTAAAAGTCAACCACCATTATGCTATGTAAATCCACACACAAAACAATTGGCAAACGGGGGATGTTTGCGAAAGATAGGCCCATGAGTTTAGGGTTTCTGTTGGTAACTGGCCGAATGCTTGTAACTCGCAGGGATGGGATGAGTTTTTCAGCGCAGCGGCGTACTCAGCTTGTACAAGCTAGGGTTCACGTTCAACATCCCATTATCCTTGGCTCATGGCAGCTGAGGAATAGCCTGTTTTTGAGGTGATCGACTTTGACACCAAGAATGTTCTGAAGCCGCTGAACCATGGAGAGAGAATTTGAGGCTTGCAAATTGGGGTGCAGTGAAACCGGGATTTGGTTTAGGGATTTGGGTGTGGAACGAAACCGCCTGGGAAACATATTCCCTTGGGCCAACGGACCAAGGTCGTCAAACTGCAGAAACTGGTTCCTGGGAAAACCTCAAGGAGATCCTGCTCTTCTCAGCCAATTTTCTGAGATGTCCTTGAAATCGAGTCAGGTGATGGTGTCAATCCTCCTGAAAAGTCTTACCGTTTATTGCTGTTTATGTTCGGACAACCCCTGCACCCAGCCGTCTTTGCGCTACGCTTCTTCGGTCTTTGGCTGAAAAGTATTCATCGATTGGGATCATCAGGGAATGGAAAACAAGACATCTTCGAAACCACCAAATTGGTCGAAATGAATGATGCTACGATGTGTTCTGAAATCCCCCACTTTTTCTGGATCAATGTCAACCCTAGGTTAAAACATGTTAAACCATGTTAAAACCCAATGATTAATTGGTGGATGCTCCAACAAAAATAGTGATCGATTCCAACAACCTATTTATACCTATTTAATACCCAAGAAAAAAACTCTGAACTGGAGGGCTTTCACAAAAAATCCTGGGTCAAGACAATCATTTTCAATACCGACAATGGTAGTTTACCATCATTCCACCAGCCTTTCGGATTTTCTGAGACCAGCCGGCGATCCAAGGCTCAGGAATTTCCCAATAAGAGCCACACTTTCCCAGCGACACGTGCAGTGGAACGCCCCGAAGCAGTTCAGGCTCCAACTCGTAGAGGAGCTCCTGATGTCGGCCTGTGCCTCACCAAATTGATGACCTAAAGTGATCTAAAGTGGGGGTACCAAATCATCCAGTTGTCATGGATGGACCATTTGAGTTTTAGTGAAACCCATGGTGACTTGGGGATCCCTCATTTTAAGAAACCAACAAATACCAACAATGTCTTCAAGATTCTTCCAGAATAGTGACTAAAGCAGCGTCGTTGGTCAAGCAAGAACGTCAAAAGTGCTTGAGCCAGCATTTTTATAAACCATCTTTATCTAAGGCGTGGTAATGTGGTTAAAACAACGCCATAAACCACCCAATTTGAAATGGTTGATACCACCTATTTATGGTGATGACTGGGGGATGGTGCAAATGGCATTGTTTTACCCACATTAATCAGCTATCTTTCTGCTTCAAACGAACATTTTTGTTGTGGTAAAACCACTCCCACCAGTGCCTTCCGCTGTTTCTCTCAGCCTGTCCTTGGGAGGCTCTTCCTGATGGGAACTGCTTCCTTCTGAGACTCCTGGCATCAACTGGGTGTCAAATTCACTGCACAAACACCATCAAAATCATCAGTTAACATAAGTTTAAATTAACTATTTCGGTGGTTCACAAAATCATCGAAATTTACTTTGGTGATTTTGGTGGTTCACGCATATTCACGCCAGAAAAAGTACCCTCGCATAATAAAACATGGTCATGGACAATTCCCTATTTATGATGTTAGATGATGTTCCCTTTAAAACCTCCATTTCTAGTGGCTTTTCCATTGCCAAGTGCAAGGGGTAAATAACCCCATGTATAATTGGACTAAACTGACAACTGACTAAACCTTACTTGCCCTACTTGTAATATCCTAGAACTCTGCAGAAATAACTCACTTAGGATTCCTGTGGTGAACGACACCGAGTACGGAATCATTTGGTCTCGAATGGGCCAACATATCTCAGTGGCTCCCTGGATATTGTTGGATGATGAATTGCCTCCCTTATTTCACCGTTACGTCTCCTTTTGTGCATGGTGTTTTTTGCCAACCATAGTCATCATAGTCAATCCAGCTCCCATGATGGACTTCGGCGTCAGTCGGAAGTTGGTCTGTAAACTCATGGAATACTATGGAATACTATGGATATATCTACAGTGAAACCTAGTTGACCTACTCAAAGCAACTTAGCCATTCAGAACTGAAAAAAACACTTCAGGCAATCCTCGCAGTGTGAGTTTCAATTTCAATGCTATGATTTTGAGTCCATCTTTTGGGGTAAGTGTGTAGCATACAGCACCATGTTCTACCCACGAGCTCCATATGTGGCCAACCACGTCGGAAATCGCTTCCTAGGTGCTGGCCAGGCGTATGCTGGACCATCTGTCGTTGGTTATCCCATTGGCAATGGCTTTGCAAAGGATTTCAAAAAAATGCACTTGGAAAATCAAAACTGTAAATCCAGAGGTTTCCTAGGAAATGATCTATGGTGGATTGAACCCGTAGCTATGTGAATTTACTGGAAAGAATACATATTTGGAATGATTCCCTAAACCCTACCATCATGTTATGCTTGTCCCTTTTCGCAAGGTATATTAAACCACTAAAATTCTGTATTTCTGATTGATGAATCCAATTCTTTGCATGGCTTGAATCCTTATGGTCGATGGCCACATCCCCAGCTTTGATGGGTGGGATCAGCAGCTAGTGATTTTGTTTCAATCACCAGTCACTAACTCACTAACTCACCCAGTTACCCACCGGTTAACTAACCATAACTAACCCCATGAGCCCATCTAAGCATGAAAATCAATCCGACCAGTTTCATGATTGCCACGAAGCTCGGAACCCCATCATCGGACATCGGTGAAGGTTCTCGACATGGGGCAGACATCTGCCGCGACGTTGCCGCGCCGCCAGGCCGGCCAACAAATGGGGGGAAGTTAACTCAGCTGAACCAAGGCTGGAGCCTACAAAGTTGAAACTTCCAAGTCTTCAAGTGTTTAATGGCTGAAGATGGCTACAGTTGGGCATCAAACATGCGAAAACATCCCATGGAACTTAGGATTTCGAGGGCTCGACTGTGGAAAAATGATATAGAATGATTTTGAGCCCGGAAGGTTGACATGGCTTGGATTCAAGATCTGCATTGTGTAATGTCCTACTATGACGCTATGACGATATGCTTGGATTCTGGTCCTTTCTCAGCTGCGGATTTTCGAGTCAGCTGCACCTTGCTCTTTCAAAGGCTTTTGATGATGTGCCAAAAGATTCCAAGATATGCTAACAGCTTTGTGAAAACACCGCAGGGGTTGTTGAATGTTCTTAAAATGGGGTTTGTCCACAAATGGATGAACATTCTGTATACCCCAAAATGGCAATTTTAATCAATACTGTTATGATAAATTTGTAAACCAATGGATTTTTTGGGACAAACATGGGGTCCCCTATATATTCTATGTTCAGGCCAACCCAACATGTTTTTTGGGGTATCAGTAGACTAAGTTTACTCCAGAGAAAACGCACATTGCCCATCTTTCCCCTGCAAGCTAGTCCCCAGTTCCAAGTTGCTCAAAGCCAGCATTTACAAAATTTACAACCCTTAACCATACTTTGATATTTATCCATCAGAAACCCAAGAGTGAAGTGATTTGCACTAAATGCTTCAACCATTTGGGGCGATCTCCGGCACCACTGTCAAAACATCGGCAGGTTTCACGGGTCCCAGTGTCAGGACAACTCGGAGGTGCATCCGGATCAATGGAGCTATACCTCAGCTGTTTCCTCGGCCCTGAGCCAAAAATGATGAAATCACCACCCGGCACTGGGATTTCACCGATTGAACCATCAATATATATATATAGCACGACAAACCTTGACATCGCATTTTTTGAAATCACCACAATAAAGCTGACCAAATCCCGAGAAAATAGTAAAACCGCCAATAATAAAGTATTATTCCGTCTTTGGGCTTCTTTTGTCTTTTGTTCATTTAAACCTTTCCCTTTGTGGGTCGAAAATTCAAAAATACCTTCTTTGTATTAGTTTTCAATTAGGCAATTTGTTCGGAAAAACTTGTGTCCAGTCTCCTTCAGAGTAATGTGTGGCCTCACTTAATTTGTGGCCCTTTAATGATTGGGGGCGGGTTATTCATGCTATGTGGACACTATGCAAGTGGTAAAACCACAAACACTTCCAGAAATCATGGTGGATGTAGGAGATAAACAAATGATAAAACCACATATACTTGGAACCATTGATGTGGTATTTAAATGTATTTATCGGGAATGGGGAGGCCAAGGGTTCACTTAGCAGACTTAGCACACGTCAAATTCCGTCACTTGGTACACTCGCCAATTCAATTCATGCAAAAAAATCCGTCACAATCCGTGCACGTGGACATTTCACAGAAGCACGTTCCCATCGTCAAGTAGGTATCTGATCAGTCCCGTTCTCTGCAACTGACTCACTAAGCGACCGCATAAGCAATGGATTTAATCATATTTAATCAATGGTTTCAAAGAGGGCCTCAAAATGAAGCCACAAAACCAATCAGAGATCGACCAGAGATAGGGCTTGGAAACATCTTGTGTTTCATATATTTCCATAGTTTTTCAGGGACCACTAATATTTGTGGCCCACTGATTTCCATATTTTGGGGCTTCGACTGCCCTGAAAGCCTCGGAAGATCCACGGCCAATATTGAGACTGACGACTTGACCAAATTTGCGAAAAGGTCATCTAAAAACACCACTTGTAGGCAACAACTGTAGGCTAGATGTGAACATGATATTTGCAAATTGTCCAGCACATCAACACTACCTAGTAATCCTAGTAGAGTCATTGTCCCCAATCGTCAGTGGCTAAAAAAATAATGTACAGTACCGGTTCCCTGGAACCCAAACACTTGCTACCCACTAGTAACATGCTCTGGGCCCAGCAAGCTTTTGATCGTGGAAACCAACTATAACCAAATTTACATAACTTTTCGATTACATCTCACTACTGGAAATTCTTCAAGGGGCCCAGCAGTTCATTTGTTGCTGGTGTATTCCCACTTCTACTGGCGATATATCCTATTCCTGTACCCCGCTTGCCATGACTTGTTTGTTTTCCTATATTTTCATAAATATAATGTATTCATATGTATTCTATATTCACATATTTTTCCGTGTTTGTTGGTCCCAGTTGTTGTTTTTTGCTTTCTTTGCTACAACAGGGTTCATAGTAACTTAAATATAATAATGGATTAACCCCAGTCATGTCTTCCAACCCCGCCATTTTCTGCTCTGAGGGACTCACACCAACCAAATTTGATCTCGGAGAAGCAACTCATGCCCCATGCCGACCATGCTTGCAGGGCCAACAGCCAACCTCGCAACTGTTGGACTCCCAAAGGGGTCAAAGGGATCAAAATGGTGAACCTGTGGAGATTTGAATCATCTTCTGACTTGGCGGTTCAACCGTTCAACCCATGCAAAAACATGAGTTGATCAGGGATCATCATCACCAGTATGCCCGACCATGTAAAGGCAAAGAAACCACCAACGAGTTTTGAAAAGCACTGGACCGGAAGATGAACATGGCACTGGTTATAGATGCTTCTTAGTTTCCATGTTCAAAGTTCTGAGCATAGGTCGTACATCCAAAACAATTGTGCTGGGTTGAACAACTCTTCAGAGATCATTGCAGATGCAATTTAGGAACCAAAAGTTAGGAAAACCGTGGGAATCATTCTAGTCATTTACATGCAACCATGACAACTAATTACTTCCCCTGCCTGCAATTGATTTGAGCTACAACAAGGGTTCCCAATCAGTTGCCATCCAAGCAACCAAACATCTGAGGAATCTATACAAATCTATACCATATGCATTTATAATCCATGATAATCATTGATAACATATATAGATAATCATAGATAATTTATATTTTACATTTGTATAATCTACCAACACCACGTTCCATTGCGACAAATTACCGTCAGACGGTTTCAACTCCCGACCGATTCGTATCCAAGGCCGAGGCCGATTGTTTCAACCGACTGTTATCCCGCCTCAAGGAGAAAAACAATCATCATCAAAGTCCGGATAGGAAAGGCAAAATTTACCCGCATTTCCTCATTCTCCTGATCCTCGTCATCTAGATTAGTAGGGAACAACAAATGGAATGTTTGGAGGCCCAAATTCATCATCTCATGATATCTCATGTACAGAGAGAAAGAACATGAACGAACAAAATAAGTGGAAGTTCGAAATTGTATAGACCAATTTTGATTGGTTGCATGAGAAACATGACCACAGTCTGTGGTTTTCAAATTCTCTGCTTCTGCCGCTTGGCTCCTGCAATCTTGCAGGTAAAACCTGTTTGTTTGTTGTTTAAAACATGTAACAACAATATTTCAATGGTTAAGACCTATATATATATATGATTATATATGTGTTTTTCATGATTCAACAAAACACCAATTGTTTATGGGTAAACCTGGTAACCTTAATCTGTTCATGGTTAAACCCCAATTCTTGCGCAAGGATCACCCACAAAAACTGAGCTTTTTCGCTTTTCGCCGGGCCACTCAGCAGGGCATCGCAAGGCTTCATGGTGCACAGCCATGGCTTGCTGTTTGGCTAAGAAAGGGATTCTCAGGTGGATTATCATATAATTTGTTAATATAATCATGAAGAATATAATCTGATATATCGTTACATATCTTTATATCTTTATAGCTAGGATACTTTGACATCTGACAACTGTCATCAATCAGTGTTGGATTGCTATATTATTTGGGAAACCCAAAGAGACACCATTCAAAGTATGACCAGACATGGATTCGGATAGTATAAACCATCCAAAAATTGGAGTTGTATCTTTGGGTTTACCACATTCTTATGATAATCCTCAATATACAAAGGGTAGGTTGAGAACCCCAAACTGATCATCAACCGGGGCGCAGCCACTGCTATCGGCGTTACTTGGCCATATTTTGAAGGGTCAAATAAACCTGGCATCTGCCAAATGAAGGCTAGGTGGATGATCAAACACAGAACATATCAGAAGCTGAGCTAGCGAGAATATCACATGTGTCACCATGCTATATATATATATACATACTATAGATATAATGATGAATATATGCCAGAAATGTATATATATATACATGCAAATATATATATATATATATGCATATACATATATATATATGCATATTATATATTATATAACCATGTCGATGGGCCTTGCCTATACTGGTTCTGATGCCAAATCAGCAAATCCTGCTACTAAATCACGTGTCCCCATGTCTGGCCAAGCTGATGCGAACAAGAATGCTTGAAAACCCCTAACAGCAAGAGTCAGATTTAAGTAAAATAGGATTCAACATGATGGCACCGCCATTTCAATGGATAAACAATGGTGGCGTATAATGATTATAATGGGACTTAAGCAACAAATGGTGATACATTCTGGATAATTTAACAGTTTCCAGTTTCCAGTTTCCAACTAGATTTTTTAGAGGTAAATCATCTGTGAATGGCCATTTTCCATAGCTATATTGCCAAATATCAAAGCTGCCTGGTTTTTCGGGTCTTGCAGCTTCCCAAAAAATGGAACTCCGATGTTTCAGTCGTTTTTTCTTGTCGACCTCGGTGATTTTCCTTGGTTAGATCCTCAATGTTGGATCACTGATGTGATACCTAAATCTACCATGGGTGCGTCATTCCCCAATGTTTTTTCCAGTAAAACCTGCACATGTGTTGCTGCTGGTTGAACTGTCACCCTATTTTTTGTTATCTTTATAACTTTAAACTTTAAACATATTCATTAATACAGCTTATAACTCAATAACATCATTCAACTCACAATTTCGCCGGTAAAATCCCGATTTTTTGGCCCCAGTGATTTCTGCACTCGTCAGCTGCGGCCGTATCAGCCCAAGCGCAAACACGACTCTTTGGCCACGGCAAAAGGACGGGGAAAACATCATCAAAGTTAGTCTTATCTCAGCTTAGCGGGAGACTTTTGGCATATTATTTCGGGATGACTATATATTGAATTGTCATATGCTTGGATGTTTGGATAACTTTGCGTGTATCTCATTCTGCTAGGAGTTTGTCTTTTATGGATTATCTGCGATTCTCATTGAATATGTTTTGGATATTCATGGATAAACACGTGCCTAATCCAACTGGATTTTTAACCAAGAACCACCATGAAATCAATATGAGTAGATTAACGCTAGCAAGCAATGTCTTGAGTCCGTGAAATCTGAGATATCCAGCAAGATATCCTGGATATCCTGCATTCTCCAGCCCAAAAAAACAACACGCAAGATTGGCAATTAAGCATGAAACTAGCCCAGTGTCGGATCCCAAACCTCTTTGGGATCCCAAAAAAATCGGCCGCCGGAGTTAAGAGGAGTCACTTGAGCTCGAGCTGGACATTGACTCAGGCCCGAGATCTGCTCCTGTGGCAAGATCATGACAAACCATGGCGGACCATGGGAAAACAATGAGAAATGTAAAGAACATGTTGGTTATGAAAAATCACCATTAAACACAGGTAAGTCCAGAATTTGGCAATAGTCATGCATTTTCCATAGCTATGTTACATTCTCCATAGCTATGCTAAATTAACAAAGGGATCCGAAGTAATTATATAAAATGGGCATGTTAATTGGAAAAAACAATTTCCAAATTGGGGATATCCAGCAAACAACTGAACATAACTTAGGTATTTTTTTCAGTTGGTTTGTCTAACTTGCACATGTGGAGAAAACAAACAAAAAACGCACTCACTTCTCAAACCCCTGTTAATCCACTCACCCTCCGAAAGGTTCCGTGTATGGTGTATTAATATACTATTAATATTGCCCTTCCACAAAACAGCAACATGATCCAACATCTAAATGTGCCATACTACAGTAGGAGCATGAGCCTGGTAACCTTGATTGGAAGGCATTGTGTGGAGCAAGCATAGGAGGCTTTGATTCATGAAATTGCTAAGCCCTTTCTACATCATTTGCTGGCATTTGTCCTTCAAGTTCAGGGCTTATGGGGCCCAGAATGGTGAGAGTCGAACTTGTAGACCCCCCGGAAACAACTAGTGATTTTCCTCGTAGACAAACAAATTTTGGAGGCTGCGTCATGTCCTCAATGTCCTCAAGTTCTGGGATATAATAGCCCTGTTTTTTCGTTGCCTAAATCCTTTTTTGCTGGTGACATTTCATTTCTTCTAGTTGACACAACGAATCTACAGCCATCTTCAGATTCCTGAGATGCGTCTGAACTATTGATCTCTGTCCTGACAGATTCTGAATCAGCTTGGCCACTCGTTCAGCTGCAGTGAGGCTCTTGATCTCATGAAAAGTCTTGTCCTTCGCCTCTTTCTGTCCTCAATTGGTTCACCAGAAATGACAATACGATATATATATATATATATATATGTCTGTGTTAACAATGATGACCTTTCCCAAAAACTTCTAGAATCTTGTAGATAAGGCCAATTTCATCCAAACCATTTCCTATCCAAACCAATGGTTCTTATATTTTGTATGGCCCATTGTGGGTATCCATGTCTGGGAACCTGACACTTTCACAGGCCTAGAGGTGGGAAAAAAAATCCTAAGCCCAAATGACAATTTTGGTGGTTTTAAAGCGATACAAAACTGCAAATCTCTATGATTCTATGATGTATGTGTATAGATAATAACTTATAGAATCAATTTTATAACTATATAATGCGTATACATATATATATATATAATTAAATATATGTATATGTATATATATATATGTATACATATGCATACTATAGTTTGCTATATTCTACGATAATCGAAGGAAGTTGAGAAGTCAAATTCCGACAATATGGACAGATGAAAAGCAGAGGTGGGAAGAGTCAGAGAAGAGAAGAGAAGAAGAAAGAAGATCACAAAAAGAGAAAGTCTCAGAAGAAAGAAGATCCAGGTGTGCGAAAAGGTAGGAAAGTCGCGAAACACTATGTTTTTCCAATGATTTGTGGCTCCGGAGGGTCGAAAAGTAGGCTTGCTAAAGCGGCGGGTGCGGAGCCCGCTGGCCAGATGAGAGATGAAAAATTGCACGCCGTTGTGGCGCGAAGCACACTTGCAAGTGAAAAAGCTAAAAGCACCTCACGTTCGGACCACTTTTGGCGAACAAGTGCACGCCTTTGTGGCGCGAAGCACATTTCCAAGTCAAAATGTGAAAAAAAAACCAGGGGGTTGGTCGACGTTGCGATGTCGGAAAAGTGCACGGCGCTGTGGCGCGAAGCACATTTCGAAGTCAAAATGTACAAAGCACACCATGCTCAATGCTCGGACCACTTTTGGAAGTTGAGATGTCGAAAAAGTGCACGCCGTTGTGGCGCGAAGCACAATTCGAAGCCAAAATGTTAAAAGCACCACACGTTCGGAGCACTTTTGGAAGTTGAGCTGTCTAAAAAGTGCACGCCGTTGTGGCGCGAAGCACATTTCGAAGTCAACATGTTAAAAACACCAGGGGTTTGGACCACTTTTGGAGGTTCAGATGTCGTTTCGCCTGGCAGGCGCACGGGATGGTGCACCTTGTCAAAAGTGAGCAAAACGTGAGCGTTTTGTAGCAGTTTCAACTACAAACACCACTACACCACATTGCACTCCAACACACTGCACTACAACTACAACTACACCTTCGCTACATTCCACTACACTACACTACACTGCACTCCACCACACTCCACTACACAACACTACACTACACTCAATTACACTCAGTTACACTACACTACAAAACACTACACTACACTACACTACGCTACACTACACTACACTACATTCCACTACACTACACTACACTACACTACATTACATTACATTACATTACACTACACTCCACTACACTACACTACACTACATGACACTACACTGCACTACAATACATTCCACTACACTACACTACATTCCACTACACTACACTACACTACGCTACACTAACTACAACTACAACTACAACTACAACTACAACTACTACAACTACAACTACAACTATACTACATTTACACTACGCTACACTACACTACACGAATTACATTACCCTAGACTACACTCCACTCCACTACACTACATTGAATGACACTGCACTACACCTACAACTACAACAACAACTGCAACTGCAACTGCAACTGCCACTACACTACATTACATTCTACACTACATTACGCTCCATCACACTAATTACAGCTACAACTACATAAGACTACACTACACTAATTACATGACACTACACTGCATTACACTACACTACACCCCACTCCACTACACTACACCTCACTACACTACACTCTGGAACCTTTATCAATTTCGCCAATGCCTGTTGAAGAACCTTGTCTATGCTAAAGTTTGGATTGGATGGCCTGTTACAATATTCTGATCAAATCAATTAAACTTATGGATGTATATCTATATAGTCAATCTATAGTTAATATATCTATAGTTATTTAGCTATAGATATACATCCATAAGTTTAATTGGTTTGATCAGATAGATATACATGCATATGTAGTTCTGAACAATGCTTAATATGTACCTATCCTGCAGTCAGGCTGCAATCCTGATTCAATGCTTTTCCCTAGGATTTCTGCTGAACATATTTTTTTCGGCGGAACTCAGCATCACAAAATGTGCGCCTGAGTTCTGCTGATCTGGGATTCTTTTCGGCGGAAATCCATAAATCTGGTGATGCATGACTACCCACGATTCCCTGCTGCACGTTCATTTCCCAATGTGAAATTTAACCTGTACTAGCTACAGTACTAGGCCGCAATGGCAAATGATCTAGGATCCTGATTTTGAGGACCTTGGAGTTTTAAAATCGGTCTACCTAACTGTTTTTGGTTGCACTCAACAATCGCTGCATCGGACCTGGCGACTATGCAGCAGAGCTTGCCATCAACTACACGGTTAATCGGCAACAGATTTTGTCATTTTTGGCAGTGGCGCCCATTGCGTGGGTCATGGAGCAAATGTGGCTGAATCGTTCCAACGTAGACTCCATGATGGCCGATGGAGCTGCCACTGAAAGCTGCAACTGTTTGTGGCTGGGCGCTGGAGGCTCCGGCAAGACGTACGCCTATGCCAAGGTGCTGCGGCCAATGTTCCGCCGATACTTTGGCGATGCTGGCTACATTGTGGGGGCTCCAACACATGCCGCGGTTCGTCTGCTTGGCAATCCACCCAAATAGGCAAAAACATGTTAAAGCATGCTAAAACTAGGGCAAAAAAAAAGTAATTGTAATTATAGTGCAAGTGCGATATGTTATACAAGAGATGTCCGGGCACACCCGGACCTGGAATCTAGAAGCAACACTTGACACTTGGAACAAAACCAGGCAAAGTTAATCAACAGTATCGACATACGAAGGTGAATCAACATGTGCTCGCCGACAAGGTTCCTTAAAAAACGATAAGAATCAAATTCCTTCACTAAGAAGTCAATTTGTCCAAGCATGTCCAGTCTGTAGCGTCGCCCCAGTACAAACATCCATCTGAAAATGCGCATGAGAAGAAGTTCCCTGATAAGCGCCGTTCTTTGAAATTATATTCAACCAAGGTCAAGCACAATTTGCTGCCTGAAGAGACAGCCTAATCAGGACCAAAGTATCTACTAAACATTTTACATATATGATTCACATTCATTTTGTATCAACCGAATGCAAGCCTCAAACACATGGCATTTTTTGTCGTTGAGGTCCAAGACCACCATTTCAATCCAATTCGCCATTTAAGGTCCATAGTAAAATTGTAGTAAATTTTATATTGAAATAATAAGGGGAAAACCATTGAAATTTGTGAAAACAAGTGCTGGCAAATAGTTTCTATTAATTTCAGGAAACTTACCAAGAGCATGAAGGGGTAAAAGGGAATTACCCATTAAATCAAACTTAAATTTGGATGATCTATGACCCATGATCTAGATCCTGAGACCCCAATTCGACTGCATTTTTTTGGCAGTTAGGATGTGGTTTTGCGTGGCATGCGCAAAGGATTCGGCACTTTGCCAATAGTGAGCAGAACGTGTAGGTTTTGTAACATGTGAAGAGGATCTGCAAAGATGCATGTGGCGTGGCAGGCGCAATACAAGGAGACATGTTCACCAGAGATGTTAGGAGGTCAGGGCGGAGATTTCCTGAGAGTGGTTGCATTTTGGAGCGTCAGATCTTCAGGTTTGCTAAGATAATTTTGCGTGACAGGCGCAGCACTTCGTATACCTGGCCTCACTTTGTTGTGGCAGGCGCAGTGCTTTAAACAGATGGAATGGAAAAATCGCAAGACGCATCAGTACGAGGCCGTCAGCTCTGCAGTCAACTTTCCAGTTTTGAAGGAAGTATTGCAGAACTGCTTCGTTTTTGATGTCGTCAACTCGTCAACTTGAAAAATTGAAGAAGTCTCGCGGAAATGCTGCCTTTTTTTAATGTTGCCAAGCTCAAAAATTAAGGAAGCCTTGCAGAGTTGCTGCGTTTTTGTCGCTCTCAACTTCGAAAATTGAGCAAGTCTCGCAGAATAGCTTAGTTTTCAAGCTTGCAAATAAAGAAATAGATAGATAGACAACTACAATTACAACTGCAACAACCACTATACCACTACCACTACCACTACCACTACCACTACCTAGTCACTACCACTACCACCACCACCACCACCACCACGACTACTACTACTACTACTAATACTACGACGACTACGACGACGACGACGACGACGACGACGACGACTACTACTACTACTAACTAACTAACTTACTTACTTACTTACTTACTACCTACTACTACTACTACTCCTACTCCTACTCCTACTCCTACTCCTACTCCTACTACTACTACTACTACTACTACTTATACTACTACTACTACGACCACCACCACCACCACCACCACATCTACAACGGCGATTACAACTACACTACATTACACCACACTACACTAACTACACTACAAGTACAGCTACAAATGCAACTATAATTTCACGACACACACACGCACAAAACCACACTACACTACACTAATTAAATTACACTACGCTACAACTGCAACTGCACCTACAACTGCAACTACAAATACAACTCCAGCTACACTACATTACACAACACTACACTACAATACACTAATTACACACTACAACTACAACTCCAGCTACAACTACACTACTTTACACGACGCTAGACTACACTATACTCTACCACACTGCAGCTCACAACGCTAGAGTACACCACACTACACTACATTACACACTACACTAATTACACCACACCACAACTACAACTACAACTGCAACTACACTACACTAATTACACTGCACTACAACTACAACTCCATCACATTACACTACAACAACAACTACAACTGCACTACACCACGCTACATCCAGCAGTTGTGGGTGAGGTGACCGCTGCAGCCATTGCAACCACTCCCAAAAACACAACTCCAACCACCTTTCGGTCCATCAGTGGATTCGCTCTGCCATCCATGCATCACAACAACTCACCTCTACTATAGTGTCCTATCTTTGAAACTTCCGCCGCCGCCTTGTGCGATGCTGCTGGTGTGCTATGTATGTAGTCCTTCTAGGGTACAGTACGTGGTCCCAAATGTTCCGCTAACGACAATGTCAATCTCAGTTCTGCCCACATTCTTCAAGCCTTCGGCTCTTTTTGTTCACAGAACTAATTTGGCCAAATGGGGCCACAGAAAATCTGATCATTTGTCTTCGTGTGTCAAAAAAATGCAAAATGACGCAAACTTTTTTTTACATGTTTTTTAAACTTTACGCATATTTCCTCAAATAGGGAACCGTATCCGGTATCTAACAACCAGGTTCCGGTCAAGTGTCATGCCCTTCACCTTTAGGCCCTTCTCATGACCAGTGCGCACCAGTCTGGCATTGGGTCCCCGTTTGCATTGCTTAAAGCATTTGGCCAGCACCACCTCCACAGCCAGGCCCTGCAGTGCTGCTACTGGATCAAAGTCGCCTGCGGGGGGGTGGTCATTTCATGTATGTATTCCTTCAAAGCTGGCTCCCCCTATGATCAATACGATCCCAGACCCCTATAATGTATCCGTTTGTGTGTATATATATATATATATTTGGTTACTGGTATCCCGAACAATAAACAGGCACAACAAAAAAGAGAGCGTCACCGGAAAAAAAACTGCGTATGCATGCCGGCGTATGTGTACATAGATATGTAGGTATACATATTGTATCCACCACCACCACCACCAGCAACAACAACAACAACAACAGCAACAAGCAACAAGCAACAAGCAACAAGCAACAACAACCAACCAACAACAATAGCAACAACAACAGCAACAACAACAACCAACAACCAACAACCAACAACCAACAACAAACAACAACCAACAACCAACAACACACAACACACAACCAACAACCAACAACCAACGACCAACGACCAAGGACCAACGACCAAGGACCAAGGACCAAGGACCAACGACCAACCACCAACCACCAACAACCAACAACCAACAACCAACAACCAACAACCAACAACCAACAACAAACAACAAACAACAAACAACAAGCAACAAGTAACAAGCAACAAGCAACAAACAACAAACAACAAACAACAAACAACAAACAACCAACAACAAACAACAAACAACCAACAACAACAACAACACCAACAACAGCAACAACAACAACAACTCCAACTCTCAAGCGTTCCCATCTTTCCCCCATGTGTTTCACCTTTTTTCTGCGACTTCCTGGCGCATTTGCTGCACATCTTGAGCTGCAGATGGATCTCCTCCAGGTCGACTGGGGTCTCGACGGCCTCGCCTTGCTGAGCTGCACCTGGGTGGCCAGCGACTCGTGAACGCTTTTGGCCGCCATTGGTGTGTGTGTGTGTATATATATATATACACCATAAATATAGGCATAGACATAATCATAGACATAGACATGGATATCACATATAATTATAGATAATTATATGTATACAATCATAGTTGTAAACAAGTATCTAGTTTCCAGTCATTGTGTTGATTGGGACCCCTCAGGTGGCCTACTTCGAAGATCCCCTAGCAGTGGGGCGATGGCGGTGACCACAGATGTTTTACGACAGATGTCCGAACCAAAGCCACAGAAATGGAACATATGTGAAGTATCATAATCCCAGTCTCCTAAAATTGCATACCGGCTTAATCCGGCTTCAATGGACTCCCAAAAATGAACAAATTAAAATTTCTAGGGGAGTGCTTACTGTATAGTGCTTGGAAGGGACTAGTTTTGTATTGCTAGATTAATCCATAACCATCTCAATCTCCCATTCGACAATCATCAACAGTCTGATTCCCCAAAACAGCCGGGCAGCATTCTGCCCCAGGGAGATCGTATCCAATCCTCTGCTTCTTCATGGCGGCCGATCCCAGCTAGATCTGTACAACCAAAACGGCTGCGCAAGCAGAATGCATCAAGGTATACCAAAAAGTTATACCATGTTGGGGCTTAAAAGAGCTAGGACTTACAGATCGTACAGGTCTTGTTTGTAATGATTTGTTGTGTTTATTCTTGTCTGATATGTGACCTATGTTCATCCACTTCTGAAATTGGATGAAAGAGTCAAACTAAATGTTGTCATGATAATGAACATGATGGTGATGATGTTGATGATGATAATGAGGAGGACGACAACTTGGGATTCCTCCAAGCTTTGTAGTGGAAGCGCCAAAATTCGGAGTTTCTGATTCCTGGGATTTGGAATAATTTGGATAAACCTCTAACCCACCAGCTGGGCCAATGACTCTTATTCCCAAATTAGAGTTTTACTACCTGTCAGGATTGCAGGATCCAGCAAAACATCTACAAAACAATCATGTTCATGGGATTTAAGTTGTAAATAGATGTTGTAAATAGATGTGATAATTCCCCCTTGTCAAGATATATTCCGAGCCACCATGAAAGGATGCCATTTGGTCCCTATTGAATAGCCATTGGGCAGACAAAACCCAATGGACAAAGCCGAATAATAATGCTTGGTTGTACATTCCATTAAATCCCTAATTGTTCATAACTAAAACCCTGTTAAAAAATCTATAAACACGATCTTTTCTGGGGTTTTAATGGGAGTTCTGGTTCTACATTGATAAACATCATCAACATCTTCCATTAGTATTCCCAGTAAATCCCTACTGTTGATGGATGTTCATCCCTTTGAAACTATAGGGATCCATGCATGAACATATATGGTACTTTGCAATATTTTGTAATATGGTGTATATTATGTATGACTATGATGTAGATTACTTTATATTACTATATATTACTAAATATTACTATATATTACTATATTTTACTTTATATTACTATATATTACTATATATTACTATATATTACTATATATTACTATATATTACTATATATTACTATATATTACTATATATTACTATATATTACTATATATTACTATATATTACTATATATTACTATATATATATCTATATATCTATATAGTACTATATATTACTATATATAAATATCAATCTTCCAACCCTAGCTCCTTTTTTCCTCAGGCGTTCAGCATCCGCCAGGCATCCTCTGGTGTCAAGGCCTACGCTTGGACGCTTGGACGCTTGGAGGGGCATGGTAGGTGTAGCCAAACTACTTGGATGACCTGATGAGTATGTACCAGTTACATATATATATACATATATATATTCGTTGAAATTGTAAGCATTATAGTAGCAAGTATCATTAATAATTTACTAATACTGATATTGGTCAAGATCATGAGAAGAGTAAGAAGTAGCTAGATTATCCTCCATATACAGTATAATCAGCATATATATATACATATATATATATAATGTACACATGGGATCCCCAAGTAAAATTCCACAAATCTTAAGATGGACCCGTTCGAAATTTTGCCGGGACGACTGATAGATGTTGATACCAGGATTTTCAGGTATTTAGCGGTCGCTGACTAAGAAAAACACCCAGAATTCCTGTTTGGGGTCTCAGATAGGGTGTAGTATTAATAGGGGGATGGTTTGGTATCTGCAACTTTTGCAGGGATCCATTCCTCCGGTGAAAAGGAGCAGGAGTTCCACCAGAGCAGGAACATGAAATCATGGAGAGTAGTCACAGTGGTCATCCAAACTGGAATGAACGGCTGTTGGGAGCGTCCGGACATCGCTCCCCACCAACACTGCCTTGGTTCAATTGCATTCAATTGCCATGTTTCTTGGTTTGCTCCCCAGATCTTTTTCTTTTGGAAAAACTTCCCAATTTTAAAAATCCCAAAAGTGATATCAGGGAAACGTTGCAGGAAAACTCAGTATTTCCGTACAGTCAGCCCCAAAGTAAAACAGCCAAACCCCATTGGCCTCATCGTAGAAACTCAAGGACATGAGTCCTTGTTCACGATTAAGAGACTTTGGGAGATGGGAGCGTGGAGCGGGTCTGTGTTGACAAAATTGCCAAAGAAAAAATGGGAATCTACCACCGAATTCTGGGTTTCAACCAACAATTTCAAGTCGGTCAGCTGAGATTCAACCATTGATCAACATTAGAATGTCGCTGTATCCAAGAAACATGCGCCCCTGTTTTTCAGAAACAGACTTTGAGGACCAAAATGACCAACATTTGAGGCTTCACCGACCCCAGCCGAGTCTCCTATCACTTCCTCTTTGGACATCACTTTCCTTGCTGAGTTGAGCTGGAATTTGATCTCTACAAATGGCGGGGTTTTCCTCCACATCCACGTTAGTTTACAGGAGGCTAACGATTATATTCAGTTGTAATTAATGTCAACCTCATATAAAGTAATTGTATGATTCAGTTGTATTATATAATATGATTCAGTTATATTAATATGATTCAGTTGTAATTATATTCAGTTGTATTCATATAAACCCCTTGGTTGTTTCATTCAAGGGCACCATTTTAGTGTATGTAAATATATGTTCGTAGCACATCATCAATTGAATACTTTGTGGGACAGCCCTGCAAAATCAATCAGCCAGGGTATCTTCATCCAGGGTTGACATCGTACCTATACCTTTCAAGTTAACAAGTATTGCAGTGACTACAGTATCATATCTAACCCTTATTGCTGTGTGTAGCAGTATAGCAGCTTTACGAGCACACCAAGGATCAATGCACGTCTCTTGAACAACGCTTAAATGATCTCAACTTGGAACTGTGACAACAAAACACTTAAGGGAAATCATGGTCAATCTTTGGTAGTCCACAAAAAACACCATGGTTTCCTGTTTTTGTTCATTTACAGCAACTGAGCCATGGAATTATACCAGGTATTTTCCCATCCCAAGAAATACGAGTACTGCTTGGTTATTCCCACTGGTTGGTATGGGTTGTAGTAATCAGTAATCCCCATTAAGCCAGGCAGACCAACCAGTGCTACTTTTTGAGTGGCTCAGCATGGCTCAGCTATCTTTTCCCTTTTATTAAGTGGTTTCAAATGGTATCAGCATTTTGTTGCAGCGAAACCACTACATGGAGTTTACGGCTGACTTTCAAATCTCCCATCTCACTCTAATTTGAAAGTTCGTATGGATGTCCCTTCAGCTTCGCAAGGCGTTTTGGAGTACCAATTCTGCAGTCCTTTACCGCAACTACTTGGAACTGGCATTTCTATTTTGTCAAACCTGTTTGGAGGCTTCCAATTTATAGGGCTACCCCCAAATCATCCATTTAAAAATCATTGAAACAGGATTTTGCCATCATAAACTTCCATTCGGGGTACCCTCTGGTAAACTAACATAACTATGGAAAATCACCATTTTTAATGGGAAAACTCACTATAAATGGTCATGTTCAATAGCTATGTTAGTTTACCAGAGGGTATTTTTCCTAAAGCACCAAGACGCTGCAGCGCTTTGCGGCGTTCGCGGAAACGGATGAAGTCGGAGCCCAAGAGGTCCGTCGTCAGGGATAACTTGCCATAACTCGGGACCTCTGGGCCCAAGGGTTTTGCTGTAGAGAAACAACTGATAATCAACTGTATAAATATAACATATATATATATGATATTTATGTAGTATATTTTAAATATGATATATTATTGTTTTATTGTGTTTCTAATATTCAATATTATACATTATACATTATACATTCTACATATATATATATATGATTAAATCTATATATACATATACCCTATATCAATAGACCTGGGTTGTAATGGTAAATTACAATGGTTCACCGATCTATAGATGTATGCTATTATAGAGTAGATACATGCAGCTGATCAACTATAGATGTATCATAATGTATCTATCTAATAGACTATTGATGTATAATCGACTGAATGAGCAACTATATTAAATAATACAATAACTTGTGACAAAAAAAACAAGTATACGATGATCCTCTGTAACATAAAATAATATTACGTAAAAAATAACTTAGTATATGTATACCATATATATATAAATATAATTATATATATATGTACTGTTTGTGCAATAATTCATGTTATGTTATCCATCAAAAAAACTGAAATCATTCACATTCTGATCTCTTGTACCCCTGTAGTTCACATCAAAATAGCTGGTAAATGGATGTTCATCCCACTAAAAATGGTATTAATATGTATTGACCCATCAACATATAGATATGGAAAATCACAATTTTATAGCTGGGTAAATCAACGAACTAAATGGCCATGTTCAATAGCTATGTTTGTTTACCAGAGGGTATTCCTAGTCTTCTTACAAACACACTTACATCCTCATACCAGTGTTGAAAGTTCAACCACTCTTCTTGGTCTGGAATCAATTTTCTTGATTCATGGGTGAATGTCCCATGTCTACCGATTAGTGCATCATGGGTTGATTCATCGGCATCCCCATCGCCCGTTTACTGAGAGCCTTCTCTCGCAGTTGTATGTCCAATCCAGCAGCCTGCAAACTTTGTCCTGGAAGGGGCGAATGATGAGACTGTCATGATGACAATGTGCATCTCAGTTCTTCAGCTAAGGATGATGGGGATTATGGATCATCAATAGTTACCCTCTGGCTATTTAACATAGCCATGGAAAATGGCCCATTTATAGATGGTTTACCTATTAAACATGGTGATTTTCCATGGCTATGGCTATGTTAGTTATAACCTTTTTCCCGCAGGTGAATCGTCCATATTTTCCCCAGGGGACGTTGGTCATGTTTTCCCGCGCACCAACGTCACATTTGCGGGACCATCTGAAATTCCTGCTTTATAATTTGCAGTACAAAGAGCTGGGTGAAATAACCAGCAGGTATGAACGTACTGGAACGTACTAAATAACAGGCTAGTGTTTAATGTCTGTGGTGATCCAAAATGGGGTATATAATTTATATACCTGCATGGACCGATGGTTTAAAAAAATCATCCGTCCATTTGTTTTGCAGGAGAATCATATTGAGCCATTCCCAAATGTTAAATGAAAACCATCCCAATAACCCATAGCGCTATCCAAAAGAAACATAGTCACGGTAACAGCTGGCCATGTTTTTGAGAAATCACACTAAACTGCTTGGGCCATTTCCCGCTACAGTATCAAATTTGCCCATAAAACTTGTGCTTTTCTTGAGACTGTTTGGAGAGTGTTTTTTAGCTGCAAAACTTGTGCGGTTTCCGGATCACAGAATCACCGAAAATCACCAAAATCTGTCCTGAACAATACACTGCCTGAATGACACTTTTTGGACTTACCCTAGGCTAAACTAAAATAAATATGGAAGATAAACCATTTGTTGACGATTTTCCTGGGGTTTCTCCATGGGTTTTCGGGTTTTCCACATGAATCTATGTTAGTTTACCCGGGGTAAGGAGAGCATCCATTTCCTGGCATTATCGAACGAAAAAGTGTCACCAATCCCACTAAATCATGGAGATCTGACGTTTACATGTGTTTAAGCTGTCCAAATGAAAATCCCAACAAGGGAATCAAAAATACCACATCAAAAAGGCATAAAAATCCAAACAGACTAAGCAAATGCCGGTTCTCGTACCATGCACTGCCCCGAAGTCAGCAACGTCACAGCGCTGCTGATTTCGTCCGCAGAGAGAGTCGCCGGCTGCGGCGCAGCGGCCGCAGGACCACCACCAGAGTCTGCCTGAAGGGTCTGGCACATCCCCGTCGAAGGTTGGATGTTTCCTTTCTCTGGGATTTAATCTAAGGAGCATCGGTGACAATGGTGGGTTATACAGTATACAATATCGGACATAAACGAAGCGGTTCTGACCCGATACTGTGATTGCTTTCAACATGTTTAACTTCTACATATATAATATAGCCAGCCTCTACTTCCGGATTGCCATTCTTTTTGGGGTATTGTATTGTTATGTTTTTGGGCAAAAACAACTGATTGCTTAGCTGCGAGCGATTCTAAGTAGCAAGTGGCTCAGTTGTAATCAGGTGTACATCTGAGTAGAATCATGTAGAATCTGTCTGACCCTCAAAATGGCAGACGCATCCATCAACTACTAAGGCACTCCTTGATTTAGGTGTGAGCACTAGACAGGTACACCATACTCAAAGACCTTCGAACTATAGGCTGGGAGCTTGTGGGGGCTGAACATATGCATCCTATATTTGGAAGCTGCAAGAAACATCTACACATGGGTTGAGCTGCCGGCATCCCTGTGATCTTCCCAAGGAACCTCAGCTTTTGAAGAGGGCGACCCCTTCAAACCGGCCAGTACCTCGCTCAGCTGGTAGGTCCACATGTTGACCATGGGATACGAGCAAAGAAAGAGGAACCCTGAATGGGTTTACTGTAACCATCAAAATGGTGATTCAACGGTGATGTAACGGGATTTGATGGTCAGTTAATGTGATTTACCTATCATTTCTTAGGGGGTCACGAATTACCCTCTGGTAAATTCAGAGTTTGCAATGGAAAGTAGCCCATTCCGTTCGATGATTTACCTATAATATGGTGATCGATAGTACTGCAACAAATTGCGAGAGGGCTCCAGAGGGTATTATCATCATCTTTTGGATGGTTCAAACATGTTCAACCCCATTAGACCATCATTTTTTTGGTCCAATCCGAATCCCGTTAAATCATGTTAAACATTGTTAACCAGCATTTTTGTTGGGTGGCTAAATCCCATGTTCACCACCTTTCTGTTGCTGCTTCAATCCCAAGACAAACGCTCGGGCGGCACCTCCCTGAAATCGTTGTTGGCCCCTCGTGCCAAGGCAGTTTCTAAGAGTCGGTTGCCCACGCCCACCATCCGTGCTCCCATGGCCACGGGAAATTCCTGCAGTTCCGGCAGGAAATGCCAAGTTTTCTGGGCTGAATTTCACGGTCCATCTTTGGTAGTCCAATTTCTTTTTGGCTGATTATGGCTATGTTCCGTCCACAAAAACTGAAGGATTGAACAACGGATCCAAGGTTTTAGAATGACTTAACCACGCCAAAAATGGTGCTTCAATGGGATTTAACGACAAAATGATGGTTTAATGGGATTGAATGGGATCTAATGGATGGCTTAAGGGACACATGAAACCGGAAACCACCATATTTACATGGAAAAATCAATCGTTTCCTGCAGATTTGCCCGACAAAAACCCTACTCCATTGAAAAAAATGTCAGATGATCAGATGGTTCATATATATATATATGTGTATAACTATATAACCCCAAAAGATGGACACCTATCCCATGGTCAGCATAGTGGTTCAACAGAAATATCATATTTGTTCACTTCCAACGATTCATTTTTACAACCCAACAGTCTAACCGGTAACCCACAAACTGAGGAAAAAAAACACTGAACAAAGAACATGCAACCATTACAATGTCATTACGATTATAGATTCAACCCCTTCAACCAGGAAAAAAATACCATCTGGTTATTTAACATAGCCATGGAAAATAACAATTTTTAATAGGTAAACCATCTATTTCGATTAGGGCCATTTTCCTATGTTAGTCATAACCAGAGGGTACGAAAAGAGTTCCCCCTTGGCTCCCATGGGTCCCAGTTGGCCTGCAGTCGCCGCGCGGTGCTCTCAGTCGTCTCCTCCTCTCCGCGGAGCAGCTTCGCAAGGAGCTCGTGACAGAACAGGCCCAAGAGGTGCATCGTCACCTGCAGCTGGGATGTGAACTGTGAACTGTGTGATATCATAGAGGAATAATGAGGAACATAAGATGAAATAGAAATTATATAGATGTAACTAGTATGATATAGTAGAAGATGAGTGTTCAAATCAGGTAGACATGACTAGACTAGACATGGTGGATGTTGTCAAATAGTGATTCTATACTATTTGATACAGATACACGGTCCATGAAATCAGGCAACAAGTGATTATCAGGGATTTTAATAACTTATCTTAAACAAAATTAGGGAGGAGGTTGAGTGCTGGTTCGAGCAACAACAATGGAGATTGGCGGGGTGTAAGCCAAGCAACAAGGTCGTCTTGCAGAGATGTTCAAACAGCAAAATGGTGCTTGCACAAAATAGAACCCTCAAAATGGTTTTTGAGCAAGTCAGAAATGGCATTTTACCAATAACAATGTGTACCTTGCTTCAATTTCATCAACAAAAGAACATGGTTAGACAAATTATTTGTGTTTTGGCCACAAAGAAATGGTGATCTTGCCCAGCCTTTTCGGGCTGGACTTTAGAGAAACCACAGTCCAATGAGAACAGTTTTATTTCATTTCTACAATGCAGCCCCCTTAGATAGCTAAATTGGTGTCTAACTTTCATAACTAGGACTTATGGTAGATATATCTATAAACAATTGGGGTTATAAACCAACATAAAACCAAGGGGGCCACCTCGTAGTGTATCAAAGCATCCAAGTTTTTTGAACAAAGTCGTCATTCTGAGTGGATGTGGATGATAGCACCTGGAAATGGAACCCTGTATTGACATATTGACATTCATTCACAGGTGAGTTCAAAACAATGTCAGAATACGGAAGAGAATTTTAAAAAAAAAAACGGCAAGAGACCGCAAACAGTGTGGGGGAGTGGGAAGACAATATAGGATAAAGTTGTTGTTGATGATGATGATGATGATGATGATGATGATGAGAATGATAACGGTGAAGGTGATAGTCATGGTGATGGTGATGATGAGAAGGATGATGGTGACCATGATGATGATGATGATGATGATGATGTTGAGGATGATGATGTTGAGGATGATGATGTTGAGGATGATGGGTTGAGGATCATGATTTTGAGGATGATGATGTTGAGGAGGATGAGGGCGAGGATGATAATGCGGAAGAGGAAGTGGAGGATGATAAGGTGGATAACCATGATGCTGAGAAGGATGATGGTGATGATGATGATGATGGTGATGATGATGATGATGATGGTGTTGCGGACGTTGATGTTGAAGAGGATGGTAATGCGGAAGATGAAGTGGAGGAGGACAAGGTGAAAAATGATGATGCTGAGAAGGAGGAAGATAATCATGTTGAGGATGATGATGAGGAGGATGGGAATGGTGCGGAAGATGAATGAGGTGGCGGAGGATGATGTTGTGGAAGATGAGGTGGAGGATGATGATATTGAGGATGATGACGTGAAGGGGGAGGAAGATGATGATGTTCAGAATGATGAAGTTGAGGAAGAGGAAGATGATGATGTTGAGGATGATGATGTTAAGCATAATGATGTTGAGGAGGAAGGCCGATCCCAAGACCAAGGACCTCACTTTGTGCGAGCCTGCGCAGGCGAAATGCACTTCAACATTTCACAAGAGCCATTTTAGACGGAAATTTACAGGAAAAGTGCCCGAGCCCAGAACCCAGGCGCACATTTTGTGCGAGCCTGCGCAGTCGAATGCACTTCAACATTTCACAAGAGCCACTTTGTACGGAAATTTACAGGAAAAATGCTCGGGCCAAGCACCGGCCTTTACATGCCTTTACACCTACCGTAAGAAACCCTCAGTGTGGGCACACTGTTTGGGGGAAAAAAAAACAAAGTATGACAATTACACCACATACCAGAAACGATATAGGTGTTGTTTGACCACCAAACATTAGGGCTAACACAAAATACCCCAAACATTCGCGCCTCCTGGAGCAAGGGTCGGGGCAGCGACGACAGCGCAGCACAGGTGGCCTGGCCGCTAGTGACTGTTGATGGTTAAAACATAACAACAGCATAATAATAATTCATATATGATAACAATAATAACAGAACATATGTCATATATATATACTGCAAATATATATATATACATATGTTAAATAAACATGTGATATTGGTGTTTTTTTTTTAAAAAAAATATAGACATAATATATACATTGTACATATAACTAAATATATATATATATTATAATACATCATGTCTATATGAGATATCTATACTGCTATGTCTGTATGAAGATAAAAGAAAACATCCTATCAAAACATGTCAGTCTTCACACCGTTCACTAGATTCATACTTTTGGTCCATACCAAAATTGTTTTCAGTAAGTGGGATCTTCCATAGTAGACATGCATACAACCAAAATGCTTGCAACCGCCAAAGAATTTTTTGATTCTATAGGCGTAGGTCAGAACAAGGCCAAGATGTCGCTAATGACCTGTGCAATCTCGGCATAGGTTCCGTTGCGTTCCAATGTTTTCCAAGATAAAGAATGCACCAGAAGCACACGCAAATCAATACTGAACCTTTTTATCATGTCCTGGAAGCCAGGTCCCCTAAGGCTTTCCAAAGACAGCCATTGGCGTTGTTGCACCATTGGAACGCAGAGACATGATCCCACATTCTTTGGCTCAAAGATGCTCAAAGATCTGTTTGACACATCTTTGCCCCCTATCTGCCTGGAAATGAACTGCTTTATATAAGTCACCCCAAAACTAAGTTCCAAGAAAAAGTTAAGAGCGTAGCATCAAGATCGTATAGGAAGTTCCAAGAACCAGCTAAGAGCATAGCGTCAAGATCGTGTTGGAAGTTCGAAGACCAAGTTAAGAGCGTAGCTTCAAGAGCGTATTGGAAGATGCATACAGATGATCGCAGGCGAATGAACGTTATTAGCCCACCCCACCCTACTCCACTCCACCCGATACATGCACATCGCAACATAGTTTGTGGAACGGTAAATAACTCAGTCAGGAAAAACATGTTGTCGCATGGTTCGTCCAGGTCGTTATCAGCGTCGCCAGCAAAACAAGGGCCTCCATCAACCCACGGATATTGACAATTTGCCTGATTACCCTCTGGTAAACTAACATAGCTATGGAAAATCACTATTTTTAATGGATAAATCCACTATAAATGGCCATTTTCAATAGCTATGTTAGTTTACCAGAGGGTACCCATCCAATAAATTCAGGATAGAGTCGGAGTCGGGTAGAGAATTTCAAGCCACAGCGAGATTGGTGGCAGAGGTTGCCGTCGAAATCCTCCCGTTTCTTATGGTTTCTTCAATCACATTCACCTTTTCAACATCCCAAAGAAAACACCCACCTGTTGAAGGAAATTCAACATATTCATACATATTCAACATCCCAGGGATTCTGTACAGTTGGCTGAAAGGAGGATGAAAATGGCAAACGATACCTTCGTAAAACCAAGTGGCCACGTTAAATCTCCCCAAAACGAACATCCACCTGAATCCACCTGTTCAAAAGTTCAATTCACCACCATATTTCATCATATTTCAACATAGGGGTATGGGTCAATACCTATAGATACATTTTTAGTGGGATGAACATCCATTTACCAGCTATTTTGGGGTTCACTAGGTACCAGGGTTTTGACCCATCCCCATAGTTCAACAGTCCAAAAGACATGAAAGGCATTGAAAGGCCATCCCACCACCCTCGGGCCCCAGGTGGCCCCACCGTGTCTCGCCTTCATCTCCCCAGCTGCAGCTCCCAGGGCCGTCTCAGCCTCCAAGAAGCCGTTGCCCGTGGCCACCAGGCGGCAGGGCTTCAGGGAAGTCAGCAGGGCTTCCTGGCCGCAGAGATGGAGAAAACTCATCAGAAATCTGGGATTTGAGCCATGAAAACAATGAAAACATGGGATTTCATAGGGATTTTATTGGAATTCATGGGATTTCATGATGATTTAATGGGGGGTTGATGGTGATTTAAGATAATTTGCACATCAAACCTATTCAAAACTGGAACATGTGTTGCAGCAAAAACTGAAGACATCTAATTACTAATGAAAGATAGAAAACATTGGGATCTTACCAGAATCAAAAATGGGATAATGGGGATGTCAACCATCAAAACTTGCAATTTTGACCATAAAAAACTGGGCTTCAACCCGCGAAAACTCATGGGATTTCAGCAGCCCATCTTGAACAGGACAGCAACCAGCTGGGGAACCTGGTTGAAAAGTGGCTGTGGCAATGGAGGACCGAATTTGGTTCAATATTTTTGAAGGAACAGATCCATATACTTCACAGATCTTCACAAAATCTTTTGGAATCACAACAACTTGGATTGTGCGGGACCCAGCAATTCGAAGTGCTCAATCCCTTTTCAATATGGGGAGAGCGCAGCAATTTTCAAGCCCCCTCGAAAGTTCACCAATTGCCAATAGACATGGGAAAACTGGCGAACATACTCCGCATCACTGTGCAAAGTAGCACCGCATTCCAAGCTACGCTGAATCCGAAGTAGTTTATGCATTCAAACATCTTCAAAACATCAAAAGGGGAGGATTGGATAGGATCGGTTGCTCATTTCCCATGCATTTCCCATGCATTTCCCATCCATTTCTCCCTATTGGCTCCTCTTGGCATTTCATCATGGCGTGCAGTTCCTCCTGACACTTTCGCTTCAAGGCCTTAATCTGCTTCAATGGCCTCAGATGATGAGATTCAGCTCCGAAAAAACTTCATCATATGTAATCCTATATATGATTACATGCATATACATGTAACACCATGTATAAGTGTTATTTCTATCTCTATCTATGTCTACACTCCCATCTGTCCATGTATATCGATGCATATCAATTAGACTACGGAAATTGGAATCTCTACAGTAGCGTCCAAGTGCAGGAATGTGAAGGAAACCTGGGATTGAATGGCCAGCGAAGTCCCAATGGTGGGAGCCCCAAGACACAAAGGACGCTTGGCCTATGCCAACCTCCATGGATTTAGCCACTGAACATTGGATTTCAATGGATTTCTATGGGTTTTCGTATTTTTTTACATGTTTTTCCTCCCAGTTCGGCCCTGAACCATGGGGCTTGTTGTAGATTTTGACTCCCTCCTTACCTTTCCATACGATTTTCATCGATTTTCCCTGGCCTGCAGCTCGCGGGCACTTCTCTCTGCAGCTGATGAATCAGGAACATCACATCCGTCACAAAGAGACCACAGCGGCGCGGGTGCCGCGTCAAGCCCCCGGACGATGCGTAGGGCCTGGCGGATGGCAAGGTGAAGTCAGTGAATGCGAGTGATTTCTGCTGGGATATGCCGCAGGTGATATGTGTCACTGTGATACTGTATCATGATTTCTGCGAGATATGTGGTAGTGAACATGTACTTGGCACAATGGGATTGTTTGGAAGGTGCTACTGGCCTCGAAAAACATTCTCTGATGGAAACATGCTGCCATCAAGCCACCTCTTCACCTTACAAACAGATCCCTCTATATCACAAGATTCGGTTGATCATTTGATAGTCTAGCCCAAATCCAAGACTAGTTAAACTTAAGTTCAAGACCCGCCTCAGTCTATCTACCTGGCTCTCAACCTAGAAAAAACTATATAGAATTGAAACATCGCTGAGCCATGGTCACTTTGAAACAACCCAACTGGAGCAACTCTCCGCCCAAGCGCCCCAAGCGCCCCAAGCCCCAGCTGTCCTCAAGATGGCAAACAACCAGCACAAGCGTCCGGCCGTCTGCACCTCCTGGAAAGGGGCAACCCACCTGCTGTGGGCCGTGAGAATCCATGAGAATTATCCAGTAGCACTGAAGCACAATATGTCGCCACGCCATGGAATGGTGTTTCTCTTCACAAAACAGTTGTCATCTGCAACGGTGATCTATGGATCCACCCATACCAAGGGTGGTTTGAACCAACACCACTCACGAAATCCGTGAGGAACTCAACCAATGGTTGGCTGTGACCGTTCTCCCATGAAAAAGTTCAACATATTTCAAGGACGACCTGGCACCCAGCCAAACAGAGGTTAAAAACCCATCAATGTGGATAATTGAATACTCAATGTAATCAACGTTTGATCAAATTGTGCAGCAATTTAGTAGCCAGAGTTTCAGTCATGTACAGATCTGTGCGACATCCTCTTCTGGACTCTTCCCTGCCCAACCTCCAAGGTAGACAGAATAGTGTTGTCCTCAAACCCATAGAAACAAATAAACGTCAACATAGCAGAGAATCACTTCTCATAACATTTTATTGCTTTTGATTTCACATCTTTTATTCTGGGCAAATTACTATAATACTCAAATCTAAGATAAACCCATCACCTTCAATTACTATAATTGCAAATTAAGATTCTGCTTATCTCATGTTAGTAAGGGTAGTAATTTGATGATGGCTAGTAAGGCTGGCAGTCCCCATAAGCTCTTAAATTTCTGCATTTACAAACCATCATCACATTACTATCACAATAAATATTTTGGGCTAGTATGATAAATACTATAATTACATTATTACATTGTAATTACTACAATTACTGCCATGCATAGATATTTAGGGGATTACCACATACTATAATTATTGCCATAAAAAATGATTGTTACTAAAAATGTACACGTTTTGGGGATTCCGACCCTTACTAGCACTTCATCTTTGGGTTTTGCCCAGCCGATCCTCATCAGCGAAGTGGCTTAGTTGGCCGAAAGACCTCGGCTGAGAAAATAGCCGACTGAGCCGTGAAAGAAAACCTCTGTCGTTTCATTATACTGGTTGGTTAAGAACTGGGATTCTCCTATTGACTTACTATCATCCCCAATATCTTGGTTAAATTTGGTGAGTATAACCTAACCCCCTATAATCATCAATCAAAAGGGTTTTTGAACACGGCTGGGCGAGGATCCGTTCCGGTGCACACCTGGATAAAAAAAAAACCATGGTCTGTTCAGTTGACCCTCAAAGTACGCATCAAACACTGGTCACATGGTCACATGATAACACACATGGTCACATGTCATGATATTTTTGGAGTAGATTTCTGAAAATGTTTTTTGGAGTAGAATTCTGAATATGCAACAATATCATACCAATATCCATTTATCATTTGGGAAAAACATGTGTACCACTTAAGTCATCATCGAATCGTTCGCTGATGGGATTCACCGTCAGAAAATCTTCGCAGGTGCCCGGCCTGGCCAACTTCTCTGCTGCTGGAGAGACCTGATTCTGGGATGACAGTGCCAATCTTCGTCTAATCTTAGATATATCCCATATCACCATTAGATCACCATGTTTTCGAAGATAGATCATATATCTTATATCACCATTTTTCCAAAAATAGTCCCATGACAAAAAAATCCTCGTCTTATCTGACAGATACCCTGCAAACAAAAAAATCTTAGCTGGTTAGTAGATAATCCCACTGGCCCATTGATACCAAGTTGGACTAATCCGGATTAGTTTGTACCCATCTAAGATTGACCACATGGTGTATAGTCAAACAACATCATGGTCCTTTTTCTTCATGGTCCACAAAAAACAATTATTTTGCTGGTTATTGGTTATTCTATGGTTATTTTCCATCCAAATAGCAAAAAACCTAAAGGATTAAACTAACCACGTATCTCATCCTGGTAGCACCCAGTATCATGTTGTGCTTAAAAAAAACCTTCGTCCCATGATGAGACAAACATCAAAGATGGACAGTCAACAAAAACACTAGCAGCACTAGCACCACTTCTGGTTTTTGTGTTTGTTGGGAAGTCGGATCCATTATATAGGTTTGTCTGAGAATAGGGCCTCGCAAAAATCGAATTCTTTATCATCTGTTTCCTCATTAAAATTGTTCTCTGGGGGTAAATTCACACACATACACTCATCATACCAGTATTAATATGGTGCCATATATATATATTATATGTATATCATATATATATATATGTCATATATATGTCATATATATGTCATATATATGTCATATATATGTCATATATATGTCATATATCCAATTCTACACATCATAAAGTGACTGGCCATCCAAAAAAAACCGTCTTTTAAAGGGTTTAATCCCCTCAACCCTTCCTGCAAGGCATCTCCACCAAACCTGGATGGACGTGGAGTTTCCAAGATGGACAGACACCTGGCACCAGGAATATCTCATGAGGATTTAACCACGGGGTTTATGATGGGATGTGTATTTATATATAGATATATATTAAATATATATATATATAATATTAAATATATATATATATATTAAATATATATATATATATTAAATATATATATATATTAAATATATATATGTAAGATAGATAGATTGATTGATAGATAGATTGATAGATAGATAGATAGATAGATCGATAGATAGATAGATAGATAGATCGATAGATAGATAGATAGATAACAAACTTAAAGTAATATGTGGGGAGAGAATAAGCATATGATGGGGATATGATGGCGGCTGATTCAACAATCCCCTTTGGGAATCGGACGGATCCACGGTGTGTTCCCAAGACATTGGACCATCGGTAAAATTGGAGATGGGGCAAATGGACTATCTACGGAAGGATTATGGACCAGTGATTGACAGATTACCCTCTGGTTATGTCAAAATAGCTATTGAAAATGACCATTTCTGGTGGATTTTCCCATTGAAAATGGTGATTTTTCATAGTTATGTTAAATTACCAGAGGGTACTGGTATGTAAATGTTGTGACATCACAACATCACCATGATCACAAAATGATATCCTGTGGCGATCTCCCAGCTCGCTTGAACCAGGCCAGCCAAACAGCATCTTCGGACTGGCGCGGGGTGAAGGCTCCAGGTTTCAGGAGGATAAACATCCGCATAAAAATGGGCTGTGCGAAAAAAGATGGGGACACTAAAATCATGTTCTATCTCTCATGTCTGATACCGCCCATACCAGGATTTTTTGTGTGTGTGTGCGTCCAAATCGCCGCATGTGAAGTCCTGGTTGATGAGCTTTAGTCCTTCGTCAATCTGGTTTCTCACCTCCTGATGGTGTTTTACCCCATCATCTTCATATTTGTTTCTTCTACCATTTTTTGTTGGGGTCTTTAAAAGGGTCTAGGCATATAACTACTGATATAAATTCATATAAATATATGGGCTGTAACCTACTTATGAACATCATCATTCAGTCAGGCACTCAACAGTCAATCCTTGCAGCACAAATCAAATCGTCCTTGCGCCCAAGTATTGGACTCTTAGACTTCCCCATTGAATCAATGCATGAAATTTGAAAAATAAAATTACCATCTGGTTATTTAACATAGCCATGGAAAATCACCATTTTTAATAGGTAAAACCAGGTAAGCCATCTATAAATGGGCCATTTTCCATGGCTATGTTAAATAACCGGAGGATAAATCATAAAATGTCAGCCTAACTTCATTCTGCAGGATTTTTCTTTGGCTACCCAATTCGCCACTTACGAAGGCCCTGAGAATTTTCGCTATATACAAACCTTATAGTGTCAACCCTAGATTAATAAACCCCAAACGGCTGTTTAATTGAAAAGGGTACCATTTAAGTATCAAATTTACGAAACCCCAAAGATCTTTCCTCACTTACGAAACCTCGATATGCTTTCTACCGTGTGGATCGCCTCGTCCAAGATCCAGCGTCTCGCTTGGACCAAGAGCTGAGGCTGCTGACTTTGCGCCTGCGAAGTCGGAGAAGTTATATGAAGTTACTATAAATGAACATATACTGGTTGGTGGTTTTAACATGTTTTAACCATCTTGAAACATATTAGTCAATGGGAAGGATTATCCCATATATTATGGAAAATAAAAAACATGTTTGAAACCACCAACCAGAATATATAAACGATGGGCTTGTAACGATTTATACTAACAGTGAACATTTGCCTGTTAATGATGGCTTATACTTATATATACTTATATTGGATACTCGCCACATATTGTTTGTTGTTTACTAGGAAAAGCTTCTCCATGTTTCTATACACAAATCCGGACGGATCGACCATGTTGGGAGAATCCTTCCTCAAGGTTCACCCATGACCAGCGGTGCACCAACAAACTAATGTGGGGGTACCAATCAACACGGAGCTAATCAGAAAAAACGTCCATGTATAGACATAGCGACAAACACCTAGCAAGAATAAACATACTCCAAATCCAACGGTGACTTTCGCATTTAATGTCTTTCCTACACCACCTGTCTTTCCTACACCACCGAGACAGCTTTCAGATTTTCAGTTTCTATGTTTTGAAACTTGTTCGATACCTCGCTAGCCAATAAAATCCCATAGGGATCCATAGGGATCCCTCTCAACCGATGTTGCTGGAGATGTGCTCAGCAGCATTTCGCCATAGGTATTGTATGTTATTGTCATCCGAAGATAACACATGAAAATCATGAAAATGTCCAAACAAATCCTCAAGTGCGAATATGTTTGAATATGTTTTTCAGGAACTTCTGGATCATTAAAGCTCCACGGGTGCTCCACATACCTATCAGCCACCATGGACGCCAGCCTCCCTTTGGCCATGGACCAGGCGGGACAGGCTTGTCTCAGCAGCTGAAATAAAACCTGCGCGGCCAAGGATTGAACTCGTGGGGTAGGTGGCTACAGGTCCAACAGGTCCAACCTGGGCAACCGTGGGCAACACATCTGGAGAAATTGGTCACATCCCCCAGTCTCTTGCTCCACGTTTCAGCACCAATCACAATGAAATAACCAGAAATTCACCACGGCAGTTGGTAAAAACCAACTGCAATGTGGTAAACGCAATGGGTTAAACCATCCCCAGAATCATGATCTTTATGGTTGGTATAAACCATCCCCATATGGTAGGTTCATTAATGGATTGCCCACATTACTTTCAAGTTACAACTGGGAAGATCATCCCCTTCCCCTAAGCCAGATCAAGTACCTCGCTGTTGCAGGCGTCGCCTCGCTGAGAAATCAGTGGCAGGTGAGCTCTGTGGAGGGTAGAAATATGGATATATGAGATACCCTCTGGTAAACTAACATCGCTATTGGAAATTGCCATAGAAAGTTCGTTGATTTACCCATTAGAGCTGGTGATTTTCCATCGTTTTTTTGTAAACGTTTACCATAGGCTACAAGGGAACCTCAACAAAAACTGGGGATTTCATCCTAAGTCACTGAAGTTCTCCCAATTTCTGTTTTGACCTGTTTTTTTTACCGTTGAACTTTTCGGGATTTCTGTTTTGATCAAATCAGTGGATGACGACACCTGAGGGTTGACCCACTGAATCATTGTAATCATAATGTAGTCATGGTTAGTATCCCAAAGATATGGTCAAAATAGCCTAGATGATATGTGAGCAGCAAATAAGATTTCGGGAGATTTTTTGACTTTGGACTTTGGACACCCATAGATGCCATAGAAGCATCCCAGATCATCCCTTTTGCCACCCAGATGACCTCAAAGTATGCAAATAAATATATACCATGTGCATGCCATGCGGCATACCCATGACCCATGGAACATATTTGAACAGATGATCTATCACCGCATTGCATCCAAAATACAGTAAATGCTCCTGATTGTGTTTGAATCCCTGTAAACCAGCGGATGCCCATCCCCTAATCCTGGATGATTGAAGAGACAATGGCTCTTGATCAACTACTGGGGTTGCAGGAACATGCTGAGAATCGGAAAAAAGCGACGAAACAAAACATCAATCAACTGCCAGTCCTCACTTCACCAGCTGCCAAGCCACTCAAAGTCTTCCACCGCTGGACCCTGGTCTGCAAAATCCAAATGGCCTCGAAAAACGTCCGACAAAAAACCTTGAAGGACAACTTCCGACAAAAACTACAAAATGTATTCAAAGGTGCACTAAAACAGTCACCAAAGCCCTGTAGGACGAAGTCATTGGACGTCCTGGCCACATGAAACCAATTTCAAAATCAAACATAAGATGCATCCCTTGCTTACCATCATGTATGGCCAGGACATTGTGAGGTCGCTATAATTTGTCCATCAATAAATGTATATATATATTACAATATATACATATATATATATGTGTATGTGTAGAAATAAATAAGAACGTGTATGTGTATATATATATGATGTATATATATATATAAACAACTATACGTATAATCTGAGTGATACAGGGAAAAAACATGCATAATCATTATATGTACTGTACATATAATCAACATATGTATAATCAATATGTGATACCACCTTGGTTGTTGCTCTACGCCCCTCACTACCTCGCTTTTCACCGGGTCCCGCTTCCAAGCACCGTTCTTGCTGTGGCGAGGGGCTGACCAGGAGCTTCACCAGGCGGGGATAGAGGCTGAAACCCAAAGCTTTGTAGACCTTTGGCAGGGTCTCCAGGGTGTCGAGAGTGACTCTTGTGGATGTGACAAATCTGATATTTGAATGGGTTGTATTACTGTTTTTACTATTATCATTATCATTATATATATATATTGCTATTACTATATATATACATATACTTATTGGTTAAATATGTTAAAGAAGGGTAAGAAGTTATAAACCAAACCACTTGTTAAGTGGGACATCAAGGTAGGCCATCACATACTTTATGTATCATTGATATTAGGGTTGCAACTTATAGAGCTATGACTGTGTTGTTGGCTCATAGATGCGAGTATTCCCAATGAATCCATTTGGAGGTTTCCATAGTAATGGGGGTACCCCATTTTATCATCCATATCTTAGTAGCGTTTTCCATGATAGAACAACCAGCTCTTGGGATACCCAGATTTATGGAAACCCCCAAATTTAGATTTCCTTGGAACTCACCAAACAAAACTGAGATGGGCACCACATGGCACAGGTCAGCATGTTTAACCCCTCTTTGGGACCAGCTGGTTATGCTAAGCTCATTACTCCAATAACTAGTTTTATGCTAGATGTATCATATATCTATAGTATATCTATAGTTCATGGGGGCTATAATTCAAGTCATATTTTTTTTGAGGTACGTTCTTGTGTGGTAATGAGTATGTTCATCACATTAGTTTGCGATCCGGCACAAAGAAGGGCCCTACTCCGTGCACTTAGTTCTGGCAGGCACAACGTCCTGTGTGTTCCAAACTTTTCTGAGGCATTATCATTTTGTGGGGCAACCCCATTGTCACAAAACCCCCAAACATATATCAAACTGGTTATGAATGTTATATCCCGATTATATTCCGCCGTGCAAAACCCGTAAATACCATTAAATACAGTTTAAATCCCATTAAACTCCGTCTACCCTCTGGTAATTTAACATAGCTATTGAAAATGGCCATTTATAGTTGATTTCCCTACTAAAGATGGTAAATTTCCATAGCTATGTTAGTTTACCAGAGGGTACCGGCTATAAAATGCCGAGTTCTTGATGGTTCCACTGCTACAAAGCACCTCGGCCTCATCCCCCGCAGCGTACCTGAGGAAAGGACTCCGGTCATTGTCCGTGTATCATATATGTCCATGTAAGTATACATAATATGTATATACCCTCTGGTTATTCAACATAACCATGGAAAATCACAAGTTTTAATAGGTGAACCATCTACAAATGGGCCATGTTCCATGGCTATGTTAAAGAACCAGATGGTATATATTGTAGCTACCAAGTATAACATAACACATAAACATAGAAATTATACACATACACAGATATACATGAATGTGCATGCATGCGTGCATACAACGATTACTGGTAATTACAACAATAACACAACAAAAAAAAACAATATATACTTAATCGCAGTAACAACAAACACTAATAGCAACAAACACTACATCTATATGTATATTATTGTATGTATATGTATATATATATGTGAATGTCCTCGTTTTCAATCAGGTTCATATACCATTGCTTTCTTTGATCATGGTATGTAAGTCCAGGGCCAGGGTGGTGCTTCGGAGTCTTTCTTTAGTTCAATCGTACTTATCTCCAACATCCTTTTACTAGTTGGTTGATAGGTTTCCCTACCACGGGTGATCATAGTCCCCAAGTTCACGCAGAATGGGGTAATGCTTTCTGGTTTCCATTTACATGCAGGCTCACAGGAGTAGAAATACCCGGAAAAAAAAACGTAATCCTTTCTTAGTAACTACAGTGTATGTACCATACGTTTTAATATGCGGTAGATTAATGTATATGCATGTGTATTGTTGATATATTATATAATAACTATATATTGTAAAACTATATGTATATGTATATGTATATACATATATTTACATATCGTATATTCATCAATACACACAGTATTATTACATACAGTACTACTATCTTCCTCCATCCGATCTATTTCACACACAAAAAAACTTCAAACCTTCACCTTGCGGTCTGGCTAAAGAAACTCTTCAAGGTGCCGACACATAAAGTTGATGTATCCTTCCATGACGTGGAGCACCGGCGTCGCTTTGGACACGCCATCCAGCCAGCCTTGGAGTCCAAGGATGGCGGATCGGGGGTGGCTCTACCTGAAAATGGTCATTTTGCTCAGGAAAATCATCATCAGCTACTGAAAAAAATTGGGGTACCCTATTTTCAGACAAACTCCCCTGCTAATGCTTGGAAGAGTGCTGGTAAATGATCCTTTGAAGTCCGGCGCCGGGCTGTAGATCAAAACGTGGTTGTGGCAGTGGTCTCTTTGCAAATCGATCAGCACCCAACCACCTTTGGTAGACCAGAATGGCTGTTGTTTTTTGTTCTTTTCTGCCATGTGCCTCGTGTGTCTGGTCCTGCGGAGTGAGACGCTTATGCGTCTGGCTTTAATGAACCTTTCTTGGTTTTGGTGATCTGAAGCGACATCCGAGTTGCCATGAGAGCGAATAAGTTCACTAGTATTCTGAGGCCATGAATAAGTTCACTATTGATTGTCATTGCTGTTGAAATTGTTGTGGGAAAATGTGTATACCTTCATGCATATGGCATAAAGGTTAGATGATCAACCATTTACCCTCTGTTCACCAGATAGTTTTACTAGACGTATCCTCAGGTCGTTTAACATATCAGTTCAAAACTTCTGAGAATACGGAAAAACAGCTATAACAAGAAACACCACATTGAGAAATTGTCCCTTGCCATGTTTAATCTGCCTGAATTATATACAACATGATTTATCATGATTCAGGTGATCTCGAGAAGTGATTTCTCTCCAACCACGTTGCATCCCCATTCCTCTTACCGTCATGTCCACATTGTATGTTTTAAAAAAATATCCCGATGTCTTAGAAATTAAACTTGTTGCAACGGATCGCAAACTCTTAGTAAAGAAAGGGAAAGTTCCATGTTTGAAAACCCGGAATGTGGAAATGTTTTTGTGAATTCCCGATCCGAGTCTTCTCTTTTTAAACCTCAACTCCATAAGTTTAGTCCCAAGTTTCAATACTACCTAGAACATCCAAAAAAAACAAGCATGGTATAGGTATAAACTTGTGGGGTAAAACACAATTTTTATGGTTACTTGGAGGGTTTAATCCTAAGTTTAATCTGTTACGCTCCAGTAAATTAAGATGGACCCTGCCAGTTTTTGGGGGTTGGAAGATGTTTGTTTGCACTAGAAATAGATGATGTTTCTCCAATTCATTATTTACCACAAGGTATATACACATATCCATCCCATAATTATCCTGATCATTATGTTCAAATTTAGAACTTAGAATCTGTTTTTATCCCACTATGTAAATATATACATACATGTATATATATATATATAGATATAACAAGTAAAATTTGAAACTTCAACCCTTCAGCGATTCCGAAGGCCACCGTGCCACCAAGCGTCGGAAGGTCGCCGTGCCAGCGGCGACACCGCCAGCGGGCGACTCCTCCGCCACGAGGCGAGTGGCACGGGCAGCCAGGATGCCCTGGAGCTGTTTCAGCATCTCCTGACCAGAGGAAACCTCCAGGTTTCTCTGGAAGTATATAGACTAATGATATATATATATATATATGTTTCATATATATATATATATATTATATTATATATATATTATATATATATTATATATATTATATTATATATATATTATATAATATATATATACGGTAAGTACATTTAAATATACGGACTTTCAAATATACGAACAGGTATTTTAGACTACCTCCGGAAATGTTTTCCTTGGCCCGCCCGGCCATTTAAACATACGGAATCCAATTCATTTAAACATACGGTAACTGCATTGAAATATACGAACTGGTATTTCATACTACCTCCGGGGCCTCGCGGTCTGGCCCGCCTCCACATATTTAAACGTCTTTACCGTATATATTATACGTCATGATATATCATATAGATCTATAACCCAACAAAAAACATGTTTAGTGCATGACAAAAAAATGAACATGGGAGATTCAACAGTCAAAAATGATGGACATCTCATCTCCAATTACAGCTTTCTGGTTCTAAATGTGGTGGGTTCCTGAATGAGAGAACCCCAAAAGTCATCAAAAGATCTAGGTATTGTATGGTATTGGTCATTTTTGATCAGGCTTTCAACTAATCATGAAACATTTTCAACCAATTTTGAGAAACACCCGGCTGTGCAACCAGCTGGCTGGGTGCTCCACCAAGTATAGTGAGTTCCCCAGATCTACATGGACTGTGCAGGAGATGAGCCGCTTGCACCCGCTGTCAAGAGCCAACAAACCTGTGACCCTCCCCAAAAAAGACTCTTCCCCTGTGAGGAACAACTGTCGTGCTAACAATTGTTCAAGGAGATATGTATCTATGTATATATATATATATACATACATATATATATATATAATTATATATATATCACAGATACAAGTTCTGTGATGTTCTGCATAATGTGTAACTGCTAGTCCAAGCCAAAATTACAATCATGCTCCCAGCTGTGTTTTCTGTTCAAATCATACGTTTCCAAATGGTGAACAAATGACACCGCCACTTGCAGTGACAAAATGCCGAAGCGCATCTATACCCTCTGGTAAACTAACATAGCTACGTATTGAAAATGGCCATTTAGATCATTGATTTACCCATTAAACATGGTGATGTTCCATAGCTATGTTAGTTTACCAGAGGGTATATGTTCTTTATCGGATGGATATATGATATATCTGGATATATCTGGATGGGTTCAGCAAAGAACCGTTCAATCTTAATTCACACTGGTTTCACCCCTGGGCTGCTCGATTAGGGATGTTTCTTATCTCAAAAGTCTGGATGAAGGGTTTTCTACCTTCTCAATGGTATGTGCCTGTCTCAACCCTCCTCCCTGTATCAAAGGTGCTTTCTTTTTCCCCTCCTCAAAGGTCCTGGTTTCCCAACCGTATTCCTGGGAAACTTTCCCATGTTCGAAGGATTTCTCAAGGCCAAGTGTTTTCCCACAGTGAAGGTTCGCGCTCAAGGCTGCCAAAAAAAAAAATAATAATAATAATAAAATAAAATCCCGGAGACAAACCCATACCCCGGGGAAGAACACTTGCGACCGAACATTGCAAATATGCATAAAACATGCTATGTGTTTTTCTCAATGGTATGTGCCCGTCTTAATTTTTTTAAAAAAATTATTTTTATTTTTTCTCCCCGGAGGTCCCGGAGAGGAACCCTTGGAATTTCTTCCCCCGGAGGTCCCGTAGAGGAACCCTTGAAACCCTTTTGTTTTTTTTTTCTCTTCGTCGTCTTTCGTCGTCCGTCGTGTTTCAATGGGGATCCTTGAGACAGACACTTGACCTGAGCAAGACCACAAACGAGAAAGTACCTTGGCGCAGACCTTCGATTATCAGATCGTCACTATTGGCGGGGATAATCCAAAAACCATCCGAGCTTTCGATGATTTTCCCATTGAAATACCAATTTAGATCGGGGATTTGGGTTCCACCCATGTTTGATGACACATTTAGAGGCGATTTTCAACCAGGGTTTTTTTTACATAGCAGGGTCGACGCTGTCAAATATGTCAAAAAAATGGGCACTCGGGATCATCGTGTCCAATGGAGAGAAACATCGCACTGACACCACACCTGTTGTAAAAAACATTTACCCTCTGGTTATTTAACATAGCCATGGAAAATCACCATTTTTAATAGGTAAACCATCTATAAATGGGCCATTTTCCACGGCTATGTTAAATTACCGGAGGGTAAGTATCCTAGGAAATGCCGCAGTACCACAAATAGTGGTATAGATGGTTTAATATTATCAACATAGTTACCCTCTGGTAATCAAATGTGGCAATGGGAAATCCCCTATAAGTGGAGGTTTTAGTGAAAAAAACATCGAACTAGATCGTGGATTTTCCAGCAAGCCACGTTTGATGACACCGGAGGGTATAGAAACATCTATAAATATATATATATATAATCATAATCCGAGGGCCCAGAGGCCCAGAGTATCATTTTATAAATCTAAGATAATCTATTTAATCTGATCCACATATGTGCAAATAAAATCCTTGTCCTTTTGGAGTGATGAGGTTCCTGCATAGATCAGAATACCATGACTGGTTGGTGGTTTCAACCATCTTGAAACATATTAGTCAACGGGAAGTATCCCATATATTATGGACAAAAAAATGTTCCAAACCACCAACCAAATGATGATTATTATATAAGAAGCCCATAAATCACAGCTTCCAGCGATTTCCATCCACGCCTCCGCCACCACCTGGATCTGCTTCCGCTGCAGCTGTAGCAGCTCCAAGCAACGCCAGAGCTGAGGCAGGCTCGGGCGCACCTCCACCACACCTGGCGTCCCAAGGTGGACCCGGATGTCAGGTGAACCATCCGTTTGAGCTACTCAAAATGACTCCAAGTTGCCATCTCCACAGCCCAAAAATGCTATTTCACCCCATCATTTTATTAGGTCTACCATTTTCTTGTGGGGTCTTTGGAGGGTCCAGGCATATAATTTGAGTAATCCTGAAGTAGATACAGGTGTAGTTTGTCAATTATGTGATGGTACCCCAAAGTAATGACTGGGTCTATCAATCCTGTGTTGACATCATAGCAAACTAGCAATAATGCTGGAATACTACCAACATCAACACACATAAACTCATTGAACCCACATGTGTATATAGATATATATATACACAATGATATATAAAATGAAATATACATATAATGATATAACTAATAATATATAATGATATATAATGATATATAATGAAATATAAAGATATATAATGATATATAATGATATATAATGATATATAATGATATATAATGATATATAATGATATATAATGATATATAATGATATATAATGATATATAAAGATATATAAAGATATATAATGATATAAAATGATATATAATGATATATAATGATATATACTGATATATATATACTGATATATGTACTGATATATAATGATATATAATGATATATAATGATATATATAATGATGTATAATGATTTAAAATGATATATAATGATTTATAATGATATATAATGATATAATGATATATAATGATATATAATGATATATAATGATATATAATGATATACAATGATATATAATGATATATAATGATATAATATATATATAATACCAGTAGTACCGCACAAGGCGGTGGCGGAAGTTTCAAAAATAGGAAACCTATAGGAGAGACGTGTTGTTGTGGCGCAAAAATGGCAGAGCGAACCCACTGATGGATTGAAAGGTGGTTGTGTGTTTTCCTCTGACGGCATGATGGCGCACGCCAGCACAGCGGCAGCCGACGATTCCTGTCCGCTGTTGCCAGGACCAAGCTGCCGCGACACCGCGAGGCAGACACGTCGGAGGGATGTGCAACATTTCTTCATGTTTTTCTGTACGGTAACCGTAGGTTATACCATTGCATGCTAGCTGTCTTTCTAATCCTGTATCGACGCTTATGGTAGGAACATGTCCATTGGATGAGAGTATATCGGTTGTCCTTTCATGGTGGATTCATCAATATGTTCAATATGTTGGTATTGTGATGCTAAGACTCTCATCCTATGAATGATGTGTAGATGCTTGGTTTTTAGTCATGAGAGTGTCCATCTTCACTTAAGACGGTTTAGCTCTCACAACACGTTCTGTGTGTTTATCGATTCATCCATGCATCTGTCCGTCTCTCTGTTCTTCCAGCCATCCATCGATCTATCCAGCTATCCATGAGTTTATCTGGACATGGACGTGTCTAGCGATCTTTCGATCTAGCGATCCGTGTGTCCATCGGTCGTTCCATCTACCTGTCTATTGTCGATCTTTTTCTCTATCTAGCCACCCATCTTTCGATTTATCTCTCGATCTGTCTATGTATCCATCGATCTAGTTGCCCGTCTATCTATCGATTTAGCTATCAAATCCCATGGTATCTATTCCCTGTTGTGCTTCCAAAACCGATGCCTGCCAGAGGGCTCACTGCGTTATTTTCCATCGTCGGCCGACGGTTGCATGATCAATCTCGGAGACAAAACGGATGCACAACCTAAACGCGACACGGATGGGTTAGAAGAAACATCATCACGCCAGCGTTCCAACGAGAACACTGGTAACAACAGGGTCATATGCGCGACCAGAAAAGATACACGCTTCATGTAAAGTCGTGCTTCCAAAACGGGTATCTGCGAGAGTTCCCACTGCGCTACGGTTGCAGGTTTCGGAGACAGAACCGATGCAGAAAACCGATGCTTCACGGATGGGTCAGAAAAAACACCATCAGTCCAGCCTTCGAACGACGACACTGGTAACGACAAGGTCACGTGCTGCAAAATTGGCAGCGAGGCCAGACAAGACACACGGTTCTACTGAAAGCGAAAAACGTCTGCTTCCGCGGACCCAGTCACGTCCGGTTGCCGAAGACGAGATTTTCGCACTTCCATTTCTACATGCTCCCACCCAGGATCATAGTGTTTACACTCTCTCCAGAGATGAAGATACGCACGGCGTTCCTCCTCATCGTCCGTCCGCTTCAGAATGGGCCACGTGCTATGGTCTTTCAAAATCTTCAGCACAAAAATGGCATCCGCAGAAGCAAGATGCTGTCAGAGAAGGGCGACACGATTGTCGAGTTAAACGGATCTTAGGGTGAAAGGATTCAGGGGTAAAGGCATCTTAGGGCTAAAGGATTCAGGGTTAAAGGCTTTACGGTTAAGCTTCTTTGGGGTTAAAGGATTTGAGGGTTCAAGGGGGCTAAGGTTAAAAGGCTTTAGAGTCTAGTGTTAAATCATGTTCGGATTACACTGATTCGTTACAGGGATTTAGGGCTAAAAGCATCTTAAGGTTAAAGGATTGAAGGGTTCAAATGTCTTAGGGTTCAATGGGCTTAGGCATGAAGGATTTTAGTGTTAAAGGATTTTAGGGTTAAGGGCCCCTAGGGTTAAAGGAATTAGGGTTGAAGGGATCTTAAGGTTAAAGGATTTAGGGGTAAAGGCATCTTCGACGTGCAACGAATTACAGATGCTGACGCGTGCAATGAATTACGGATGCTAAAGGATTCAGGGTTAAAGGCTTTACGGTTAAGCTTCTTTGGGGTTAAAGGATTTGAGGGTTCAAGGGGGCTAAGGTTAAAAGGCTTTAGAGTCTAGTGTTAAATCATGTTCGGATTACAATGATTCGTTACAGTGATTTAGGGCTAAAAGCATCTTAAGGTTAAAGGATTGAAGGGTTCAAATGTCTTAGGGTTCAATGGGCTTAGGCATGAAGGATTTTAGTGTTAAAGGATTTTAGGGTTAAGGGCCCCTAGGGTTAAAGGAATTAGGGTTGAAGGGATCTTAAGGTTGAAGGATTTAGGGGTAAAGGCATCTTCGGCGTGCAACGAATTACGGATGCTGACGCATGCAATGAATTACGGATGCTGATACGCCATCGTGCGGTCAGAAAAGACACACACGCTGGCCCGCAACGAATTCGAACTGCTGCTGCGCCATCCTGCGGTCAGAAAAGACACACACGCTGGCCTGCAACGAATTCCGTGTAAACTTGTGCGCAATGACCAGCAAAAGGCCCAGGAATGCATTACCGTGTCAAACCTTACAGATGCTGCGGCACCGTACTGCGATCGGAAAACCTACAGTGACACATCCAACCGTGACGAACAAGATCTAGTGACTCAAACAATCCGCCTTTATTGTTTCATGCCACTTTCCAATACCAGTGTGGAGCTCCTCCCTGCTGCATCTTTGTGTTTATCCATGGATCTAGCGGTCGATCAATGTATCTATATTCCTGTCACTCTGTCACTTTTTCTATCCATCTATCTATCTCTCTGTCTATCTATCTGTTTATCTGTCTATCCATTGCTTCAATTCTCTCTATGTGAATCAGAGATGACAGAGCGAAGCCACTGCTGGACCGAAAGGCCCATGCTCTCTCTCACTCTTGTCTACCTGTCTATCTATCTATCTATCTATCTGTCTAGCTGTCTACCTGTCTATCTTTGGTGTAGTAGTACATGTCGTGTAGTGTTGTTGTGTACTTTTACTTGTAGGTGCAGTTGAAGCGAAGCAACCTCTGCACCGCCAAACGTGGTCCGAAACCCTACTGTTTTTAACATTTTAACTTCCGAATATGCTTCGCGCCACAACGGCGTGCACTTTTTCGAAACTCCAGATCTCAGCCTCCAAAAGTGGTCCGAACCCGTGGTGTTTTGCACATTTCGACTTCGAAATGTGCTTCGCGCCACAACGGCGTGCACTTTTTCGACATCGCAACTTCCAAAAGTGGTCCGACATTGGGGTGCTTTGTACATTTTGACTTCAAAATGTGCTTCGCGCCACAACGGCGTGCACTTTTTCGACATCGCAACTTCCAAAAGTGGTCCGACATTGGTGTGCTTTGTACATTTTGACTTCAAAATGTGCTTCGCGCCACAACGGCGTGCACTTTTTCAACATCTCAACTTCCAAAAGTGGTCCGAGGTTGCGGTGTTTTGCACATTTTGCCTTCCAAATGTGCTTCGCGCCACAACGGCGTGCACTTTTTCAACATCTCAACTTCCAAAAGTGGTCCGAGGTTGCGGTGTTTTGCACATTTTGCCTTCCAAATGTGCTTCGCGCCACAACGGCGTGCACTTTTTCATGTCTCATCTGACCAGCTGGCTCCGCACCCGCCGCTTTAGCGAGCCTACTTTCCTACCCTCCGGAGCCCCACATCATTGGAGAAACACAGTGTTTCGCGACTTTCCTACCTTTTCGCACATCTGCATCTTCTTTCTTCTGACTCTTTCTCTTCTGCTCTTCTCTCTGCTAATCTTTCTCTTCTCTCTGCCTCTTCCCTACTCTGCTTTTCATCTGTCCATATTGTCGGAAGTTTAGCTTCTATCCTTCGATTACACAGCAAGCCACAAAAAGATAGAAAAGTACACCTTGGATCACCTTGGTAAATATTGGGTATATGATCTACTCTTCCATCCTTTCTTAAAGGGGAGAGAACGTTGGCCATACTTCCGTGCCGGGCCGTGCGCGTGTTCGCGCCTTCCATGAAACGCAGGTCACGAGCAAAGGCGCTGTCCACCGAGTCTAACAGAGTCAACCTCCTTGGTGGGCAGAAGTTTGTGATCAACTTCTGACCTAAACCCATTGTTTGATTGTTTATGGATGATTTGCGATATATATATATATAATAGATATAATATATATAATAGATATAATATATATAATAGATATAATAGATATAATGATATAATATATATATATAATGTATATATAATGTATATACAATGTATATGTATCTACAATATACATTATATATAATATAACAATATATATATATATAAATAACCAGTTGGGGACATCATAAGGTATATCAATGAATGATTGATAATTTCATTGCTGATTGTGGATAATTTTGGCATATCTTGGGAGGCCCTTTCGAATCATCCGGACGGGACGCTGGGAGACAAGTTGTCATACCCTCTGGTAATGACTAACAGTTTGCTATTGAACATGGCCCATTGCTATTTGATTTACCTTTAAAAATTGTGATTTTCCATAGCTATGTAAACGTTTACCAGAGGGTAACATGTGTTTTTGCACAATAACCATTAATAGTTGAAGTATCGTTGCAACCTATCCTCCAGTTGAAATCGCTCTTGAGCAAATAGCAACATCCATGTTGCACCATGGGACCATGAGCCTAGAGATGTTTTATGGTATATACCATAGTATACCTCAATAACTGCGAAACCCAACTTGCGACTATGTGACTATCTATGTTTGATGTTCCCATAGTCTCAGGTTGAACCATCAATGATTCAAGGCCTGGAGTGATGTCGCCGGGCAATTTTTCATGCCCAACCACAAGGAAGCCAGCCACGCCCTTTCCCTGCGGAATCAACCAAATCAACTCTGATTTTAGCTGCATCCTGTTCTCAGACCTTGATCCTTGTCCAACAGACTACAGTTATAATACCATATAATACCCTAAAGTGTGGTACCATAGACAAAAGAATCAGTCACTAGAGTCTAGATTGCTCATGTGTCGTATTCAAGAATCCAAGCGTCGGAGGTTCGAGGAGTCCCCAATTCAAAAAACCTCCAATTTGGGAGGATTAATACCACCCATTAATGGTAAGTCATCGGGGATTCTCTACTCTTGGATTTACAATATGGGTTTACCAAGAAACAAATCAAGCCCTCATCTCATGATTCTAACCATTTCTAACCCAGTTTCATATGGGACTAGGAACTAACGGTTTGCTTCCTATCTCTACTGAGGTATATATACATATATACAGTACCAATATGCTCCATGTATGGAATATTCATCAACATTTACCCCAAACATCATCCAAATATAGGTAGATATACCATACATGGAGCATCTGGGGTATATTAACAGTATACTACTAACACTAGGTGTATATATATATACAATTATATACATACACAGTATATCAATCACTTACTGACTCTGATGCACAACACCCGCCACTGGGTCGGTCAAGACTCTGCTTGCAATACCTTTCTTTGGCCGCCCAAACGATGTCCGGTTCCGTCGCTTCGGAGCCTTGGCTCCGTCGCTTCGTCGCGGCTCGTGTTGGCAACACGGCAAGGGTCAAGGATCCAGGCGAAGATGTATGTATAATATATTATTATATATCTATATGTATTATATATATGATATATCTAGGACTCAGCGGCCAGCCGCACACTTTTTTGCTGGACCTGAAGGTCGTCCAAAAGACCTGAAATGGCTGTTAAGCCAGATTCTTTCTCAACCTGAAACACGGCTACCAAAAGGCATGGTAGCTTCTTAACATCTACCAAAAGGCATGGTAGTCAAACGAGACTGTGTAGCCTCCAAAAGGCATGGTAGGCTTACAACAGCTCACTTCATTAAAACAGAAATTTAAAGAAGGGACCAAGTCAACCCCCTTCTTCCGCACCCATGCAAGGTCAATGAGACCAGCACAGGGCAGGGAAGGGTGGGTGCGCTTGACCCTAAACAGCCACGATAACACAAAAGTGGCTCATGTCCCTTCGTCCTAAACGTCGAAACGACAGTCAAGGACTCAGCGGCCAGCCGCACACTTTTTTGCTGGACCTGAAGGTCGTCCAAAAGACCTGAAATGGCTGTTAAGCCAGATTCTTTCTCAACCTGAAACACGGCTACCAAAAGGCATGGTAGCTTCTTAACATCTACCAAAAGGCATGGTAGTCAAACGAGACTGTGTAGCCTCCAAAAGGCATGGTAGGCTTACAACAGCTCACTTCATTAAAACAGAAATTTAAAGAAGGGACCAAGTCAACCCCCTTCTTCCACGACCCCTCACATAGCCTTAGGACAAAGTTCGAAAGGCTGTTTCGGGGGTCTCCCGAGCAAATGTACGAATACGAGGTAGATTTTCAGAAGGAATACGGAGGGATGGAATCATAGAGAGACCATCTTGGAGGTAGACCCGTGCGACAGCAAGGGACTTCCAGCGTCCTCTAAGCAATATTGCCTCCATAGCCAAACCCTGCTGAAGGAGCAGGGTTGCTCCTCCTCTACGGAGGCTGTAGGGTTTGAACCCTAATTGCATGATTCGAAAGAAGCGCTGGTACTCCCGAAAACGCCCGCGGAAGCACTGAGCACTATAAGGCCACAAAAGGTCACCCGGCGCAGGTTTAACAACACAGCGCCAGGTATCAAGCAACTGTAAAGTCAAGCTGTCCCGCAACGCAATGGCTTCATCGGCACCAGCCCGCAAGCCAGATTTGGTTTGCTTCAAGGACAAAATACCACAGGCCTTTGCGAGCTCAAGGTCACAGTTCCGAACTTTTAGGAGTTCACCTGTGCGCAAGAGGCCATGGAAACCAATTGCCAACATACAAGCAAAGCCAAGCTGATCAAGATGCACGGCACGGCTAATCGTAGCCTTAACCAGCATCACCGTGATCGGCGGTGCCCGGGCCGGCGCTTCGATACGCCTCCAAGTTTTAAAATACCGCCAGGCGTTTCTCAGAATACCACGCAATTCGGGCCAAAAGAAATGTAGGCCTGACAAACCATCTGAGATAAAGTAAAGGGACTCACCACGAGCCCATTGCAACTCGATGTACTCACAGAGTACTGCATCAATATCACTGAGATCAGGCTGTGATTCCAGAAAAGGAAGAAGACGCGACACAGCTTTCTCATAACGTAGCCTGGTCTTCTCAGTAATACTGTAGTCTTTGAGTCTGATGCCTGCACGGCGCCGCCTCCGCTCCTTTTGGGATTTGGCAGCCAGCAGCACCCTAGGAAGCGGCCGTCTCATCAGGACCTACTTGCAGCATCGGTAGGGTTCTCATCAGAGGCGACATGGCCGTGGAGGACAGAGCACCCGAGCCCAAGCTGCAATGCGTCCACTTTATTACATAAGGGTTGCAGCAGACGACTCGAAGTCCTCCCCTTGCTTAGGATGTAAAGGCAAACCATACTATCTTCGAGATGAAGCCAGCGCAACCCTACTTTAAGGGGATCCCTACCTTTCCAAAGCAGACTATTGAGGATCATTTTCATCTCCAGGTAATTGATGTGTGATTCATGGTTCCAACGCACTTTAAAAAGGTGCTTCCATTGCCACCACCATGACCGAACAGAGCCGTGGCTGGGAGCTTTACGACCTAGGACCTGACCTGTGTTAACCCTGACATCTGACCCCGTGTGATTAACTGTTAAGGCAAGGCACTTGACCAGCTCATGAGCGGCAGCTGGACCAGGATCTCCGGAGCCACCATAAGCAAGCCAGCGGGTCAACGGGATCTCCACGTCAGGGTGTGCTGTTGCACCAGGGGCCAGACCAAACCGTCGGACAATCTGCGCCGGCGCCATACGTGGCATACAATCGGCGCACATCTGGCTGGCCATCACTGCAAACGAAAGCACCGAATACGAGTCCCCACACAAGGACTTTCTGGCATCCTCATAGGCCGCTTTGCTCCGCTTAGCCTCCGAGGCCGACATGCAGGTTTTTGTGTGGCCTGCACCAAATCCCAACAGTAACTCCCGCTCGGACGCATCCAGCGGGCGTTGACCCAAAGTGGGATGAGAAACCAGAAACTGCGAAGCATATTGATAAGGAGGAAATCTGAACTCATCCTCACGCCAGCGGCGCAGAGTCTCCGGTGCCGCACGGTGAAACCCAGCGGGTGCTGGAGGTGGTCGTTGACGCCTGATGCTTTTCATGAAAGTGGGAAACTTGGCTCCCTGGTGCTCACCTTCCCAGACCCAGCCTGGACGGATCCAGCTAGATGTCGGAATACCAGGGCCACTAACAACCGCCCTGAAGTAATCACGTTCTGTCCAGAGCTGAAGTCCTTCCATTGCAAAAAGTTCCTCAGTGCACCACGCAAGTCGAGGGCGACTAGTAGGCAGGCAGTCAGCTGGATCCAGCTTGATGGGACAAATCCCCAGACAAGCAGAGATCTCCTGCCGCGCCCTCTCATCCATCGAGGCCACATTCTCCACGCAGTACTTGACTTTGCAGAAGGTACCAAAAATTTCCTGTATCCAGGACAAAAGTGTTAAGAGGGTCCAAAACAAGTTGGAGCCCTCGCCAGGCCATGAAGGTTTTGGCGATTCAAACGAACCGACGAAAGGTGCACGCAGGGGAAACCCGCCATTACATGCACCTCCTTGATACGTGGGTAGGCATTAGCCCACCCCCAGACATCTTCCCTTTTCAAAAGGGTAATGTCGTGGAGCTCAAGCACGCCTGGCCAGGTACTCCTGGTGACTCTATTGGCTGTACGACTGATATCGATTGAAATGCGGCCATCCACACAAACGCCTAACACGTCATAAATGCGGAACATGCCGCCCATGCCATTAAAAACTGAAATCAAAAGGATGCCCTGCCGCACTGGTTGCAGCCGCTGGTCTGCCAAAAAACCGACCAAGGATTTCCCTGACCATGTCAGCCCAGCCGAACGGGCCGCTGCCCCACCATGCTCGGAGGCGTCACTGCAGGTGACAACGGAGTCGTAGCCGGCTCTCAAATCCGTTTGAAGGAGCGGTGCAAGGCACATTAATGCCAGCACCTCCTTATGAACTTGTCCTACCTGACGAGGGGACGGCCACGAAGCTTCAACGGTCTCCCAACTCCTGGACAAACAACCCATTGCGGGCCTCCGAAACTGAGCAACAAAAACCCATCTTCCAAGAATTATCTGAGCGAGCTTTTTGTTCCATCGAGGTCTTTGTAAGAAGTGAACGCTCGCCAACAAGGTCTTGAGCAGCCGCTCGGGCGAGACGCCCAGCAGCCCACGAGCGCCATCGATTCTAACACCCAGTTCAATGACCTCTGAAGAGCTCAAGACCTGTTTGTCCTCAGCAGAGAGGATCCCCGCAGAGTCCCAGGCACGCATTGCCAGCTCTTGAAGCTTGCGGTGAAGCGAGTCAGAGCTCTTCCCCTCCGCATCAGCCGATAAAAAGTTGTCGAGGTACACCTGCCACCACGCCCTATCAGGGGTGGTGGCCTCCAGGACCTGAGTGAACCATGGTGGCAGAGGGGACCCCTTCCTTAACTCAAGTTGAGGTGATAGTCCATGAGATAGTAAAATTTCCCGGGAAGCTTGTTGCATTACCCCAACAGAACTTGACCAACCCATGGGTAAAACCAGGCATGCAGGCCTGAAAAGCGCGCCCTCCTTCAAACCAATATGTTTCCCATCTGTTGAAAAGTTAAAAGTCATAAAAGCTTGCCAATCGCTTGGAATTGCAAATAGGTAGAAAGCACAGGACATATCTCCTTGACTCATACAAAGTTCACCTTCTTCAGAGATAACCAATGGGATACACGAGGAAGCACTTGGAAGGGATGAAATATCTCCTTGAATTATTGAAAGAATAGAATTGGCCGGGATGAGGTTCATTATGACACGGAGGACCGGGAGGTTATTCTCAGTCAATTTTCCCTGCTTAACAACTCCAAAAAGTCCGTTTAGAATGGGCCCCCGGGGAGTAACAAAGGCAGTTTCCGCCGGGACCCATTCGATAACCCCACGCTCTCGAAGGAGCTCGAAAAGTTTCAGCTCCTCCCCTTTCTGGATATGAACCTTCGCTTGTAACTTGTAAAGAACTGGAACCCCATTCTTCTTCAGGGAGGACGCATTCGAGGGGGTTCTCCATTAGAAAACGAGTTCGACCCTTTAACCAATCTAAAACCGGAACTGAACCCCCGTGCCCAACTGGGGGTAGTCCTTTGACGATCTGCTCCACGCTAAGTGCCACAGGTTGGGCTATTTCTTCACCAGTATAGCTAATTCTTCTTTCTTTCAACTCCAAACAAATCTTCTCGAAACTCAAGTCAGTGGGAACTTCCCCTTCTAAAAACCTATCAATCCTATTTTTCAACACCCGGAACGCTGCAGCATGCACTTTTCCTGGCTTTCGCAGCGTACCATCTTGAGGGCAGCCATACAAAGCATTGATGGCCGTAATGGCCACACCTAGCCAACACTCAACAGCGACTTCGCGCGATTGGAGATCAGCCAGGCTTGGCCAATTGTCACCCCCAAATACCGGAAAAGTGACCGGCAGGGGAAACAAGCCGCTCGACCGGGATTTCCGATCAGCGGCCTGTGAAGGTCCAGCAATGGGCCCAGAAAGGCTCAAAAACTTTCTCTGCAATCCCCATGCCAGCCAAACGCCACATTCCGCCAGGTTGGAACACTTGGACAGCTTCTCCATCAGCCCTTTAAAGTCTGCGATAGAGTTCCCATCCAGCGCAGATGCCAAGGCGCCTTCCAAAGGGGCACCAGCGCCTGCGCTAATCGAATTAGCTGCAAGTCCAGCTGGCTGTACCTGTCCAGCAAGGACCACCAATGAATCAGAGGCCACGGCCCCACTCGCACATGTCGCATCCATCAACCCGGAACACGGCTCCAAAGAACCAGCGGGAATGGGGCTCAACTTCCTTCGCCCTTGCCTCCTTTTTCCGAAGGCTTCTCCTTGTCTCCTCCGGCCCAGGCATTCCAATTTCCCTTGTTGCCTTTGCCTTTTTGCTTGCCTTTCTTCCCCTTGCCTCGGGGATCCTTCCCTTTGCCTTTTCCTCTCCCCCCCACTCCCATTGCCACCCTTGCCCGCGGCCCCAGGAGTTTTTCCCTCCTGCTTTCCCGACCTGGCGGGAATGCCGCTGGGCGGCCAACAGGATGTGGGGAGGAGCAGTGCCGTCGTCCTCCAACGACTGTATCTCGAGGAATTTGGCCGTCTGCCACCCTTGACGGGTGGCTGTTTCGACGGCGATAAGCCGTGCGGCCAACAAATCGGCCAGCTGCGGGAGGTCCCCTTCTTGAAGGAGGTCCAATCCGCGAGCCAGAAGGGCGATCTCCTTGCAATCCCTGGACCGAGGGTCCAGCGCCGGCTTCAAAGCCAGCTGGTAGAAGCTGTAGAGCTTCACCCTGGGCCCCTTCGTCACCGCAGACAACGAGCCTTCCATCTCCAACCCCTCCTGGGCCAGCTGTTCTGCCGCCTGATTCATAAGGAGGCGGAAGACCGAGCCGGGCTCCTTGAGGGCCTTCTTCTTGAGCGGTGGTTGAAGGGAAGCACTCGAACTCTCCTCCCCTGAACTGTCGTCCGAGGATCCTGGACTGCTGGATCCCTTCTCCTTCCTCTTCTTTCTTTTCTTGTCCTTCTCTCTCGAGCGGCTCCTTGACTTCTTCCGTTTCTTTGCTTCCGCCTTCTGGCTCTTGGATTGGCGCGCGGCTACAGCACGAGCCAGCGCCTCCCCCACATCCTTGTGCTTTGTCTTCCGCCCCCTGCTCTTGCTGGGGCTGTCTTCTACTTCCACAACTTCCGTCTCCTTCTTGACTTGATCCCCAAGAGGGAGTGGGGCCGGCGGTGAGGATCCTCCCCCAGGCCGGCGTAAGATCCCAGCCCGGGGTAGCTCCGCAGAACGCCCTGGACGAGCAGCGGATATAGCTTCTTCCCCTACCGGACCAAAGGAGACGCGCGGACTGACTCTGGCACGAAGCTGGCTCAACCGTTGTTCCAAGGGCGCAGCTGCAGCCTTCGGCGCAGCGCCAGCTGGCCGCTTGTCCTTGTCTTTTGCCTCCTGCTCTTATAAAGCCAAACCCTGTGCCACCAGCTTGACGGCGTTTCTGGACAACCAGTCGGCCTTGAAGGCGCCAGGAGGGTGCCATTCGAATTCCCTCAAATGAACGCCAGACTCGAAGGGGATCGGGCACTGTCCTTCGGGATCTGGGTAACAGATGTGGTGCCTCCTCTTTCGACTTCCTCTGAACTTGGCTGCAATCTGCTTTGCAAAATCCGGTGAGGAGCAGCCAAGGACTTTCGTGTCCAGCCAAACCCCGAGGGATGTGGATTCGTAACCTGTCACCAGCACGGCTATGGAGCCAGCGGCGCCCAGTTCGGAACCCTCTGCGGCGTACACCAGCACCGACCCCACTGGGACGTGCCGGTGTAACCAGAAAGCAGCCTCTGTGGTGTTGTACCTCTGCATCACTGCGGGCTTTGGGGATGCGCGTAGAGCTTCCTCCACAGCTTCCCTTCGCCCATCCTCTTCCAAAGGATCTTCCTCTGTGAGCCATTCTGCCTCTTCTCTGTCCTCCATTGCACGTCCGCAGACAGCAAGGAGTGTCGCCCAACAGGGCAATTAGATCCTCCTCTCCAGACCCGCACGAAAGGATCGGGCAAGCGCAAGGGTTGCAGCACCCAGCGGCCGATGGCTCCTCCGAAACGGATCTCTCTGCTCTCTCCAATGTTTCTGGTGCTTTGCACCTCCTCTCTTCTTCTTCTTGTTTTTCTTTTTCTTCTTCTTATGACTGTGACCGTCGCCTCCACTGTCACGTCGACGAGGGATCTCTGGTCGATCTTCTCGAGGTCTCCCAGGGGGAGGACCTTCTGGCTCAGGGGGTGCCCTGCTGCCAGGATGGCGCTCCCTAGCGCCGGGCTCCGATTTCACTACCTCCTCGGACTCTGGAGCTCGTGGGGGAAGGTCTGGCTCCTCCTCTTCTTCCGACTCCTCGTCAAAGAACTCCTCACTACCACCAGGAGAGGGTTCCCTGCGTGAAGACCTCCGAGGTGAAGGCCCACGCACCGAGGACGCTCTCCGAGGCGGTGACGGCGGCCTTGGCAGAGGCGGCCTTTCCGGGATCGAGGTCCCTGTGCTTTGGCCTTGGGTGTCAAACCAGGCCCAGGCTCAGCAGCTCCTCGCGAGAGGCCGCGGTCCAGGTTGCTAAAGGCCTTCACAAGCCGGGCTGCAGAGAGGATAGCTTCCTCAGCAGCGGCTCGGATGCCAGGATGCCCCCAGGACTGCTTCAGCAAAGACTGCCCGAGCTCCAGCGACGAGCAGCCCACACACCAGGAATCACCTGGCTGACAAAAACCCACCTTGCACTTGTTGCAGTGCGGAGGTGGGGGCATGCTATGCGCTTGACCCTAAACAGCCACGATAACACAAAAGTGGCTCATGTCCCTTCGTCCTAAACGTCGAAACGACAGTCAATGTGTATTATATTTGTATATGTAATGGATTATAATGTTACTTTACTATACTAAACTTTACTATATGTTGTAATTGTTCTGTATATGTATGACTCTGCTGCATATTAAGTACTATAATTATATATATATGTGTATGATTTGTACAGTCAAACGACAAACTCATGCCTAACTCATGGATGGATCAAAACTTGCTAGTAGATCACCATGGAATCGCTGTTTCAAGAAAGTCATGCCTAAGTCATGCCTAAATCTTGAAACACCATGGATTTGCGTATGAATCAGAAACATGTTTCCACACTTGGGAAAATCAACTGTTCGCAAAAATCTGTCTACAGTTGCATTCTACCGTTCATGTCTCCGGGGTTGAGAAATACTTGCCGCTTCGGTCCGCTGACTCTTTCCGCTTTGCTGCTTGTATGATGTAGTGTATCATGTCATCTGATTAATGGTTGCTATACCCGTCCTATTACACAATGTTGAAACAACTTCCGCAACTGGCCCACTAACAGTTTCAGCCATTGGAAGGAAAATCCCTCCAGCACCGCACCATGATACCATGTATATCCATGTATAGGTGGGAAATCATGGGAAAGTTTTACCCCTTCATCGGCCAGGTCATTTCGGTCAGGGAACCTTTCTTGGCTGAGACCTTCTGCAGCAAGGCACTGATCTGGATCAGCAGCTCCTTGGCGGATGAACCGTCCCAAAAGAGGTCAAAAAACATCACATGTCACGGCCACGGCGTACAGAGAGAACCGCGAAAGAGAACTATCAACTTCACATATAAACCGCGGGTTGAATATGGTATAATATGGTTTAATATACCTGGAAGCCATCTGAGAGCTTTGTTTTGGAGGCTTTTGCCTGTAATACGTGGAGAATGAATGATCTAAAATGCAGGTCATGGAGTCATTGGCATTCCTGGTCCACAGCAAAAACATGTGAGAGGCCCAGCGTCCATGTACAGCAAGCTGGTCTGGGGCCATGATCCACAGGAAAAATAGGCCAAAACCGGTGGAATACTAATAGATTATTAGTATTTATTAGTGCTCATTAGTGCTCATTGAGGATAATTATGACTAATTTAATGTACTAATATCCATCATAGCTAATACTGTTACTATCCAAAATGGCCAAAACTATGATTAGCCGGGTATAATGTATTGAGTACTCATGACATAGTTAATTAGTTCGTACTAGTTCATACTCAATCATGGAGTGGATCCGCGTACAACATCCGCACGGGACGTGGGCTATTCATTGTTCATCCACTCTTTCCAGTGCTTGATGAAAGTTTCGAGTCACCTTGCAAAACCATTTTCCCGTATTTGTTTTTGTATCTTTATCACCACCCAACAAAATCAAAACCAAAACATCCAAAACATAACATAACCAGATCCCAACTTCAAAACAGCAGGCAAAAAAAAACAAAGCATCTCCACCTATCGCAAAATCAAAACAAACAAATATCATACGCTCAAAAAAAAATCACACAGTCACATGTGCCAAACAATCCAAACAATCATCCAACACCTCTGGGTTTGCACAATAATTCACCTATAATTCACCTATAATTCACCTGAAATCTTCGGCCTGGGATGAGATACAGCCAAGTTTCAGCGGCCTGAACGGCCTGGTTTGCCGAGATTTGCTCGAAGCGCTGGAAGAGGTCCTCCACTTGCCTTGGTTCAAAAACGGCTGGGAAAACACGAGGTCAAAGAGTTCATCTTCACATCCATGCGTTCAAGACGCGTTTCCGTTCGTGTTTATTCGTTCTATTTCGTTCTCATGTTTTTTTCATTCATCATTCATTTTCATTCATCATTCATGTTAGTTTCCCAATTGAACATGCTATTTGGATCCATTTGGACCCATTGGCGTAAATCCTTGATTTTCGGATTCACCCAGATGGGGGCCCACATCTTAAGAGTCATAAGAGGGCACTGGGTTTATTCATGGTTTCTTTGTTTGTAACGGAAACATGGGTCTTTAAAAGAAAAACCATGTGAGGGTGGCCGCTAGGTGTTTTTTTGCTAACGACCTTGCTAGGTTGATAACTCTGGGTCGCATGCCTGGTAGTTCAACTGCCCGGTGAACAAATTGTTCGATGAACTCGAAAACTTCACGCATGGCACGCATTGTTAGATGATACCTGCATCCCACATCCCACAGGCTGGGTCCGTGTTCAAGTCTGCAGTATACTGTGAAACACCTCTTTCATGAGTTTGGGTCGTCCAACACTCGAGATATCTCAAGATTCTCGCAGATTTTGACCTTGGGCCCTAAGATTAGTGGATTTTATAGGGATCCCCAATGATGGGACCTCCATTCCCATACTACTCTCATACAGTAGTACTCCCAAAAGAAACCCCATATGAAGATTATGGGAAGGGGGATCCCATCATTGGTCCTCAAAACTTGAAAGGAACAAGTGGAACAAGCGTCGCCTTTTTGATTCCTGGCTACAACATGATGGACAGAACGTCCATGGACGAGTCCAACGCATGTAGCTCTGCTTCAGCTTCAGCATGCTTCTGAGCAGCTTCCTGCAGAGAAACTGCGCCGTGTCATGCAAAGTGGGGGTGTCATCTACTTATATAGGTACTGGGTGGTAATACGGAATTCCTGTCACGGGTGATAGGTAGTCTTGGTATGTCTTGGTTAAACCTGGTAGTATGATTTTAGCGCATTGCTCGTATCAACACACAGGGGGCATGTTCAGCCCATAACCACGCAAGACCGCAGTACCAACGTTGTCTGCTCATGATCCTGACATCCATTGCAATCTCCACAAGGTGTTGCTAGACCTTTCTGTACTTTTCACAGAAACCTGTGGCAAAACTCTACACATTCTACAGCACTAGTTTAAAACCTGCAATCATCCCAGTGTCTGTCATGGTACCCCAAAGATCATCACCATCACCATCGCCAGCACCATCACCACCATCATCACCCTTTGGCCATCCCCAGAAATTGTCCCACAATGGGTATCCTGCACATGGCAAGGTATGTAGCCCAGATTAGGAACAGCATCTGACTGCGCAGCCACTGGCGCCAAACAGTCCAGGCTGCCTCGGCTGAGTCGCCAACGTATGGATGCTGCAGGTGCTAAACCATGGGATCCGTTACGCTAGTTACTTTTGAACAAACCCACGTGGATGGGAAAAGTTGCAGCTGAGCATGCTGAGCAAAGCTGACAGTCTCAGTGAATGCTGCAAATGTCACCAGTCCGGACAAGACATCGTGTTACTTAAGGACTTTCCCATGTTACAGAAAATCATCTGGAAAAGGTTTGTTGTCCTGTTGCGTGGTTGCTTATTGTAACGAGTTTTTCGGCATCTCTTTAAGTTGGCTCCCCGGGTTTGACCAACTTCAATAGGGGCATCGAAATGGCGAAGTTATAAGGAGATAACGACGTTTGGAACCATGATAACATGATATATTATTATTATGTTGTGTTTTCAACTTTTACTGACATTTGAAAAGTGTAAATCAATATAATATAAACTATTAGACAGGTTAAATTGGACATACATACTCATGATATGTATCATAAATAAATCTCATGTACCAAAATGTACGAACATTGGTCACCATATGATCACTCCTATTGCGTATATATGTAGACATGTATATACAATGTATATAACTATATAATATAACCTAGGTTGGATTTTTTACATTGGAGTGTTTCCCCAAATCCAGTTAAGTTTATCTTCATTTTTCTTATCAACATGCCCACTGAAGGAGGTACGAACGTTACAAAAACGACTTGCCGGGCTCGTTCCGGCAACTCGTTGAGTGGCTGAGATCGCTGTCCAGACTGCCAATCAGCGCTTGCAGCTCCGTCACCTTGGTGGGAGATTTGGATGGTACCCTCTGGTTATGTCAAAATAGCTATTGAAAATGGCCATTTATAGTGGATTTTCCCATAAAAAATGGTGATTTTCTATAGCTACGTTAAATTACCAGAGGGTAGTTGTTCCCATGCTTTCCATGTTTATCCGTGTATCATTGGTTCAAAAGAAATCATATGAAACGCTAAAAGAATCAAAACCCGGTTTTGGCCCAGTGACTGGTGTACCATGGTATACCCTTGATCAGCATTGAACCAACCATCGAAAAGAAACATCATTGGTGGACCAGTGGACCAACCCATCCCAAGAATAGGGCGGGTTGATCGTTTCGAATCATCAAGGACCATAGGTAGTCCTAGGTAGGAGATTCAATGATAGTAATATCAAGTATACTTGGTTTCAATCCCATGACGGATCCTAACGGTGCTGCTATATATGGTGACATGGATCCCATCAATATACCCCCTTTATGTTAGCATATATACCAGCACCATGGATCCGTCATGGGAATGATGCTAAATGATTGCCACAGATGGCACTTTCCAGCTATCACATGCTATGATGGCATATGGCAAATCGATTGTAGCTCAGGGATGCTACAGCTATAACTAGAGCAAAACCTGTATGAGGTGGTTGTTTAGATTATGAACTCCCTTACTTACCAAAGAAAACCCCATGATAACCATGCAGGTTTTGTTTTGGGTTGCAGCCCAGCATGATCCAGGAACTAAACACTTGGCTAACCCAGGCAGTGCTATCCTGAAAGAAAACAGCGTCCTGAGCCTACGTAGTGCTGGAACCAGAAAGAAATGTCCCATTTTCATTGTCTACACGTTGCGCTAAAGATACGATGATCGCCCCCCCATCTGACACATTTCTATCTACATTATGTGCATGTAAAATTACATTATAATATACAAATCCATATTATACCCATATATCACCATGTATCATACCGATATATATATATTACACATATACCATATAACCATATATCACCATGTATCCACATGATATTTCATGCTATCCAAGGACACATGCACACACGCACAAAATGACATA